AATTATCAGTCATCAAAATTTGGTGGCGAGCCTCAAAAACGAACCTGAAATTTGCACCATTGCCACGACAACACCGTTGGACTTTTGAAAAAGCTTTTAACAACTTTAAATGTCCCACTTGTCTAGATGATACAGAATGATTCTGGTGAGTCTGGGTCAAACACCCGAGGACGAGTTCGTTCAAGTACGAGAACAGGAAAATGTCCCTTTGGCACCAGGTCGCACAATCAGTCCAATATGGCGAACCTTCTGTTGGTTGCCTAGCAACCGTGTAATATACTTTCTTGTTCCAATTCCCATGATGCATCTGTGTACTAAATTTGGTTTGGATACGTCAAAGTTTTTGTTGGGCGTCCCATTGGTGAGGGCAGATGTTTAGACTGTCGCCATAGCAACACGATGGGAAATGGCATGGGGGCGTCATTGACTTTTTTGATTGAGACCATGTCACAAATCTCTGTACCAAATTTTGTATGTCTACAACAAAGTAAATTTTTGATGTTCCATGCACTTTCCCTAGGGGGCGCTATCATGCCGATTTGAGATTTGCTTATATAAATCTGTTCAGGGTCGGGGTGTCAATCAATGATTAAAGTTTGAGTGAAATCGGCCAAAGTTTGTGCAAATTATCACTCGTTGAAGTTTGATGGCGAGCCGCAAAAACAAATGCGAAATTTGCACCGTTGCCACGACAACACCGTTTGACCTTTAAAAAAGCTTTTAACAACTTTTAATGTCGCACTTGTCTAGATGATACAGAATGATTCTGGTGAGTCTGGGTCAAACGCCCAAGGACGAGTTCGTTCAAATGCGAGGACAGGAAAATACGCCTTCGCCGCCGTGTCGCTCGATTGGTCCAATATGGCTGACTTCCTGTTGGTTGCCTAGCAACCGCGTAATATATTTTTTTGCTTGGAACGACCAGACCTATCCACCACCCGAATTTCGTTTGTCTACGACAAAGTTGATTTTTCGGGTATAGCCATAGGCGCAATGTATTTTGATTTTGCAGGGGGCGCTGTCGAGCCATTTTTTTGAGTTTTTTGATGTGGAGTATTTGTAAATTCCTATTTTGGCGATCTTGAATTTTGGGCAAAATTTCGTGAGTTTTCGTCAGGGGGAAGTGTGTGAACTGTGCTCAGGGGGGTGAGGAAAATAATAATAATAATAATAATAATAAATAATAAAAACCCGAACAGTAACAATATAGTGCCACCTACGGTGGCACAATATATATCATTGGAAAGGGCTCACGTCCAGTAACGCACCCATGGGGTTCATTGTCACTGAACTCGCCACACATGGCGCTCAAACTTAAAAAGAAACTCGAGAACAATAACAATATAGGGCCACCAATGGTGGCACATATATATATCAGTGGAAAGGGGGCGTGTCCAGTAACCCGGGCGGGCTATTGTCAATGACCAGCGCGTTGCGCTCTGTTTTTGCGGGCGCACTTGACATCGTGCACTTCGTGCACGATGTCAAGTGCGCCCTACATTTTGGTGTGAAGGATTACAATTATGCCGCTGACGCGGCCCACGGGCAATGCCAGTCTATACTACTGGATGCCATGAGTGTCACTATTGAGTGGCACTGAGTGTTTGATAAGGGGAGAGCGCTTCGCGCGCTCTGTTTTCGCGGGCGCACTTGACATGGTGCACTTCGTGCACCATGTCAAGTGCGCCCTACGTTTTGGGGTGAACGATTACAATTATGCCGCTGACGCGGCCCACGGGCAATGCCACCGTGCCATGTCAGCGGGCACCAGTCACTGACATGAGTGTGAGTGTGTTTGGAAAGGGGAGAGCGCTTCGCGCTCTGTTGCGTGTGCTTCGCACACGCCTTCCCGCAGTGCTTCGCACTGCTGAACAGTAACAATAGGCCCTACGCCACCCATGGCGCTCGGGCCTAATAAAATTATAATAAAAATTCAAGCAAAAACAATATATCCGAAAACATTAGAAGAACATATACATTTTTTGAAAGCTCTCGACCTTCCCCACGTGACCGTGGGGTCATTGGTGAGTGACGGGCGCATCTGGACCATCTCGTCGGGGTCACCCCCTGACCTCCCATTGACTTCCATTCATTTTAGCAGAAGTAAATATGGCTCAGGCCTTGGGTGTGGGTTACTGGGATACTGCTGTTCGTGCTGGGGGCGACCGAGGACATAGTTGCATGTCGTCGTGTCGCATTCGGCCATGCGCACGTCGCTCCCCATTCGCTCCGCTTAGCGGAAGCAATAGGCCCTACGCCCTGTCGGGGCTCGGGCCTAAAAATACCTGGAGGAGAGAGAGTGATGTACTGAGCACAGAGCATGATGTCAGGGGGAGGGAAGGGGAGGGTCAGAGTGCTGGGCCAGTGTGGTGTCTGGATGAGTGTGTAAGTGTTTTTTTTTTCCTTGTCATGTATATTGCACATGTATAATTGAAGTGCTGTTTTGTGAAGTGTGGGGGGGGATTGGAAATGTATGCGCTTTACTTCATCTATCCCCTTTTCAAACCATGAATGTTTGTATTTGCACCTGTATTGTTATGTTGTCATGTGAATTGTATGTGCAGGTTTAAAATAACTAATTAACTAAATAACTAACTATTGTGCATGCTTGAAATAAATAACAAAATACAAAATTTAAACTTAATATTTCAAGGTCACACATTGATATTGCAAATAAATTTGATTCTTCTTTGTTTCCAGGCTTGTTATTTAAGAGGGCTTAATTCTGACAGCCTCAATGCTTACCAGTGTCGTGAATGGTTGTCCCATTGGCTTCAGGTTTCCTCTACTCTAAAAGGTAAATTTCTGTTCTGTTTAGTACAATAACACGAGAAAAAAAAAAAAGTTTTTTATCTTGTTATTTTTTTTTGTTTTTTTGCAGAGTCAGAAGTGTCATTGCTTTTGCACAACATTGTTTTTCTATCAGCCAACTATTCACACGGGGCCAGACTACTCTGACAGGAAGGAAACTAGTCAGCATAAGCCAAGAATTTAAGCTTGAACAGTGTAAAGGTCCTAAACCTTAAAGGAGACATAAAATGCACAAAACAACTTTCAAAATTTTTTAACCATGTTATAATGGTTTTCATTGATCATTATCTTCATTTAGAGTTGTATTTAGATTGATTCTTGCATGTTTGAGTAGTCCTGTATTGTTCAGCACTGTTCTATCCCTGCCCATGGTTCTGCACTTTTTCAAAAACAAAAATACACTATACAAACGTCCCTGCTTGCTATGGTAACTTGCAGTAGAGAATCAGTCTAACAGAAGTCATTGCACCTGTTTCTATTATAAAAGCAAGCAAGATTGCCGTTTACAATGAACAAAATGTGTGCCTAATATGTCTTCTTTAACCTTTTGTGTCTCTGTACATAAGGTGTATGTAAAGTAGAATCCAAAAACATTCTGTGTAATTACCAGGTGATTTTTACATTGTAACAGTTGAATGTTAAGTGGCATTTCACAACACAACATATTGAGATAGGCTTCAAAAGTTATAAATCAGATATTTTTGGCAAAAATATGCCATTTTGTTCAACAGCCATAGCCAAGTCAATATAAGTGTACGGTAACTGTAACTGTAACTATACTACACCGTAAATGACTACTGAATGAACCCTGACTCAATTAGTTAACATCTTAAAGTCACAATCTTGATAGATTTTGGGTATATTCTGAATTAATGGAATCTTTGCTTTTTGCTATTCACTGTTTTTGCTACTTGTGCCACACTATCTTAACATGTACGTATCATTACTTATCGTAGAGGAAAAAAAAAAAAGGTAGTTGTCTTGAAAAATGCTTGCAGATTTCAAATAAGACATGCAAATTTGCTCAGACACATTCCAGTTATTTCACTTACCGTATATATTCATGACTCATAAATGCCTCCTTTGTTTACCACATGCACTGAATTGTTACATGCCTTTACCTCAAATGTATTATCATATTTTAAATATAGCTATCTTGCTTTGTATCTAAAAGCATTGACTTCAAGATAAAATTATTGGAAATTAGTCTCATATACTACCCATCAAAACTTTGGGCAACCTATCTCATTCAATGTTTTTTTGTCTTTATTTTTATTACATTCTACATTTTGTATACACACAGAAAGCATCAAATAACCTGCAGCATATTATATATTCAAATACCCAAAGTAGCCACCCTTTGCTCCGTCGAAAAAATATTTTATATATTTTTTTACTACATAATTACACATATGCTACTTCATATATTTGATGTCTTCTGTATGTATACAAAATGTAGGAAGCACAAATAAGGAACTGGCTTGTAATATATATTAATCTATGGGAAAACCATCAAAAAGCCGGAAGAAAAAATTATCAAAAATAATAACTGAAACAAAAGGTGATATTTTTGCACTTGTGTGATTAATTTAGTATAGTCACCTTAAGTGCAATACTTAAACATTAACTAAGACATTTAAATAATTATTTTTCAGTATTAAAAATAATTTATATATTTATTCTTGTTAATATTGCCTGCCCCTATGTGTATCTTGTCTGCAATGTGAACAGCATGTGAAAGAAGAATTTTAGTGGTTTTGGGTTAAGAAAGTAGAGTTTAGATTCGATTAAATATGTTGTGTAAAAGAATCACACAATTTGCAATGACATTCATGTTCTTAAGTGACTTCTGCTAGATGTTAAATAGATACTGACCATCCTTTGGTTAAAGTGCGACACAGCAGTTGGAGCTCTCTAAAAAGAAAGACAGAAGCACTTTATTTGATGTTTACTTGAAATTGTTTCCGATTTACCTGCTTGTGCACTTGTGCAATAATTAAATTTTCTGGGTCTGTTTGATCAAAGGCTTGGTGGCTTGGTTTGTGCTTTTGTCCATAAAGTACAATGCATTTCATATTCAGGTGTATATATTCTGTGAAATTATTCTTTTGAATGTATTTTTGTTGCTGTGCCAAATTATAAAATTGAAAACTTATTTTTCTGGTGTTTTGAGCTCAAATAAAACCACATTTTTTTCCTTTAACAATTTTTAATAAAATAGTAAAGCAACCACCACAACCCAATAACCTTATAAAGTGTCTAACATAAAAGAATCTTTCCTCCTACACAAATATACAGAACTTGAAATACTTTGAACTTGAAACTTCTCAAAGGACCAATTAGAAGCATTTTTGTAACAATATTGGTAATGCAAAAGAAAATGTTTTGTGCAAAGTGACGGTGAGATTTGAACATTGAAATGATCTTTTACGAAACTAGAATTTAAACGTTGAGTTAGGACAACAGTACACTACTAAAATCACATGACTTCATAGCCACTCCGAATGCCTCTCATCAGCAGGCAGGCAAACACCACACCCAAAATCTAGAAAAAAATTAAATACATTGTTATTAATATGTTAAGTGTCTAATTTCTAAATATGTTTTACATTAAAGGTCTACTTTTTTAACTTATGATGGAGTCTGCTTTTCTCGACAAATATCCAATAGCTTTTCTGATCTCCTTTATAATGTTTCATACCTGGAGTCATGTTTTGTTTCATTTACACATGTTTGACACACAAACCCTGCAGTTATTTTGAGCTCTGGAGATGTAGACAGGCTAATAATAAAGGATTACTAAAACATGTGTGAATGAAACAAAACACAACACCAGGTACGTTTTTCAGGAGGTAACAACATTATCACATGGCTTAAAGAGTTAATTTTGTATAATGCAGGACCTTTAAGCTTATTATCTCTATGGATATGAGCATGTGGCACCAACCAGACTCATTTACAAGCCAGATTGGTAGAAAAGAATAAAAGTTAATTGAATAAAAAGTTAAATAGATAAATTTAATGCACTGTTGTGAAACATTCCAGGCAAAGCAACTTGGTCTGGTGTCCTCCACATCTCCTTCAGAAAAGTTACACAGTGCACCTTTAATGCCCAAAATGTATGTGCATTTTTAACTTACTTGCAAGACCGCAATGACCAAAGCTGCAACTATGATCCACTTGACATTGGCCTTGAGTACGGCCTCCACAGCTTGCTGACAGCCCTGTACAAAACAGATTCAAATAAACCAACTGTTCCTCAATGTAATAAACACTGAGCTTAGCCACTCAAGAGGAGCAGAGGTCCGTGACACATGACCCCCTCTGAACCAAGAATGGCATGTTCACCAACAACTGTGGTCCAGCTGCCACAGGCCCCACAAAACCACAACTCAAAATATGAAACATGTTCAGGCAACAAGAACTCGCCTAATGGTAATTTTATATGTCTCTATATGTGGATTTAATCACATTTCAACTTAATTTTGTGTTTTTTTTCTATTTAGCGCTAAAAGATTAATTTATTTAATCAGATGAAAAAGAAAATCTAAATAAAATTGTATTAAATTTAACTGCACAGGCCTCACAATTTAAACAGCTTAATAAATTTCAAAGGCTTCAAGTATTAAGAAAATGTATAACCACCTTTGCAGAGAATTAAGCACTGTATTCATGTGGTCTTATGATCTGTATAAAGTAAAGCCTGCTGAGCCACATGTTTTGGCCTCAACCATGCTGTTCTAAAATGCATGTGATTTTTATACTATTTTTGCTAATCATTTAGTTCAAGTTCCTGGGCTGTTTAAAAAGTGAACTGTGGATTAAATCATGAAAAAATCTAGCCGAATATTATCACATTTTTCAAATTTGTCTTTTGTGCGTAAATGATTCAGTTCTAGCATCTCTGTACCCTTTGAAAGACTTTGGAGGCATCGCTCATGGTTCCCTGTCCGCAGCCCTGACTCTTGGAGATGCAGCACGAGTCTGGCACAGTGTCTCCCTCCTGAGTGTAACTTCTCCAGTCGGCCGAGCTGTTCACACCACAGCACTTCAACTGGAAAAACACAAAGAAAAGGTTCGCAAAATTAAAATCAGCCACTTAAGATGTATATCCAATACTCTAACAACCCTGGTAAAACTATAAATACTTTTGGAGGCAATCCAGAGATGCAAATGCAATGTCAACAGTGTTTATGTCCTGGTTGTGGCCCAGTTTTGTCCTGATGTAGGCTTTGTTGAGGTCTCGTTCTAATTCAGTTCAAGTTTCAGTTTAGTCCTACTTTTGAAGGCGATCTGTGTGTAAACTATATCTCTTGTATCAAATGTAAATAAGTCAAAACTAACAGAATGCAGAGTGTTGAGTGAAGGTGGAGTCTCAGTAAACTCACGTCTTGTTGAAGTTTGTCCACTGCATCTCTGAACTCGGGACTGCTTGTGTTGTAGTTTGAGATCATGTCAGCAAGGCTGTCCTTGACCACATCTGTCACCTACACATGGGCACAACAGTCAGAATAAAAACATTATACATCTGCAGCAGGTAGAGGTTGGCTTCATATTGATAAAGAAAAAATAGATGATAACGATAATACTGAAACTGTCACTGTCACATAACTATCAGCCAATAACTATAAAGCAGGATTATCACAAAAAATATCCTAAATGTACAATATAAAGTAAAAGAAAAATTAAATAAATAAATAAATATATATATATACACACACACACACACACCCACACACACACACACACACACACACTGGTGGATGATCTGATTTAAATAAAACAAATTGGTAGTGTAACATTCCATACTGCATTTTTGTTTATAACTGCACAATGTCAATTTAAGACTCCATATCTATAGAAGGTTGTGCCACACGTACTTTGCCTCTGTAAATGTATCCAACGATAGCAGCTGCGATTTCTGCGATGATGATCAGACTCATGAGGATGGAAAACTGAAAAACACAGATTATTATTACAGATTCTAAACAGATTATTCATACATTTATTGTGCAGGAAAACTTTGAGAAATAATACATTTCACCCATGTTAAGACGCATGCAGTCACATGTGTATGGTATGCATTAGCAAAACAGCCACTGCTCAACTGTGATATTAAAATGATGAATTTCATTTCAAATTTTGATAGTGGCCATATTTGTGAGCCACGCTTTCGGTAAATAGGTCTCTATGTGTCTCTGTAGTGTCTCTTCCACACGAGTGAAGGGAGCATGTTCCAAAGCTACAGCTCGGAGCACTCAAGTGAAGAAACCTCCGCTCAGCTGTTATGGACACTCACTGAGAGTTTAGTGGAAGTGTGGAGGAAAAAGAAAGGAGCAACTGGTTTGAATAAGGGCCTCACTGTTGTGTCAGCCTACTGGCCCAAAAGCAGTGTAGGGTAGTCTGCTCTCCTTCTTGGAGTCCCTGGGAGGGGTATAGGACAGCACACAACCGAGGACTCCACGGTTCTACAGGGGCATTTTGAAAGTGCAATTTCTACTATATAGTTTTACAGTCCCTCCTTAATATCACATTTTGAGGTTAATACTCTCAAATTCAAGTATAGTTACAGTCCAACATAAATGTTTGTTGCACTGCACTTTCAATAACCTTGCAGTGGCTTTGTAAACACTGACATTGGACCTGTGGTGTGCTGTGTTGTGTGTTACCATGGTAATCATGCAGAAGTTCTCCTTCCAGGCACCACAGCAGCCGAAGAAGGCGATGAGAAAGACGATGACTCCAAGAGAGATGAGGAGGATAGGAGCTCCAGAGGCTGAGGCATCTTTAATATTAAGAGTGTTGTGTAGAGAGACCTGCACCAGGACACCAACCACGATCAGGGCAATGCCACACAACTGCACAGAGGAGCAGAGAAAAAGGAGTTAGAATGAGTGATATTCATACAAAGGCTCTGAATGACAAATGGGAAAATGACAAAAAAAAATCTCATCTGTGGAGTCATCACTTATCTGATATCTGTCACCAACATACATCAGTCAGTTTAAAAATATATTGAATAACGTGTCACCAAGTGTTTTTGATAATCAGGTTTCTTGTCGTGTTATCAGATTTTTACTGCCCATATAAATGTACAGGATGGAGATTTATAAGACGCTTTGTGAGGTGACTGAAAGAAACTATACTGAATCAAGGTTGAGGCCATTTGCTCTCAAGGTAATTAAAAGCTGATGATTAACATTTCTCAGTAAAGTCTAAGGGTGTAATGATATCCAAGTCTCACGATACGATATTGTCATGGTATAAACCTCATGGTATAATATTTATTGCTATATCATGGTCACGATATGGTGGAGAGGCTAACGATAAGGAGGTAACAATATCCAAATCTCTCGGTACGATATTTTTACAATATACAATACATCTAATGGTACGATATTTATTGCGATATTTTGTGGAGTGAATATGCTACTTTTTTCTCTTAAAATGCCTTGACAAGACTTAATCCAAACAACTAAGGCTTAAAAGTGATCATAACTGTTATTTCTTCTTGTAGTCTGCACTGAAATGGAGCAAAGGATCATGGCCTATGTAGTTCCCACTGTCTTTTTTTTAGCGACTGCTGCACCGTAACTCTTAATTTAAGCAAAGAGACTTGTAATTCAATATATTGTGATGGCCCACAATATTATTGTGAGAACTCTGACGATACGATATCACGATATTTCTGTTATTGTTACATGCCTTGTAAGGGCTACATAATAACTGTGTGTGTAAGATAATTAGAAGTTCCAGATAAAATCTACAAATCTTTATTTGTATAATCTCTTAAAATACTCAAATAAGTCTCCAATCAATTTTTCACACCAGACTCAGCTCCTGTAAAATGTCTTGAGAATGAAAAAGATGGCTGTCATTAATGAAACCAAAGTGCAAAATAAGCCAGAGTTGGACAAATACACAATGAGCTTTAAAGAACAGGCTAAATCTGAGGTCAGAGATAGAAAAATATATAAATAGGTAGTAATCTTTCCCATGTACTTTAATTCATAGTGCAGATAATTGTGAATCATTGAATATGTAGGGAGGATTTCTTGTTAACAAAATGTTGACATCTCTGACAGAGGATGACTTTGTCCAGGCTTAAGGTTGTGTAAGAATGAGGGGTTGACACACTTTACAACATAGTGGCCTTACTCAAAACCTCTCAGTGTCAAAATAAAAAAGAAAAGGGATGCGGAAGAGTTAAGTTCCTGTATCTGAAACAAATGCCACTGACATAATAATTCTAAAGCAAGATTATCTCAAAAACTATTCTAAATGTATAATATTGTTAAAAAATTACTAAGAATAACTCAGATAAATAGGTCTGTAATAAATAATTAGTTTGTATCTATAATCTGTTGTAAAAGTTACTGACTACTCCAAGCTTATGGTACTACAAAAAAATAAACAAAAAAATCCCCACAATCCCCATTACACATGCAATGTATAAACTCAAAATATATTGTTCCAGCTTTCCCATATTGAACGATAAGTCAATATAGTAGTCATCGTGACAGGCCTACTTGTATCAGTCTGAATGAAGAAATACAACATTGAATAGCCATGGTCCTGGGATGTGTGTGTAACAGTGAATCCTTTTTAAACACGGGAGTGTTTAAAAAACTGTTTAATCAAGAAGACGGTCTTGGATCAATTATAAGGCAAATAGGAACCAGAGCCTTTTATTGACAGTACATCATCTTGACATGGCCAATTTGCAAGGCTTAATCTACTTTTTAATTGAACTGGAACTGAAGTTGTTCCAATATAATCTGTAAAGTGATCAATACTTCAAAAGTAAAGTAAATGTATGTAAATGTAAATGTGAAGTAATGTAAATGTGCATTGTACATTCATATTTTTTCTTACAATAAACACTGTATGTTGTAGTTAGAATGCTGTTTTAAAAATACATCACGTTAAATAAAGTAGGTCACATAATCTATCTGTGGTAATCTCCTCAAATCTGCTGTAGTGTATAAAGGTTTTTCTTTTTGTTTAGCTATTGTGTTTAAGACTTCCAAATAAATCTTATTTATTATAATATTTTCATTACTCTTTGCCACACAATAAAGGGAACACAAACATTGTGCCACTTCCAAAACAAATAAATGTCAATCATTAACAGTGAATAAAATATATAAGTTATAAAGTCTATAGCCCACTAAGCCCAGCAAACTACCTGGCTATTCAAAAAGCGTTTCCATACTTGAGGAAACAGCTGATATACCAAACATTTATTAACAAGATGCTTTAGGTATATAGATAGTAAATATGTTTTTTGGGGAGAAATAAATAGATAGATGAAATGATGTAGACATTTCTGACCCATTACCTCGTGGGGAAGCTGATGACTGTCACAAATCATGAGGTAATGTTGTAAGAATAGCAACATTCATTCTTGATCAATACTACTATTAACGTACTATTACTAAACATCCTATTACTGTGTTATGATGATCAAAAACATACCCGGAGTTGTGTTTTGTTTCAATTCACACATTTGAATACACAAAGCCTGTATACTTTTTTTCTCTCTGTTCCACTTTGTGATGTCATGTGGTAATACATGATATACTGTGTTTTAAACTCTATACACCTTCACTAGAATCATTTGGATAACTTCAGCCCTCGAACTGGCCATGCCTACTGAACTAAAGGTAAAAGGAGCTATTAACTTCAAAAGTACCACTAAATTACATCATGGAGTGGAACAGAGCATTATGAACTTTGGTGTAGACAGAATAATTAGCCAAAATTACTTAAACATGTATGAATCAAACAACACAAATTCAGGTATGTTTTTGAGGAGGTAAGAGCATTATAACATGGGTTAAAGCTCACAAGAGTCCATTTTGTGTAACATTAATTGCTAATCCATTATCATAGTACAAGACACATGTACAAAATAAAGCCAGCTGAAGTGGAGTATAGCCCTACTAAAACCACATTGGTTTAGTGGCCAGTGTGCCATGCTTGAATACAGACCACTCCCTCAGGGTAAATATTTGGTTATCACTCAGGTATAAAGCTAAAAGCGTAATGTGTAAGAGCAGGAACAGAGCCAGTTTACAAAGCAACACAATACATCACAGAATATATAACAAAACTATATCTACTATTAACATATGCTTTGAATGATGATATCTGAAACTAAAATATTCTCAGCAGTGACAGTTTTGACATGATTATAATTAAAACAAGAGAATACAATAGTTGCTATTGGCTACAATAGTAAAAGAAAAAGAAAAAACAAAATTCAAGACAATAAAGGTTGGGAACCACTGACTGAAAACATTTTGTGGTTTAATGTTAGTTATGCAAATAAATAATATAAACCAATCTTTTTTAAACATTACTATCTATTGGTTTCAGAATGATAAAACCTTTGGATTGCTGCCATAGAAATGAACTATTTAAAACAAAATATTATATACCTTTTGAATAGTGAAAAGTTCTTAAAATGTCGCCTTTAAATGAGAAGCTAAAACCCATGAGTACCGCTTTAGAACAGACAGGAATAACTAAAGTCCTGTACAGGAATAAAAACAAGATCAACAACTTAACTCAATTAACCTCTTTTTGCTGCTAATGTGTCAGTTGGTCAATTTGTGAAGATGTTAAACTTGGTATCATTTTTCTAATTTCCCTGAGATATTAACCAATAAACCAGGCCAAACATTAAACTCTTGACCTTCTCTGCATCAAGGTTTTAAACAGTGCTTTGAAATCGTATGATGTTCACAGTCTAGAGGTTTAGAGTGAGAAACAAAAGATATGAACTCTTTTACAACAATGTGTCACATGGTTACACTACTCAAATCCAGTCATAAGACAAGCATACATCATCGCCGCCTCAGCTGTGTGTGCTCAGATAAGGTCACAGCAGGAAGTAGCTTGTGGTTTTTAGGATATGACCAGTGAAAACCTTCAGTTCTATTAGTAAAACACACACATACACAATAGAACTTATACTGTGTCTTTCCTATTTTACATTTGTAGAAAGTTGAATTGTGGGTAAAATCTATTTGCACTAATAATAAACAAAATGTGTAATAAAAAGTAAATTCTTTTCTAAAATGGCACTTACACTATTTCTGTAACTTGACTAAGCTACACTGGTTTTTAAATTATGAATCCCAAAACATTACTAATAAATGAATTTTTCAAAGTCCTTCATTTTTGATAGTACATACCGGTAACTGTTTAAAACAATGAGGACTACAACAAACCTGAAATATGATTTTCTTTGTAATTGACTATCCCTATTTACTCTCCTTTTTTCAGATAAGAGCGGAAACTCCAGGACCAAAAACAGAGGCCAGGATGTTGAAAAGAACAACATCCAAAATCTTATCAGACTAGTTTGCTTGTTTTCATGGCCTAGTTTCCTTGAATTTGACTGTGAATTGTTTTATCACAAAAAACATGATTTTACTTACCCAGAAAATAAAGTTGAAGAAAAAAACGAGGTACTTGACCAACTTCAATCCACCCTCTACAGGCATGACTAGTTTGTATCAGTAGTCTGGAAAAAACAGAAACAGCTGTTATAACACATTTACTGGATCATTACATTCATAACAGTTCGATCGCCATATGGAAAGATTACACGGAGATACTGTATATTCATGGGATTCAAGCTATGGCAACGGTCCTCTACTTTTAAAGCAACTACACAAGTCAAATGAGGAAAGAATCATTTGTTCGAAGCCGTTGAATATTTAACATTATAACAATTCAGATATGCGTCATCATGAACACATTTCAGCCTGTCTATGGGAGTGGATCTCCTTGAGGTATATTTTTCCACACATGGGTTGAGATTTTCCTTTCTAAACTGCTGGGTTGTCCTGGGACATTCTTCTATTTGTCTGCTTCATTGTTGCACTATAGCTTTTATTCTCTTTTTGATCAAATTTCAAAAGTAGTGTTGTGAATTGGGCCATTCAAGCAAAATTACAAGAGAAATTAACATGGACAAGTTGGAAAAACATAACTTTAACTTGATTTGATGGTACGTTTAGAAAGGCTACACCTCTGTTTACTAAAGTGTTATGTTTCTGATCAAGAGGCAGCTTAGATAAAAAGATAAACAACTAAAATCTTCGTTTCTTTTGCTTGACTTTTTCCATTTTGACTTTAAAGTTTCAGTCAGCGGCATTTTAAAGTAGCAGTTGTCACGGACGAGGAACCGTTAATCAAAGCGAACAATAAGCGCTTTGTTACAGGCCAAATGACTAAATAAAACCAAACACATTCGTCTTATTCGATTTGTTAAACGTCTGATAGCTTAATAGGTCATATACAATCACATCCACCGCTTTGCTATCACTTTTACTTGTCTTTAAAAACGCAAAGTCACCTACGACTTTCTTTCGCAGATTTGGGAAAAGAAACAGCCGTTAGCGTAACATTGTTCGTTCATTCTCGACAAAACAAAGAAAAATGTGGACGTTTCTCAACTTTAACTTTTATATGAAGGATTATATAACAAGTATAGAGATTAAAGAACGAACACAAAAACCTACCTTGTACGTGATCAGTGTTTTGGGCAGCACAAAGAGAAATGAAGCGACAAAGTCCCTACGCCGTGGTCTCATAAACTTCAACGACTCCGCCCTCAATCCGCGCCGTAGCCATGGCAACCAGGGCACGGCTTTCCAACGGTTCCATCACCATGTTACACCACTATGTATTTAAAGAAGAGTCATTGAAGTTTCTAATACTTATCAGTCTAAATAGATAAAGGCTGCGTTTATAAGTCTTGTAAACAACGTATCTGCTGATTTGATCAATATGATGATCCCTGAAGCAAACACAAATGGAAGGTCTTGAGTGGGTGTACCATTCGGTCATTTAAAGATTGACCAACAATTGAATAAATAATGGGATAACAAGTTTTGCCGAGTGGACTATGTTGATTCAGCGGGTAATAATTATTAGAAAGACTAAACAAAATTTCAGCCAAAGGCAATAAGCTCACTAATAAGCTCAAACTATAATTTATTCATAATATGGCATATGACCATATGACTCTTTATCAAGTATTAATAGAGAATATGCTTGTGCAGTTGTCAGTGTTGTCAGCCTACACATTATCTTATAATAGCTTGCCTTCATTATTTAGTTGGAGAATTTGTGACTCTGAAACTTCCTCTTTGGAACACTTCCTCAAAAAAACGCATAGAAATGCACAATAAAAATACACAATGATTCCGATCATTTAAATTTTTACTATGCCAAAAATAATTTGAGTTGCCCACAAATATGTTATTTATTCCTGTTTTGTTTTATGATTACATCATGTAGGCAATAGCCTAATCCAGCATCTGTCTTTTTTGTTTCTGTCATGTGTTACTGAGCACGACTGAAAAGGATCTTATTCTTCTCAAAACCCTGAAATATACATTTATGTAGGCCTACAATGTGAGCAATGCAAATAACAAGAAAAAATGGGCCTAAATGCATAAATATCTGAACCATGCATTTTATGATCTGAATACAGTGTCATGGACCCATGTCTCAACTGTAGACTGTATATATAACAGTATTTATACAGTCTGTGGTCTCAGCCACGGTGTCATCATGGGGAGATGCATGAACTTGATAAGTCTTCAACTTTTTTGTGTGTATGTATATGAAGGAGTTCTCTTCAAAAATGTGTGCGTGTGTGTGTGTGTGTGTGTGTGTGTGTGTGTGTGTGTGTGTGTGTGTGTGTGTGTGTGTGTGTGTGTGTGTGTGCTTGAGGGTTCTCTTCTGTGATTGGCTGAATGCCCTGTCTCTCAACAAAAGATTCCGGAAGAGGCGGGGCGAACGCTCGTCACAGCGTCATCATGGCGGGATGCATGAAATTGATAGAAGATTTCCACTGTATGGCTGTTAAGCTGTTTGTTTTTGCCTTTATACTGAATTGTTTGCCCCAGCTATCTCACCAGGCTACAGGTAAGAGACCGAGCTTCAGTAAATGGTATCTTTTTAATGTTTAATTAAGTGCTGGTCGTTTCTTTAACCTCTGAGATATGCTAACACAGGTTAGCTTATGTCGCTCTAAAACCAGTAAAACTGGCTACAACGCCTGCAAATGTGTGGCGGGAGTTAAACAATTTAATGCATTTCCAACGTAACTTTAGTCTACAATTAACCGGAAAATAAGGATATGTTAACTTTATATAACGTATTCGTGTGGTGTTTCATTTTCGGTCTTGCACGAACTAAAAGCACAACAACCACCTCATCCAGTTTTGTGAAATCACAGCTTGCTTTGATGGAAGTGAGGAATTATTGACCATAATGTTCAGTATATTTAGATTATGTCTGGTCAACTCTTCGTTTATCATACAACTATGTGTGTTATTTACATGTTGTAAATAATTTTGTGTCACAGGTTCAAATTCAGTTGTACATCTCCAAGACGGTGCAGTACAGGTTTCCTCTGGGTCTAAAGTCTTCTGTTACAAAAATACTATTTCCCCAACATGGAAACATACATGGACAAGGATACAGGTGGGTTACATGAGAGATATAAAAAAAGACACTGTAGATAAATTATACTTTACATGATTTGATAGATTCAACCATTTTTCCAGGTCAAAGTGTGGAGTTCAAGGGGGTTTAAGGTGCACATTGTGGATGATGAGGAGCAGCTACAGGAGCTGGAGCGCTGGAGTGTCTGGGGTTGGTTCCAGAGCTGGCTGCGTGAGAAGCACAATGAAACGTCCATCAACATTAACCTCTTCAGCAAAAAGACATGCATCAAAATTGACCCTGCGGATGGAACTGAGTACACGCTCAAAACTCTGCGAAGTATGTACAGAAAAGCTTTATTAATACTTTGGTAAATGATCACATTTTTATATAGCGCTTTTCCCGCTTCAAGGCACTGGAAGTGCTTAGGGGTGAGGTGGATTAAGTATGTTGCCCAAGGACACAATGACAGCATTCATCTGTGGGAGCTAGAATCTCACTGCCTACCAATGATATTTTATACTGAGTTGGATTTGAACTGCCAACCTTCGGATCAGTGGATAAACGCTCTACCGACTGTCGCCTCTGCAGCTGTATCATCAACATTTCCTGGGGGTGTGAAACTAAGTGAAAGCACTACTCTGTCAGAAGCTCTGTTACTTAAGTTAGATTCAATTTGAGCTTTATTTTAACAGTCTCACCAGAAAGAATGTGCATAGTTGAAACGACAACATCTGAGATAATTTTTGCTCTTAAACAATTCTCTCACACATAAAATTACAGTCACAAGATAGCTGGCATTGGTTAACAGCATTTAGTCACCTTTTTAGTTGATAATAAAACCCCTAAATGGGACCATGAATGCATGTATTGATCACAGGCTCCTGAAAATTAGTTTATTTATTTAAATTTTATTTATTTATTATATATATTTTTTTTTCATTACAATTTTGAGACTATATTAAAACATTTTTGTCTTATTTGCTAATGTGTGCTTTGTTTACATTTCCAGTAGAGATACATGTAGAACACCCCCAGCATAACGATTGTAAAATGCTACTGCATTTTATTTTGGTGGCACTTGTGGTTAAAATGTTCAATGTTCATGTGTACTAACAAGTCAACTATGCACATGTTCTTTGGGAGGCTTTAAAACGACTTTGTAGTATGTACAGAACTTATTTGCTGTCAAGATCAGCAGCCCTATGCAAAATAATACAACCTGAATGATGATGGCGGTGCCCAATAAGATGAATAATTGGGTTGCAGATGATATCACAACTTTCTATAGGCCAATAATATTTAAATTTTGAACCATGGTTTATTGCTACAGAGAAATATTGCCATAAATTATAATTTGAAACTACTTTGACACAATTAAAATAAAGCAGGGTAATCCCAATAAAACATTTTAACATAGACCGTATCATTGAAAGGCATGAAAGGCAAAAATACTCTCCACTTTTATGAAGAAATTGTGCGCCCGATATATACATTGTTGCAGCTTTCATACAGTGAATGTTAAGTCATCATATTCTAGTGATTGTCTATAAACAGAATTTACAAACTCAGAATGTGCTTTGGTGATGTGGTGCAACATAAAAACATAAAATAATAAACAGTGCAAAATATGATCACTTAAAAGATATGCATAAACCGGATACTCTGGCAACTCTCTGTTTTAATATTTGTATTAGCTGCTAAAATTTTCTGTCATTTGCAGGGTTTGACATCTATCTGTTTTTGGTGTTCTTCACTGGAGGCTTGTTGTTCCTATTTGCAGATTCCCTCAGCAAGTAAGCCCTTTTGCCGATTACAAACTATAGACTACAGATTACTATAGTTACTTGACAACAATATCTGACTTAATGGTTATCACAGTAAAATGTTTGATTATTAAAAGCAGATCCCATAATATAAATAGGGTAATGTAAGGTGGGAAAGAAGCTGCCTTTTTAAATACCTTGTGATGAAACAACTTTTTATTCTTTAGAAGTCAAGTTTTCTATTATTCCACTGGTGTGAGCACTGGGATGATTGCCTCGCTCATCATCCTCTTCTTTGTGTTGTATCGCTTTATGCCAAAGGTAAACAAAATGTGAGATTTACACCTTTAAACCTGTTTTTACATTAAAATTTCATACTTCTCCACAGAAAAGCCCTTTTTACCTTCTACTTGCCGGCGGTTGGTCATTGTCAGTTTATGCCATCCAGCTCGTCTGCAGGAACTTGCAGACCATTCTCAAAGAGCACTGGCACTTTGCTTTAGGTAAACATTTATTTCTAGGTTTTAAATGATCAATTTATGTAATTTTGGCATTTTTATTGCTTTTGTTGTTTTATTTAGATGGCTGCAGGCAAAATAAGATAACTTATTAATCTTGCATTAGAAAAATGGTCTATGCACTATTTATTTTCACTATTTTGGGTACATTATGGTCACTAATATAAAGTATCAGGTTTAGACTGTTCCAGTGTACTCCAGTATAAATTAAGTGTGCTGTGTTCTGTTTCAGGCTATGTGGCAGTTGTGGGGTTCATCAGTTTTGCAGTCTGTTATCGATATGGTCCCCTGGTGGATGAAAAGAGCATCAACATCTTCTCATGGACTCTGCAGTTGCTGGGACTGCTCCTCATTTATGCTGGCCATCAAATCCAGCCTGTGGCTTTTGCCATTATCGTGTCATTGGTGTTAGCCAAAAACCTGGATTACCCTGTCTCATTCACACTTGTTTTGTGGAGGTAAGTCCTACTATTAAACACAAGGTGGCACCAAAGTAAAGTAATCTCCCAGACTGAACACCAACTACCCTCTCTGTTAGTAATGTATTGACTCATAATGAGCATAGCAGGTTGTGTTGTCTTAGAATTTGTTATGTATATTATTATGTATATATATTATTATATATTGCGCAAAATAAGACAACTCTAGCAATTGCATTTTGTCTTATAATTTTTCTTGTGGAGAGCTGCTTTTTTTCAATTGCCTCCATGTTATTGATTTGCCTGGAATGTCCCTCATTACGGCATTATACTTGTCTATCACCATGGAGATAGCCGGTGATGCCACCAGACCAAATTACAAGTCAGATTTGTGGAGAATGTATGTCCTATTTTCTTTGCATCAAAAACTGTAATTTAACACACGGAAGATGGCTTACTTTGTTTAATCCAACAGTTTGGCATTATTCTACGTAAAGCAATGAAATCTCCATGACTGCAAGTTGTCAGAACGCCCATCAGAAAACATACTTACATAGTGCACCTTTTACAGTCAGTTGATCCCTGTGAATTCACATGAGGTAATTTGTAATAATGGCCAGATGTTGGAAATTAAAGTACAGGATGTGTTCTAAATTGGCTTTGAAAATAACCATCTCAATTGGACAGTGTCTTAAGGAGGATGATTCTAGTTGTCCTTGAATGACTGCTGTTTCACTGTGCACAAGTAAGTTGCGTACAAGATGAGAAAATCTGTTCATATATTTTAGGCAAATGAGCCCTCCCTGATTTGAAGGATTTCTGAAGGACTCTTGGCCATTCAATATTTAGATTTAGATTAGATTTATATACATGCTGTCTATGCTTGAAATCCATGAATACCCTTAGACACATAAATGACATGAATGCCTCTAAATACCTAGTTCATCTGTACATTCTTCCTATTATCTGTGACATTTTGAGGACTTTTTCCCAGTTTAAAATATATAATATTTTGTATTTGTTATATTGCTTTACATTTCTTATCCCAATTGTAGGTCTGTCATGATAATTACTATATCAAGTTATCATTCAATATATATTAGATGGAACCATTATTTTTGAGGGTCAATATTTATTGTGAGGAGTTTTTCCTTTGCACTAGTGAGGAACTTTTAGTATTTTATTCTACAATTAGATTTGAGCTGTAGGAGGGTGAATAAATAACTTGACTCATTATAGATACAAACTACTAAAGTGTTTAATTCTTGTACTTATGTAGTGCTGTTATCATATCATACATTTAGAATAGTAGAATAGTGCCTTGACACAGATCTACTGACCCTACCTGACCAGGCCTGTTAAACTGCACTGTGACCTTTGACTGAGATACAAAGGTGTTTGAGAAGCACAGTGTAAATACCGTTGCAGCTAAACTTGAATTTCCCTCTGGATCAATAAAGTATCTGTCTATCTTATGACTATTTTTCTATGTAGAAAAATGAGACGCTTGGTGAACTGGAAACCAGAGCCTCGTCGCCTGTTAACAGAGGAGGAGTATCAAAGGCAGGGAGAGGAGGAGACTCGGCGCGCTCTAGAGGAGCTTAGGGAGTACTGCAAAAGCCCAGACTTCAACACATGGAAGACAGTGTCCAGGCTGCAATCCCCCCAAAGGTGAAATTAACAAAGGGAACTGGGGTTTCGGATGATATAATAACTTCTGTGTTAATGTACTGATTCATTAAGATGTATACAAAATGTGTATTGCATTTTTGAAGGTGTTGAAGGATTAATAGAGCATGAAATTCCGACTTAGTGAAAGTCTAAGCTATGTGACGTAGAATCTAAGTATGTAAGTACACTGTGTTTTAAAAATTTTACAGTTTCTCTGCGAAACTGGTGTCATATAATAAAATCTAATCCAAAATATAGCTGCAAGCAGCAATGTGGAGACCTTGCAATACCAACAGAATAGGCAAGAGTATGTACATTAATACATGTACAGGGTGAGGGGAAGGGAAAACGGTCCATTTTACGAGAGTGTCCATGTACTTGGAGACACTGGGGAGGGGTCTCCATTGAGAAAAAGCACTCAACTTGCATAGTATCTCTTGAAGGCACACAAAACACTGAAATGCTTAGATCCAAGTCACTTATTATTGATGAGGTTGTAATTCATTCCCTATACAACTGTTTCAAATACATTTACAGTGAAATTCACTAACTGGTGAAGAAGACATTGAGGTGGCAATAGAAAAACAAAGAATCAACTTTTTCTTTAATGGTATGTATAATGTCCATGTCAGTTGTCAGTGGAAATTCTCTGGATTAACATATCCTCTTCTGCATAAGAGAGAAAGTGACAGTGAGCAGGTCAATAGTTATAAGCATGAATGCATTTCCAAATTTGACCAGCTGGTGGCACTATAGCTCTTGAGGTAGAGACTTGAAAATGACTGAAAGTGATCATGGGCCTGGCCTGAATCAACACGCAAAATTTCATAGCTGTATTCCAAGGCGTTCTATGGGATACAATTTTTTTAAACAAAATTCAACATGGCCACCGAATGCAGATGGTTACGTGATAAACATTTTTATGACATTTAATTAATTAATCAGTGCATTTATATAACACCTTTCAAGATACCGAAAGTGCTTCATTATTCATTCACTCCACGCTGGTGGTGGTAAGCTACTACTGTAGCCACAGCTGCCCTGGGGCAGACTGATGGAAGTGAGGCTGCCAATCTGTGCCATTAGTCCCTCCAACCACTATCATCCGTCACACACCACTTTCATACGAGGCAATGTGGGTGAAGTGCCTTGCCTAAGGACACAATGACATTTCTTGCCACTGGCGCATCACTGTGGCACCTGGAATTCCCAGTGGTCTCCCATCCAAGTACTACCCAGGCCCCCTTCTTAGCTTCTTAGATCTGATCTATGGCCACACATGTATTGCTGAGTCAAATAGCATCAGCAGGCACAGGAATTTTCTTTGAAATCCAAACGGATCAAGAGATATCACTTAAAACTCCTTTTTGCTAATTATAGTGCCCCCTAGAGGTCGAAAGTCATGACATTTTTTGAGGGTCTAGAGCAGGGGTGTCAAACTCATTTTGGTCCGGGGGCCGTATCCAACCGACTTTGATCCCAAAGGGGCCGGATCAGAAAACTCATGTCATATAAACCCCAAAAATAACAATAAGTTCAAATATTTGTGCAGAGAAACACAAATCTATTACACAAATCTTTTTTAATTGATGAACTCTTTATTATAATATTATAATATTACGAACAACAAAATTCAATTTCAACACACGCAGAAAATTAACAATATTTTAATAAAAAATATAATTAAAATATTTTAGTAGAAAATCACCCAAGCCCCACATTAAAGGTCTTGGAGGGCCGGATCTGGCCCCCGGGCCTTATGTTTGACACCTGTAGTCTAGAGTGAGGGGTCATGGATCCAGGTATCAAGTTTGTTGTCAGTGCGTACGTACGTGAATAGGAGATACATTTTGAAGGTTTTTGATGAAATCCAAAATGGCGAAAATCCAATATGGCAGAAAATGACGTCGTAGAAAATTATGTTCAATTCGGCTTGGCTCAAGGATTCCAGTGACACCTCATTTGCAAAAATTTAACGTGTCAGTTGTTAGAAGCATGACTGCATGTCCAACTTTGACCTGTTGGTAGCGCTAGATCTCTTGACCTATTGACCCCAAATTGGCTGTGAGGGACGATGAGACTGTCCTGAACCAGTGTGCAAAATTTCACAACTTTTTACCAAGGCTGCCATAGACACCCCAGACAGAAACGTAATAATAGTAAGAAGAGTCTTTTGTAATGCTGCAAGGCCTCCAATTATATGTTAACCACTGTTTGTTTTCATAGTTACAGTACAATAATTTACAGTAAAACCTACATGTAAATAATAACTCTGTTTATTGCAGATTTGCTGATTTCATTGAGGGCTCCTCTCACCTTATGCCAAATGAGGTGTCAGTCCATTCTCAGGAGTATGGATTTGGAGGGTCATTTTTTGAAGAAGATATTTTCGACACTGACGATGAAGATGACCTGAAACCCATTATAGATCCAGAGTGACTTAATGGACCCTGCTTAAAAAGGGATCCACCATCTTGGGAACACTGGGTACTACCGCATGCATTGGTCCAAGAAGTTTGTGTTGATGAATTTTGATAAAATGTTGGACTTTGTAATCAGAAGAACTGGTTAAATTCAAAGCCACAAGCCTGTTTTATGTGGTGGTATTTGAATTTAGTTTTCAGGACCAGCAAAGATGGCTTTTACTCTTGTATTGTGTGAATTCACTGGGAATGGGAAGCGGACTTTGCTTGTACTATCTATTATTCTGACATGTAACTGGGAGGAGATGATTATTTTAGGATATGGGAATGCATTTGAGCTGACTCCCTTTCCATTTTCTGTTATGTTTGAGCCGAAGACTTATAAACAAATAATATTTACACTTTTTACAAGATAAGCATATTCATTTTCATTAATTAAACATAGACATTTTAATTTAATGCAATAATATGGTACATTTTAGACCAAGTGTTAACATCTTGGAGACAAGCAGGTGGTCTAAATCAGACTGTGCACCTTTTTTTAAGAATTCAGTTATAATAGAACCTCTAAAATTGGTGTGTAAGTATGTCCTTTTTACATCTTTTCTGATAATTCAAACCACTTTTAGACAATATGACTTTTAGACATGAAATCGTAGCGCTTTCCTTTATATTACCATGCAGCCTTAGAAATATGTAATCTCTCAGTTGTCCAGGTAGGTTAGTGGTTCATGGCTGTATACTGTTCTAAAGCTATTCAAGAAAGGTTCATTTCTGTTCTATGAACGTGACTTTTTAGTACGGATAGATGTGACAACAGTTTTAGTAATAGTATCTGATTTTAGATATTTTTTATACTTACAAAATTGTGAGGATTTCAGTTCATGTAAAGAGTTCCATCATATTATTATTTGCTTGTTAAATGTTTTCAATTTACCTGTGAAGCTGACATTTAATGGCTGTTGATGTCTGCCATCACTTGTTTTTGTTTAAAGAAGGGAACACCCCAGTAATGTCAGCAACTGAACAGCTGATACAGGTTATAGTATTTGCATGTGTTTCCCCGTGTCTCATTGCCATATTCGACAGTGGCATCACATTCACATGGTACACCATTTCCTAGTGCACTTCCTTTAACCCTGTCCCTGACCTCCCTTTAATGCAAACAAACTCTACACATGCAGAACTGGGGAATCCCTGTTTCATTAAGTTTACAGCCCACAGTTGCTGCCTCTGTCAGTGGCCTCATGTAAAGTGTGGATTTCCCCTATTCACAAAGAACCATGTTTCAACAGCTGAATATCTTCTCCACCTCTCGGGATTTAAAATGGGAATGCAAACATAGTAGCGATTCCCAAACATGTGCTGGCTAGTGTTACGCAATATTAACTTTTCCAACTCAATCTTGATACTAAGCAATAGACTCGATACTCATTACTACTGATTCCAATATCCTGATAATATTAAATACACTTTTTAAATACACTTTTTATTTAGACAATAGATTCAATATTAACATGTGGTTTTATATAATCTCTCAGTCATACAGTTACATTTCAGAGTGGTCTATGGATGATGGCTGGATACTTGTTCTGATACACCTCAAATCATTAAGATATTTAGGAAAGGTTAATTTCTGTCCTGTGACTTTTTTTATTTATTTTAGCATCGATACATACTCAAAAGTGTATCTAGTGTTGATACTAGTTTTGTATCAGTATCTGAATTTCATTACTTTTGATAAGATTAGTGCTGGCTCCAATAACTTAAAAAAAAATCTTATCCTGTATCCATAACAATATACACTTTATTATCCTTCATAATATTTCAGTAATAATATATCAAAAGAAATGTCATTTAGTTTCTATCCTAAACATTTGCAGACATGCAGCCAGTGCATTTCGTAAAAAAACTTTACAATAAATGCGAACAGGAAACATAATTTAACATACTTAAAAACTGGATTGACTGTATTTTACAGTGTTTCAGTAACAATCACTTGGAATGATTCTTCAGTCCACAAACTTCCAGTGTCCAAAATGATCCAGTGTTGCTGTTGCTGGTTTAACTTCTGTGTCAGAAGGTCAGTACTTGTTGATCCCAAATATTCGCACCCCATGAAACTGGGGTAGCTTCGGTAAAAGGACGCTCAGGAGAGAGCCAGTGTTGATTAAGAAATGCGTTGCATCATATTTTGTGTAAAAACTCGCCAGTATATACCTGTGAAGGAAAGACAGTGAAGACTGGATTTGTCTCAATTCAAATTACAAACTGATTTAGAAAGTTTGTAAACTTTTTGCATGCACACCTAAGATGAAGGTATAAGAAAAATGTTTTACTCTTAAGATGAAGGTATAAGAAAAATGTTTTACTCTTAAAAAGAGACAAGGTTAGGGATGAAAACGTTTTTTTTTTTTTAAGTTTTCCAATAATTATCAATTTTTTTATGGTATTCATTAGAAATATGCTAAACAGTGTAATAAATGGTTGAGCTGCAAATACTGCATAAATGTGGACAGTCAAAATGCAAAACTGCAGAAAAATGTTTGGAGGATTACACTACAAATCCACACTGCAGCATTTAGCAGTTTATCTTTATATTACAGATGAAAAAACATAATTTTGCATTCCTTCAGAACTTTTTCAATATTATCTACATTGCCCACCTCTAAGGTTGTTTCCCCATAATGCATCTCTTTAAAACTATATATACTGAAGAGGATTTGTTATGATGAGACTAAGGCTGCGGCCCTGTGTTTGACTTTTTGTGATCTACACTTACAGCACGATGGGGGAAATGGTGAGGAATTTGCGTGATGCGGTGAACTGAATGCCATTGTCCATCTGCTCCCAGTGCGTCAACAGCCGAGCTTTGCCCTGGTCCGGGGTCTCAAACGGAGTGCCCTTCACCGTGTGCAGGAACAGGTACATCACCTGATTAACACAAACATTACACCGTTTACAGCAATGTCACTAACTATGTATCATGAACACATTTCTCGCTCATTAACCTGGTACCAGTAATTACTCTATAAAGATGTCATCATAAACTGTTAGCTTATAGTTAGTTAATTAGTAGTACAGTTAAACACTTAACTTTTTTTTTTTTTTTTTTTACAATGTAGTCAGCGATCATTTTACAATTTTACACCCTCATTTACATTTACAGTCTATGGGTCTTTGATAGACAATACGAAATACCAAAAGAGAACCATTTTAAATGCACTTTTTTCTGATTGAGTGAATAGGAACTTTACTTAAATTATGTGTACCTTTTGACACATGTGCTGTGCTGAATCTGAAAGAGGAAATGGGGTTCTAGTCATCCGAAATAGAAATTCATTTGTAAACATAGTTTGATGGAAAAAGTTTTTTCTCAGCAAGTATCAAGTTAATTTATAGAATAGCAATTTTGTTGCTTACTTGCTCGCAATAAATAGTCAACAACTCTACAGCGTTTTAGTACTTTTTTTGTTGTATTGTGAATTCTTGGAGTCTGTGGCCGCACTCACCAGGTTATGAATGACGTTGGTGAGAGTCCAGACGAGGGGCACAGTGAAGAACGGGATGCTGAGGAGGACGATGTGAAGCACCACAGTGAGAAGCAGATAAGTAAGCCAGATGCCTCGACTGTTCATCACCCGAGTGTTTGGGTTCACCTCGCTGTGAGCCACGCCAACATTCATCTGCAGGAAAATAAATACAGTAACAGTTTGAGATGAGGCATGGCAATATGGGGGAAAAAAAATTAATGATTTTTTTTTACTCATTGATTAATCTCTATTTTTGATTTGATTTAATTTAATCTTTTCAACATTTTTTTAAATATTGACTTGATGAACATATTTTCTGCCTCCAAAGTCTGAACTCCAAACCGCAGAGAACTGACTATAGACCTCTCCATTAAAACCCCCCAACAATATCATTGACGATTAAACATGAGTCATGACATTTCTTGTATAATTGCCCCACACTAGTTTGAGCATAAAACAAACACTGTCAATGTTTGTTTCTAACAGACCTATCATGGCACAGTGGGCTTTATAGTTGCATTGTGATTTACAAGCTTGACAGGGCTCTCATACAATGTAGTGTCACTGTATGCATTATTCATTCACTTCTTATTTGGTGGTGGTGAGCTACCTTTGTACCTCAATCATTCTACCAAGAGCAGCTGGATTTGAGGCTCCCAGTCGGCACCATCATCCCCTCTGACCACCACCACTAAGAATTACCTTGTCCAAAGACACAACAGCAGCATGCCCTGAGCTGGGATAGCACCACTGACCTTTGGCTTGCTACAGTCACCCGAACAAGTTAAACCATTACTAAATACATTATATAGTAACAGTGAAAGTTGAAGCTGTTTTGATACATGATAAAAAAAAAAAAGAAAATACAATAATACTGCCCGGCTTGTTTCCATACTATGCTGGGGCCATAGGTTACCACTAAATGAAAATTATACAGAGTAAGGAATAAGGAAAATGAGGAACAGGGAACACGAAGTATCATAAATCTGATTTTCTTTCAATATGTTCCCGACTGCCCACTTCACATCCTCACTGTATCACTCCTCCAATTATTCTGTAATAGTTAAGAGAAATAGCGTTGAACTACAGATATGAAATTAATATTTGAAAAACACTGAAGCAATTATTTGGCTATTTATGTTTATGTTTGTGTATAGCAAGTCTGGATGCCTTAATTAAAGCGACTGACTGAGTTATGTAATAGTTACGACATGCACTAAACTATTACAAACAAATATGATGCTAGCTGTAGGATGCTAACTCTGGGCTAGTCTTCGCACTGCGAGTTCAGCTTTTCCGTAATAAAAGCACGCTACATGCTAGTTTAATTTAGATATTCTTCTAAATGTCGCTGTAAAAATATCCCGAAAAACTATTTATTAATTACATTTACTGAAGTATGACGCCAGAACAAACTTTACCTTCCACTGTTGTCGTAGCCAGCAGGAAATTCCTACTTTTCTAAACCCCGCCTTTGTTTGACTTGAGTGGCTTCCTGTAGCTTCAGCCCATTTGACAATAAGCCTCTGCTCGACAATGAATGGACCATAAAGTGAGAAGGAGACAGCTTATTGCAGATGTTTCAGTCATGGCATTAAGTGGGCTCGTAGTAATCAATTAGGCTGCATTTACTAAAGTCACTTGAGAAAATTGCATTTGTAAAAGCAGGCAACTTTATCTAGCATAGAAGACCATCTATCACTCTTTTGGGTGCAACTATCTTGGAAGGCAATGGGGCTCAGAATGGTAATTCTTCATTCTGTTTTTTCTGTGACCTGAACCAAACCTTCCTGGTTGAGTTACAGTTTAGCTGAGCTTACTGTTTCTACATCTTCCTCATTTGAGTTTACATCATCCACAGTGTGAGGAACCACAGTAGTTTTACTCACCAACAAAGCAGGAAGTACCTGGGAAGTGGTGCATCTCTGAAGAGAAGCGTTTGCGGAAAGCACAGCTTCCCTCTTAATCTCTACATGCCTTTCTACTGTTGTTTTGGAATTTCATACAAAACGTAAGGGGATCCTCAGAGCAGGTAATACAAGTTTCTCAATACGAAATCATGACTCAGATGAACACATATCAAGTGGTAAAAACATTTTACTAAAGAGTTATACATGTAGAACGATTTTAAATACATACTTAAAATAAATATAATAAATAGGTTGTGAATAAATATTATAAGATATACGATTCCATTGGAAATACGTTGCAAAGAAAATACTGTTTCATCAGTTGTTGCAAACCAGTTGGCTGCGCTAGACATTTTGATCAATGTGATCAAGAAGATCAAATAAGGATTATCCTTTTACACGTTTTTCTGGGCACAGTTTGGAGAATCAGCGCGCTCTGTGGGCTCTGCGTGGTTCGCCGGATCTCCAACTGAAAAGACGCGTGCCGTGAGGATGGAGAAGGAGAAAAGGCGTTCTATGGTGTAATTGCACAGTAAGGGCCTCTGCCAGTCTTCAAGCTTTTCATGAGTGTGATCCACCTTTAAATATAGAAACATGTTAAGTAACACTGCACAATGTATATACCCAAATATACCCAAATCCACAGGAGCGTGGATCAGTTTTAAGCCCACCTTGTGGTGATGGTACTCTGTCCTGGACTTGACACATCTGCTCATGTGGTTATGCAGCTTGTTCAGCACTGGCTGCACTTCACGGGCGCCTGCGCAGCCCTTTAAATCAACCTCGGTCTTCACAAAAGACTCATAGCTTGTTAGAACATCCAGCATCTTTTTGATACAAGACTGAAAAAGAAGACACAAAACATGAATTATTCATACCTCCACAGCGAGTAAGCTACTTTCTACACATGTATTTTCCTATGTGTTTGTGACGTGTTAATGATTTAGGCTTATTACCTCAGGCGCGAGTCTGAGAGTGCCGGGGTCGCACTGGTCCTGGGCTTCCATCCAAGCAAGTGAAGTGGAGAACGGTCTGATGTCTTTGGGTATATTTGAAACCTATGAATAAAACAGACTATAAGAATAACTGTGGGTTTTTGTAAAAGCTATTGGCATACACATTTAGCGCACTTTCAAATTAAAATCCTAGTGTAGAATGCTAAAGCATTTTAAAACGAAAATGTCTTACCGCCTTTTTGGCTATTGCATTAAACTCTAGAGCACTTTTTTGTACATCGGTGCAAGCGCCATGGTGACGGTGTCCAGTAGGAGAACATGATGCAGAAACAAAAAGTAGAAAAAACGAAGCAAATTTAATGATAACAGCCATAAGTGCGGATTCTGTAGTCAATTCTGCTCAAGTGTAGTGATCAGATGAGCGACTGTTGTGTCTTTGGCTCTGTGCTGTGTTTGCTTAAATAGTCTCTGTGGAAGAGTGGTGTTAGGAGGATGAGTCATAGCCACCGGGTTTTTAGGTGAGTAGATACTGTATTGCCCTGGATTTGTGTATGACAAAAGGTAAACAAAAGATGAATCTGATGGGAATTAGGAAAATTGAATTTAACACATTAAACTTTTTATACGTACGGTGACTATGGATGGCACTGCATGAAAAGCAGGCAACCAAAACATATTATTTTAATTTATAATATAAACCCAATAACCGAAGGACCGAACTTTAACTTAACATTTTAATTCAAATTGAATCTAATCAAGTTTCACATCTAGAGTGAAGGAAGTGAGAATAACCTTTGCTTTTGAGATTTTAAACTTGAATTGTCCTCACAGACAAACTGGGAGATTAGGCAAAATTTCCCATTTGTCCACAATGTGTGCCGCTTCTGTACTAAAGAAACCTTAAGAAACATCTTCTTTTTTTGTACAAACGAGTAATACAAAACAAAATGAGTTATTTGTTGAACGTGATGATAGAACTATACGCGTCCTGTTTATGAACGCCCCCTGTGACTAACCCGGAAGTGCTTTCGCAGACGCGATGTTTTGTGAATGGGGAATATGGATGAACTCGGAGTAAAGACAGATTAAAGGACATGCAAAGGTTTTCGGGCAGATTTAATTAATTTAATAGAGTTTGCATTTCTATTTTATGACAGATATTTGTTGATTTATGGGTAGATGCAAAAAGCTGCTCTATACCTCTGCCGTTAGCTCTAGGGCTATGTTAGTCATTGGTATTGGATGCGATTGTCATTCTATGGTCCATACATGCACTTTTTAAGACATTTTACGTTTGTTTTATAAAGAGTAACTTGTAGCTTGTACATTGTGGTTTGTATTTTCATGTATTTATTGCAACATCGGCAATTCAGTGAAATTACACTGCAAGACATGCTAAGTGAAATTACTTTACTAACATAATCTGACTAACTAATTATAATCTTATTTTATTACTAAGTGTTAGGTTAATTGGCATACTTAGATAACCACGATTCACACCTGGAATCAGGTTATTTCATTTCGTCATTTCAGCATTAATAAAAATAGAAATAGTTAGCATTATCATTTTTTTCTGTGAAGCCCAGCTATAATGCATAGTTTTTCATAACTGTTTTTAGATTGAATTAAGTGAACCATGATGAACTTTGATGGATTGGACCCTGGGATGGGTGAGTATCCACCTGCCCTCCATGGAGCACTGGATGCAGGCATAGAGCCATCCATGGACCCCCATCTGAACCCGACCTTGATGGGGCCTGGCGTGGAGTTGGATCCAGAGGCACTGGCTGTGGCTGTACCCGAGACCGTGCACCTGGTGGAGGGCATGTTCTCGGAGCTCCACAGTGTTGTGTCAGAAGTGGGCATCCCTGTCACCGCCACACATTTCGATCTGCAGGAGGAGATGCTTTGGATGGGCAATCATAGAGTAAGGAATATAGTTTAAGTTCTCAGACTTGCACACACACCTAATCAAAAGTGGAACTACACTGGGAGTTTATTGAACTGGACCAAACCAAGTCCACATTAGGACTAAACTTGGCTCAAACCAGGATCAAACCAGGACAATTGCAAATGCAAGGTTCAAGTACTAAGATTCTAGCGTATATTTCTCTCTGTTCTTGTATCTATGGTGTCTTTATGAGAAATATCAAAAAGAATAAGTGTTGATCCAGATAATTTTTCATCATCTTCCAATAAATTAGATACTTTTTTAAATATACAAATATAATTATAAATATCTCCTCTCAAACAATACAGGACTACAAAACTCAATGTTTCAAAAACGTTACTGTAAACTTACAACAAGTCAAGTGTAACAATATGATAATGGCCTTAACAGCATTAATAAGTGTTTTATAAATCTTATAAGGCTCACCATAAAACAAAAATAAATAACCAGTGTACTGTGAATTTAATGTCATGTTAGTATTACACCATGAGATCTGAATATAGTTCATCATCATCATTGCCATAGAGAAAGACTTGATTAATATGTTATTTTTCTAGGGTCATGCCACATCTTTCTTTGGTCCAACGATGGGGCGATACTCATCTTTTCAAGTGCATGCATCAGATGATATCCGGCACATTCAGAGCCTGGAGACTGGGGTCCTGTTTCTGTCCAAAAACGATCTCAAATGCTGCACTCGAGGAGGCATAGTTATGTTTGATTATCCGTAAGTATAAATAGGAAGATTATCTTCTAAGATTATCTGTTAATTGATTATTGTGGTTATTCAGGTCACAATATGGTCGTAATAACTAAAAATACTGAAATGGAGAATTTTAGAACCAGATTTTGTTATTGTGCTTTTTATGTTACATTAAGTTTACTTTCATTCAGACAGTTGTATTTCATAAAACTAGTCATACAAGTACACACTAGTACACAAACTAATCTCAGGTAAGAATAATTGGGAATACATTTAAGATCATGTTTTTCCTTTTATATTGTTACATCACTAGTGTACATTTTTTATAATGAATGATATTTTTAACTTTTATTATTAAGTTTTATTCTTTCCAGGATGGAGGAGGGAGCGGACATGCACAGTCTCCTCATGACAGACAACAATACTGTTCTTATGGGGGGACTACAAAATTATGTCGTTGAAGTTGATTTAAATACAGTTCAAGAGACTCAAAAGGTAAAGTACTAAAATAAACTTCAAATTACTTTTATTTGATACATTGTTTGGATTCCCATTAAAACTATAAAAATTCAACATACAAAAGTAAAAATGTATTGGCGTGAATAATACATTTTGATAAAGCATTAGGTCACAGTCTCCTCATGAAGGCACAAACCTTCAGAGTCTTATTTAAAGTATATGTGTGTTTTGTTTTTTTCTACAGTTCACTGTGGAGGTCCCTGGGGTTGCAATAATGAGACAGACGAGTCGATTCTTCTTCTGTGGACACACCTCGGGCAAAGTAATGAACAATTTTTTTTCTTTTTCAAGATTTAGTTCAAATTACAAGGAGAACTATGAAAAATCTCACTTGTTCTTTTATTTAACCATGTTATAACAGTGTTCACTCATCATAACTTGCTGAGATGTATTTCCATTTATTCATACATGTTCAAAAAGTCTGTAAGGTTGTGATTAATAATCAATCTTGCACCTAACAAACCCCTTGTTTTGACATTTCTAACTTCTTTGAACAGGTCACACTTCGGGATTTGCGCAGCTTTAAAACAGAGCATGAGTTTGACGCTTTCTCTGGAAGCCTGTCTGATTTTGATGTCCATGGAAACCTGTTGGCTGCGTGTGGGTTTTCAAGTCGCGGTCTGAATGGTTTGGCATGCGACCGCTTTCTGATGGTGTATGACCTCAGAATGATGCGAGCCGTGACCCCACTGCAGGTTCACATTGACCCCCTGTTTCTGCGCTTCATCCCCACCTACACCTCCCGCCTGGCCATCATCTCACAGACAGGTACGGTAATGCACTAGTACTGATATGCCTAAAAACATGAGCAAAGTAAGTACAGAGAAATCTGAGGAGATCTGTTACAGCCCTTTTTATGGAGCTTGGGATCAAATGCCGATCTAAGATTAAAATATTGTTTTTGTTGTAACACATCCCAAATGTCTAGAGATACTACATTAGTAAAAACAATATAAAAAAGGAAACAAAGTACCCGATAAATCCTGAATCACCACTGATAAATACATTTCAAAACAATACTTTTGAATGGACATCAAGTTTAGTATTTAGCGTCTTAAAATCTCCACTGGTTTAACATTAGGCTAATTGAAAACTGTATGAAATGTGATGACAAAATTGCAAACTCTATTTAGTATTACAGTAAAAGTAATGTCAGAAAGTCCCCAGATCTACAAAACATTAACCATAGATTTTATCAGAAGGGCAGTATCGATTCTACATCTAGATGCCTTTTTGTGACTCCAACTTAACTTTCCCCTCTTCTTCCAGGCCAGTGCCAGTTCTGTGAGCCCACCGGATTAGCAAATGTAGCCGACATCTTCCATGTGAACACGGTGGGGCAGTTGCTCATGAGCTTTGATGTTTCATCAAGTAAGCAGGCACTGGCATTCGGAGACTCAGGGGGTTGTGTGCACCTCTGGTCGGATGCACCAGAAGTCTCTTTCAACGATTATTCAAGAGAGACAGAATTCGCTTTGCCATGTATTGTGGACAGTCTACCTCAGCTGGATTGGAACCATGATCTCCTGCCTCTGTCCTTGATCCCAACCCCCCTCACCTCCACTGAGCCTCTGCTGTCCGACTGGCCCCCTGCACTGGCAATGCCCTGTCCAAGGTAGGGGTGGGACTATATTTGATTTATTTAATGTAAGTAATTGTAACACAATAAAATATTGTCCTATTTAAATTTAAATAGGACCTTTACCCGATTTTTTTCTGATGCATTTGAGCAAAATGTTGCTCCAGTACAAACATGGTGTACAAGCAGCTCTTGAGGTCAAAATTATTAAGTATTCTATTGTCCGATAATAAGGAACATCAGGAATTGCATGTTATCATGCTAGTTATTGTTAGCGTTACAGTGAATGCAAAACTCTGTTTTAAGAAAAAGAAAGTAAAATCTTAATCTGAATTAAGAATGATTAAATTAAAGTGTATATATCATAGACACCATTTTTATTCAAACACTATTACTTCTAAGAAACAAAAACAAGACGGTTACATTTATACCATTATTTGCTAAATCAATAAATAGGGTTAGGGATAGGGTTAGTTTGTCCTAGTGCAAATATGTGCATTCTATAATACATAGGGAAAATAAAGTCTAAACTTCAATAGTAATCAGTGGGTTTTCTCAGTGATTAATTATACATTGTTTTTATTAGCTGTTGTGAATCATTGTCCACTCATCACAGTGTGTTTGAAAAAATGCATGTACTACACATCAGTTATCCAAAATGAAGAAGTGCTGTACTATTATAGCTGTGAGTGAACTGGCCTTTAAATGTCCGACAATATTATTCAGTATTCAGGCATTTTGAAGTACTTTTTGGACATTGGCCATTCATAGTTTAGTCACAGCTTGAAATATACCATAATATATGAATGGAAAATGAAAGTGACAGTGCACTTAGGAGTAAAGTAATTGAATATGTTTTGTGAGATTATTGTGATGTGTGTGAATATTCAGTCTTCAGTATTCAGTTTTGTTAACAGAAAAGTAGCATATTGCACATTTAAATTGACTGGTAATATTTAGAATAAAAAGTTATGGGTTCAAATTTTTTTATTTTGTTGCAGCTAGAGATGCACCAATATTGATGGCATCAAAATAATGACACAGATGCTAATAAAATAGCTGGATTGGATCGCTGAGAGACTATTTACACACAAATTTTGGCCTAGAACCTCACAATGTTTAAACTTTTATTCATATGAAGCTGGTCAGTAGTTATTTGAAGAATAAATAACACAATTGGATCTCTTGTGTAATAAGTTAACTTTGTTTTGAGAAAATAATTGTATCTGTTAATATCGGATATCAACAGATACTAATGGCAACGTATCGATATCGGTATCGGAACTGAAAAAGCTGGATCGGTGCATCCCTAGTGGCAGCACTTAAACGGCAGAGGGAACTACATTGCCTATGACCCTTGGCTCCTTTTCAGTTCAAATAAAGAACTAACAGCTACAAACACTTATTTAATCTTAATGTTTTAAAATAAGACCAATATAACTGCATTCCTAAATGAATAATGTCTCTATTCAATATTGCATAGAATTTGATACAATGAACAATGAATGACGACAGACTTTAGATCCTGATTTCTGATACAGTTTACAGATCTTCTCCCTTCTTCTTTGGTATTACATCAACCTTCCTGGTTCCTAGCTTACAATAACATTCATAGCTTCACTGAACTGCAGCTCGAATGAAGAAGTTGGGCTCCACTCATGAGCTCATTGTTTACAAAATACAATACAGCGGTTTACTACCATTTGCTGACAAGTCAATACGTAATTTCTGCAAAAGCTCTGTTTACTACAGGCCATAAAAGAAGACAAATACAGGAACTAAAACTATACAAATATTGACAATTTGTTATTTAGAATTGATTTCTTAGGGTTAATATATTTTATAGTTATAATAAAATAATATACCTTATTCATCTATTTCATTATTTATCTTTACTAGGCTCAATATCAGACTATATATTGTGTTATATAAGCATGATTTGCTTTTATTACATTGATTCATAAATTGATAGCTGGGACTCCCCTGGAGGTTGGGAGATAATTGTAAGATAAACTAAGTATACTTTAGAAACTTAGACAGTTTATTTATTTTTAAAATAAATTAATAAAAAGTGTTTTCTGAAATCATTACAAACATTACATTGCATAATTTACTTTCACTGTGTGAAAGGTTTATATACCCCTTCTATACAGTGTGAATGAAAAAAATCCATCACTTTGTCTCCATGGAGATATTTCATTGCTCAAAATGTTTCAATGTGTGGCATTTTTCTTTTAGCAATAAAACATCTTTAATTTGATCACTGGTAGATTGATCCATTTCATACCATACTGTGGAACATTCCAGGCAAAGCGATAACATGTCCATGGAGACAATCAGGTAGCAAACTCCCAGCCAGAAAAGATAGTCAAAATACACCTTCATATTGCGTTCATGGTTTCAATATCTTACTAAATGTTAAAAATTTATATTCCCTCTTATCAGAATTATAACAACAATTTAACAGTGCAATTTCCATAATTTAGACACATTATACAAGCTCCAGTATATTAAAATGAAATGTATGCATCTCCTTCCAGACGGGCCCCTCCCGTGGACCCAGAGATTTTGCGCACAATGAAGACTGTTGGGTTTATCGGATATGCTGCCAATCCTCGCACCCGTCCACGAAACCAGGTTTGAGAGAGTTAAAATGTATTCTGATGTGGATAACTTTGTGTTGTTCTTTTTGCTTCAACTAACGATCACTTTAGTAGTTGTCTAGTCAGCAATTAACTTTCTGAGTTGTTGACTAGACAAATAACATTGAAACTTTTTGAACACATTATGAAACAAATGAAGGTCAAATATGGTTACTGAAGGCTTCTAAGGTGATTACAAACAAAATGTATTATTGATAAGATAACAGTATTATATTGTCTCTATCGGGCCCTATTCAAACCTCTCTTTTGGTTCTCAGTGCTCAGCCCACAAGCCACCGTCATCCACGCTCCCACACAACAATTCCCCATAAATATACAAAAGCAACAACTTGGCAAACCTGATGCAATGTGAAATAGTTTAATTTGTGGGATGCACACTCATTGTAATAGCACTCTGAAGGGTGACTGACTTAGCATGGAGAGCAAAGGGAGGGGGGACTCATAATATCCAAAACGAAAGAAAAAACAACTACAATTATTTTCCGGCAGTGATTCACAGACATTTTGGGGTCTTTCCTTCTGGCAGTGTTGGGATAGGCAAATCTTGTACATGGTCATTCAAAAACACATCCAGTTTACATAGAAACCTTCATTATTCCCCTGATGTTGGAAAGTCCTGATTTCCCATTATATTTCCTGTTTTTTGACACCATGGTTTAAGTAGAAAACCACTTTGAATATACTTTTTTTAAAAAGGGAGGGAAAATTATTAACTTAAATAATTATGTTTTATTTTTTATTTTTTTATGTCAACAGTGGTACTTTGGGGGGTGGGGGAGGGGCAGCAAAAAGGAAATTTTTACTTTCCTTCCTCATTTTTGCCAGTACTGTGGATGGATGCCTATAAAACTGAAACTATTAAAATGTAATTTATGTAATATTATGTAAAAGAAAAAAAGACAAGTTCAGTTGTTTTTATAGCTAAATCAAAATGGTCAAAACTGTGATCAAAAGAGGAAACAGATACATTTTTTCTACTTTCTTTTCTTGACAGTTTGAAAAGCTAGCATTTAATTTTAACCAATATAATTTTTTTTGTCACTTTAACTGTCTGCGGTGTGTGCAGGTGCCGTACAAAATCAAAGATGTGGAGCAGGACTACGACAGTTATAACCAGGTTCCTGAGTCTCCGATCGGCCGCGACGAGGAGCCTCACCTGTACATGGTCCCCAAAAAATTCAGAAAGGTTTGTCTGCCTTATTTTGACTACTATTTTGACTTTTAAAAACTTTATCAACTTTTATAAGGTAATGTTGACGTTAGCCCCATAATGCATTAAAATCATCTAAGGGTACACCTGCGATTGACCCTGAAATTACAAATGTTGAACTTTATAATTTAAACTGGTGATAAGGTTACGCTTTTAATCGAAATGACCATACTGACAGTGGTAATTTTGCCTGCTCACAACTCAGTTAAACAGTTTATTTTTGCTCATTGATGGTGAATGCTGTAAATAAGTCAATATTGTGTAATCAACCTGGCAGTAACCTCTTATCTACATAACATTACATTATCTCTGTTCTATTTAATTAATATTTTGTTTTTACTTTTGATCAGGTCACAATCAAATACTCCAAACTGGGACTGGAGGATTTCGATTTCAAACATTACAATAGAACGCTTTTTGCAGGTCTGGAGCCTCACATCCCAAATGCCTATTGCAACTGCATGATACAGGTAGGACACATACATATTTATTGGTTATTGAGTCGGTTGAGTTTAGTGGGAGAAGAGTGTGTAAAAAAAAAAACATGCATTAAAACTGACACAAGATGCAAGGATGGGCACTTCAGAAATCCTTAGGAAAGTGAAAGTCAATGTATAGCTTCAATGAGGCCATAATTACTATATCAACGTATTGTTCAAGATATGGTAGATGGAACAATACATTTGTTTTGAGTCAGTATTAATTGTTGGTACTTTTTCTTTGTACTGGTGGGAACTTTTTATTTTTCTGCAATAACTGTAGAGGGTTGAATAAATAATTTCTTTGACTGATAACTATCAAAGTACTTCATTCTTCTACATATTGTTGATGTTGTATAATCCTGTTTTAGGATTATTGTGTCCGTGGCATGAATTAGTTTCAGTATTATCGTCTATTCATACTCTAGAGTAGCCTCACACTGGGGTTATTCTACATGTGTATGTATGGCAGAATGTTCATCTGTTATCATAGTGACACAGTGCAAACATTAGTAAACACAGCCAAATAAGTTTTAAGATTGTCTGAAAATCAAGGTTTAGGTGTCTGATGTTCAATAGAAAGATGAGAGTGACAAAAAATATTGTCTAATGCTAGGTAGCTTGTCTTGTCTTAAAATAAAGCTCAGACAGAGCAGTGCCCCCCGTTATCATCACACCTCCAGGGAATGTTAATGACATCAGCTCCAAAGTATCAATATTACACACTTCAGTTGTTGTGACGTGCCTAGCTTCATCAACTCTCCCATCTTCTACACAATACTGGGGCAACAACAGTTTAAGTACTAGAGTTTTAATTTATTGTATTTATTTGTATTTTAAAGGTCTTGTATTTCCTGGAGCCAATCCGCTGTCTGGTGCAGAATCACTTGTGTCAGAAAGAGTTCTGTTTGGCCTGTGAGCTGGGCTTTCTCTTCCACATGTTGGACCTATCGAGAGGAGATCCCTGCCAGGTAAAGACAAGGAGAAAGAGATTGGATTGCACTAGAGTTGTTAAAAGTATTGAAAATCACATACTAATTGATACTAAAACGAGAGTTGAAACTAGATACTCATTTGAGCAGGTATTGATACTACACACAGAAGAGAAATGAATCTTTCCTGAAAAGCTTTTGAACGATCTTGAGCTACATAAGACCACATAGACTAGTTTGACAAGTGCCCATGGACCACTATGGATCATACCTGGACGACTGAGGAATTACACAGATATTGCTGGGTTTCAGATGTGGCCAGTGATATTTAATACAGATGGATGCAGCTAAAATTAATTGTTTAAAAATGAAGATTTTTGTTGCAATATGGTCAATTATTAGGCCCAGTCACTAATACTGGGACTGCCTCGCTTTCTCTCTTTTTCTCCCTCTCTCTCTTTCTCTCTCATATTAAAATTATTGTCCATTTCCTTAGTCCCTACTTGTGCTTTGCACAATTCAACTCTTTTAATATTGAACTATCCCTCTTAAGGCCAGCAACTTCCTGCGGGCATTCCGTACAATCCCGGAAGCGTCTGCTCTAGGCCTGATCCTGGCCGACTCAGATGAGCAGACGGGGAAGGCTCGTCTTGGGCGTCTCATCCAGAGCTGGAATCGCTTCATTCTTACTCAACTGCACCAGGAGACACAGGAGCAGGAGGGACCACAGGCCTACAGGGGCTCCAGCAGGTCAAGAGCAAGCGCAACACAACCACACATTCAACAAACATTCACTTGTGATACAGTTTAGGTATGGTTATGGTTTTGGTTATGGTGAAAGTTAAAATCATGATGATTTCAATCAATCAATCAATGAAACTTTATTTATAAAGTGCTTTTCATACAAAAACGTAACACAAAGTGCTTTACAGTGATTAAAAACAATCCCATATTTCCATCCACCCACCCACTTACCCAACCCCCACACCTGTCCGACTCCACACAACCAAACAACCCAGACACGCACACCCACGACCACGCGCACACACGTGCACACACACCCTAAGATGGTAAATGGTAAAAATACATAAAATCAGCTATAGTAAAATGTGAGGCTGAATACAGGCGAACCAGTTGAGAAAGCACCATCAGAGGAGCCGTCTACATCAGGAGCAGAGACGTCCACCACCACCAGGAACCACCACAGGGTCCAGGGGAGAGATGAAGCCCAAGCACCAACCCTCCACCAGGAGCCCACGGGACAGAACCCGGCAGCCACAGCCAACCTCCGCTCCTGATGCAGAGGGCTCCTACAGAGGAAACACTGGAAATCCTAAAAAAATATGCCTAAAATAAATAAATATAATAAAATGTGCACAATAGAAACAGGTAAAAGTATATTTCATTATTATTATTATTAAATGGTTTCCTCCGATTGTCAAAAAAGCCTGTGTAGACTATATATTTTGAGTTGCCAGGAAAAAAAGCATTTCATACAATCACAATCGTTTTTATCAATAGCACATACAAAATACAGTGTAATTAGTTGTAGTTACTCATTACATCTCCACAAGTTTACACAGTTTTACAGCATAATGAAAGTAACAAATTACTCCATAATAATAGCTATAGTAAAAAAAAGGAAAAAAAACCTGCTATATTGGGTCATGTAGCAACATAGACAGATGCTGAACTACTGAGCTTCAGCTGCCCCATTTATAAATATTGTCACATCTGATTTTCAATAGCTGTTTTGTTTTTGCAGTGCTCTGGGCTCGTCTGGGGAGTCAGTGATTGGTAAACTGTTTGGTTGTGAAGTGGAGAACAGCAGTCTGTGTCGCTGTGGTAAAGAGACAGTGCGCTCCACTCTCACTCTGCTCTTCACCATGCACTACCCCGAACACAACTCACAAGGTACAGTCAATATCTAACCTTTGTTAAAAGAAAAAACATAACATGGACTAGGACAGAAAAAAATAGGAACCGGGGAGCACACAAATAGAAAAGATGGTTATGAGAGGCTATTGAAATCAGGAAGCAGGGTGCATAAACAGAGATGAGGGGGCGTTTGCCTTGGATCACACATGGGACTCACTTTTCCAGGCCTAGTAAATTGTTCCCTGCATATCCGTGGCAGTTTAACCAGAAATTAAGAAATCAGAAATGGCTTTGTTCTTACATGACCCTGTTCTGACAAAATGCAGATAATTTCCCAGGTCAGACTGCATGTCTGAATGGGGCTTTGGAAGCATTTTCTGTATTTAACTTTCATTTTTCTATATGATTTGTTTTCATAGATAAGATAAAGGAATATGATTTTGCTGAAATTCTGAAGAAGAGCATTTGTCTAGAACAGAGCACACAGGCGTGGTGTGAGAACTGTGAAAAATACCAACCTACGGTGAGTTAAGTAACATTTTGCTAGATTTGTATCTTCTTTAATTAAAGGTCCTATATTACACAAAATTTACTAACTTTAAGCCATGCTAAAATGTTCAAAAATTTACCCGGAGTTGTGCTTTGTTTCATTCACACATGAATACTCAACCTAAATATGGAGGATTTGTGTATTACACATGTGTGAATGCAACAAAACACAACTATGATATGGTATATATTATATATTTTGATGAGGAATCAGAAAATAGAGTAATATGAGCCATTTTAGTTATATTGTATGTAAAGAAACTGCTGTAGTAAAGTCCATGTTTGTGCTTCAGGTTCAAACACGAAACATCCGGTGCCTCCCCGACGTTCTGGTCATAAACTGTGAAGTGAACAGTGCCAAAGAGGCCGAGTTTTGGAGAGTCCAGGCTGAGGTCTGTAACACTGCAGGATGTTCAGCGTTCTTACAAATCACCACTGATGTTTATAGCAACTAGGACTGTCACTAACAATATTTTAGAAGTCGACTAGTCAATGATTATTTCTGTATACTGAGATTTTTTATACACCTTTTTAATCAAGTAATAATATAACAACTCCTCCTTGAACCGTCACCTTATCGTGGTGGAGGGGTTTGAGTGCCCGAATGATCCCAGGAGCTATGTTGTCGGGGGCTTCATGCCCCTGGTAGGGTCACCCAAGGCAAACAGGTCCGTGGGGACGGGTCAGACGAAGAACGGTTCAGAAGCCCCTATGATGAGTACACCAACAAGGCCAGTTACGTCGCCCGGATTGGCGTCACCGGGGCCTCACCCTGGAGCCAGGCCTGGGGTGGGTGCTCGCCAGCGAGCGCCTGGTGGCCGAGCCTCCCCCCACGGGGCTCGCCCAGGCTCAGCCCGAAGGAGCGACGTGGGGCCGTCCTCACGTGGGCCCACCACCCGCAGGAGGATCCATATGGGGCCGGTGCAGAGAGATCTGGGCGGCAGTCGACGGCGGGGGCCTCGGCGACCAGATCTCCGGACATGGAGACTAGCTCTGGGGACATGGAATGTCACCTCGCTGGGGGGAAGGAGCCTGAGCTTGTGCGGGAGGTTGAGCGTTACCGACTAGATATAGTCGGCCTCACCTCCACGCACAGTTTGGGCTCTGGAACCCAACTCCTTGAGAGGGGCTGGACTCTCCATTTCTCTGGCGTTGGCCGTGGGGAGCGGCGGCGGGCTGGTGTGGGCCTGCTCATTGCCCCACAGCTCAGTCGCTGTGTGTTGGAGTTCACCCCTGTCCCCTGCGCCTTCGGGTCGGGGACAGGTCTCTCACTGTGGTGTCGGCCTACGGGCCGAACAGCAGTGCAGAGTACCCGGCCTTCTTGGAGTCCTTGGGAGGGGTACTAGACAGTGCATCGACCGGGGACTCCGTTGTTCTCCTGGGGGACTTCAACGCCCACGTGGGCAACGACAGTGACACTTGGAGAGGGGTGATTGGGAGGAACGGCCTCCCCGATCTGAACCCGAGCGGTGTTTTGTTATTGGACTTCTGTGCTAGTCACAGTTTGTCCATAACGAACACCATGTTCGAGCACAAGGGTGTCCATAAGTGCACGTGGCACCAGGACACCCTAGGCCGGAGGTCGATGATCGACTTTGTCGTCGTGTCATCTGATCTCCGGCCGCGTGTCTTGGACACTCGGGTGAAGAGAGGGGCTGAGCTGTCAACTGATCACCACCTGGTTGTGAGTTGGGTTCGCTGGCGGAGGAGGAAGCCGGAGAGACCTGGCAGGCCCAAGCGTGTAGTGAGGGTCTGTTGGGAACGTCTGGCGGAGCCCTCTGTCAGAGGGACCTTCAACTCGCACCTCCGGGAGGACTTCTCCCGGATTCCGGGGGAGGCTGGAGATATGGAGTCCGAGTGGGCTTCATTCTCGGCCTCTATTGTCAATGCAGCTGCTCAGAGCTGTGGGCGTAAGGTCTGTGGTGCCTGTCGCGGCGGCAACCCCAGAACCCGGTGGTGGACACCGGAAATAAGGGATGCTGTCAAGCTGAAGAAGGAGTCCTATCGGGCCTTGCTGGCTCGGGGGACTCCTGAGGCAGCTGACGGGTACCGGCGGGCCAAGCGTGCTGCAGCCCGTGTGGTCGCGGAGGCAAAAAACTCGGAGCTGGGAGGAGTTCGGGGAGGCCATGGAGAAGGACTATCGGACGGCCTCAAAGAGATTCTGGCAAACCGTCCGGCGCCTCAGGAGGGGAAAGCAGTTCTTCACCAACACTGTTTACAGTGCGGGGGGAGAGCTGCTGACCTCGACTGGGGACGTTGTCCGGCGGTGGAAGGAATACTTTGAGGATCTCCTCAATCCCACCGTCACGTCCTCCGAGGAGGAGGCCGAGGCTGGGGACTCGGAGGCGGACTCATCCATCACCCTGGCCGAAGTCACTGAGGTGGTTGGCAAGCTCCTTGGTGGCAAGGCTCCGGGGTTGGATGAGATCCGTCCTGAGTACCTGAAGTCTCTGGATGTTGTGGGGCTGTCTTGGCTGACACGCCTCTTCAACATCGCGTGGCGGTCGGGGACAGTACCTCTGGACTGGCAAACCGGGGTGGTGGTCCCTCTGTATAAGAAGGGGGACCGGAGGGTGTGTTCCAACTATAGGGGGATCACACTTCTCAGCCTTCCCGGTAAGGTCTATGCCAGGGTACTGGAGAGGAGAATCCGGCCGATAGTCGAACCTCGGATTCAGGAGGAGCAGTGTGGTTTTTGTCCTGGCCGTGGAACACTGGACCAGCTCTACACTCTCCATAGGGTGCTCGAGGGTTCATGGGAGTTTGCCCAACCAGTCCACATGTGTTTTTGTGGATCTGGAGAAGGCATTTGACCGTGTCTCTCGTGGTGTGTCCTGTGGGGGGTGCTCTGGGAGTATGGGGTCCGGGGCCCTTTGCTAAGGGCTGTCCGGTCCCTGTATGACCGGAGCAGGAGCTGTGTTCGCATTGCCGGCAGTAAGTCAGACCTGTTCCTGGTGCATGTTGGACTCCGCCAGGGCTGCCCTTTGTCACCGGTTCTGTTCATTGTATTTATGGACAGAATTTCTAGGCGCAGTCAGGGGCCGGAGGGGGTCCGGTTCGGGGACCACAGGATTTCATCTCTGCTGTTTGCGGACGATGTTGTTCTGTTGGCTTCATCGAGCCAGGACCTGCAGTGTGCACTGGGGCGGTTTGCAGCCGAGTGTGAAGCGGCTGGGATGAAGATCAGCTCTTCCAAGTCCGAGGCCATGGTTCTCGACCGGAAAAAGGTGGCTTGCCCTCTCCGAGTGGGTGGGAGAGTCTTTGCCTCAAGTGGAGGAGTTCAAGTATCTCGGGGTCTTGTTCACGAGTGAGGGAAGGACGGAACGTGAGATTGACAGGCGGATCGGTGCAGCTTCGGCAGTGATGCGGTCGCTGTATCGGACCGTTGTGGTGAAGAGGGAGCTGAGTCGAAAGGCGAAGCTCTCGATTTACCGGTCAGTCTTCGTTCCTACTCTCACCTATGGTCATGAGCTCTGGGTAGTGACCGAAAGGACGAGATCGCGGATACAAGCGCTCGAAATGAGTTTCCTCCGCAGGGTGGCTGGGCGCTCCCTTAGAGATAGGGTGAGGAGCTCAGTCACACGGGAGGAGCTCGGAGTAGAGCCGCTGCTCCTCCACGTCGAGAGGAGCCAGTTGAGGTGGCTCGGGCATCTGTTCCGGATGCCTCCTGGGCGCCTCCCTCGGGAGGTGTTCCGGGCATGTCCCGCCGGGAGGAGGCCCCGGGGAAGACCCAGGACACGCTGGAGGGACTATGTCTCTCGGCTGGCCTGGGAACGCCTCGGGGTCCCCCCGGAGGAGCTGGAGGACGTGTCTGGGGTGAAGGAAGTCTGGGAGTCCCTGCTTAGCCTGCTCCCCCCGCGACCCGGCCCCGGATAAGCGGACGAAAATGGATGGATGGATGGATTACTAACAATTATTTATTTATTATTTATTTTTATTAACTGTCGACTAGTCACGATAATTCCCATTAATTCTAATAAAAACTTATTTCTTCCTCCTGTTTTCTAGTATGCATTCAATAAGGCCATGCAGAAAGAGGCGAGTGAGCCACCTAAACCCAAAGAACCCCCGCCCCCCATGCCAACAGAGTGGTGCCTCGAGTAAGTACACAGTGTGTTTGTATCTGAGTATGATTTGACCAAAAACGTATGTAGGTAGTTTCTTTTAATTGTATAGGCTTGAAAATCTACCAAAAATGTAACCTCTCATTGTTTAGTCAGTTTAGCCACTTCATCCTACTTTCTTTTGAAAGCAGAGGGGTCTGGAACCAGAGCATCAAGGCCGTCAAATAACCGTCCTCTTGGGGCGGTCTAACCACAGCCAATAAATTGTGCTATGTGTCTGTCAAACACCTGTCAAGCCGCTCCTGTGCAGTTGTGGGATATAATGTACTAACCAAATATTATATAACAAAACTGCACACTGCTAGAACAGATGTTAAGTTTCCCTGTTTCCTTGTTTTTTCAGTGCAGAGGAGGTGTGTAGTCTGGAAGGCTTCAGCTTCGACACTCGGGCTGAGGACCTGAGACATGTGTGGATCCCTCTGACACTGAAAATGTGCATCAGTAAAACACAAGGCCTGGAGATCAGCAGCTGGAATGAAGCAGAGGAGGTGAGGATTTATATATGGCTCAAATAACTAACTGTACTTTTGATACTTTGCACCTGATGTCATGAACATTCCCTGGGGGTGTGATCCTGGTGGTTCTGCTATGTTTTAGACTCTGTTAGACTGAAATCTGTGCTTTATTGTAATGTAGTCTGTTCAGAAAGTGCTGACTTAGTTGGAATTACAACTGGTGTGCTGAGTTGGGCTTAGACATGTCTCTTACTTAAAATTACAGTCAGAAGCTAGTTAGCATTAGCTACTCTCACATTTTTGTTAAAAATCAAACACGTAAACAGGCTCCCGAAAATGTGTTGTGCTTTGCACTTTGTGTTTTTTCTTGAATTTATTTGACAACTTATTTTGACAGTGCTTGCTAATGTGTATATTGTGTCTCCATTTTAACTTCTGAACATTCCACTATAGCGATACATACAGAACCCCCCCCCCCCCACGTGATGTCACTGCAAAGTAGGGGTGTGCAGAAATATTAATATGTCGTATCATTTAATGTGATGATACAGTATTGATATCGTGGGTTGCTGTATCTATATAGCGCCAAAAGTACTTTTTGGTATATTTTACAAAATTGTTTTGTTACAGCGCTACAGTTTTATTGCTTCTTTAGAGGAAAGAAACTCATTTTTGCAACACATTGGACATATTCACTTTTTCAATGATTAAACATGGATGTGTTTCATATTAACTTTGCACAAGAGATGGTTTAACAAAGACTTTTAGTGTCAGACATTATTTAGCCATTATTTTTATTGAACCTTATTGAAACAATTTGAAATATATTGTATTGAATGGAAAGCTCACTGTATCGAGATATGTATCGTATCGTGGCCTATATATTGAGGTATGCATCATATCAGCAACTTCTTATGATACCCAGCAAAGTATCAATATTGGAAAGTGTTTAATTTTTGTGATGTATCAGACGATAATATACAGTAGTTTTATGTAATGCTTTAATGACACTCCTCACACTCTGTCATCCTCTACCACAACTGCTCTGACTATCATCAATAACTCACACACCGCATCCATACATAGCCTAGATACACACAGTAGTTCAGTTACTCCTTCTAAGATACATTCTGCAATAATTCTAAGGTTTTTCATCTGAGTGAGACTTGCCAAAAATACTTTAGGTACTCTAGATACTTTAAGTTTAGGTTTTTGTAGAAATTTTCTAATCCTTTTTGTGTTGGTCAAACTTTGGTATGGTATTGAATATTAACTTCTGTTCATAATATGTAGTGCTAATCCTTTGTAACTCGCCTGTCTGCAGCTGAGTGCAGAGGAGGAGGCGGAGGGGGCGTCTCTATACGATTTGGTGGTGACAGTGCCTCACATTTTAGATGCTCGGACCGGAGGAAACCTGGTGGCTCACATTAAAGTGGGAGAGACCTACCATCAGAGGAAAGAGGTCAGGAGGGTTTAAATATTCACTGTTGTAAAGCAACATCTTTTGAGCTTGGATCTGCTAAACCAATACTGGACTACTGATGTGTTGTTTCATTCATAAGGTGAAGTATCTTGGTTTAAACACCACTAGTATATGTACACACTTGCATTTTTAAGCCTATAGGTGTTCAATATCAAATAAAATATCAATCAAATATTGAAATTAAAGCAAGTAATTATATGTGACTCCATAATGTTTCTAGGGCGTGACACATCAGCAGTGGTACCTTTTCAATGACTTCTTAATAGAACCAATTGATAAGGTAAAGTAATGTGGAATTTGTTTTTAAATTTTGCTGGTTTTGTTAGACTTGGAGACATCATGGTATTTTACATTTCTCAGACTGAAGCTGTGCAGTTCGATGTGAGCTGGAAGGTGCCTGGGATCCTTTATTATGCCAAGAGGAACTACCATACCAAATATGACCTCCGCAGTAAGTCTTTTTATATAATATATTCATGTATTTGACTATGTGTAGCTATCAACTAGGAATGAATGATTTGCAAAAAAAATGTCTAATTGCAATTTTTTAGCCAACATTGCAATTAGATTTATGTTTAGTGATAGGATTCTGTGCAAAGTTTACATTTATACACGTTCAGTAGAATTGATAAAAGTTGGAAATATGAACTGTCACACTAATACAAGTAACACATTTCAGAACATTTCTATTCTTTTCAAAGACAATTAAATCAAATGTTATTCATACAAATGTTTAATATTTGAACTATTGTAAGGTAAAGGTTAGCAGTTGGTATCGAAACCACATTGTATTTACTGTTAAAATATAAATAGTTGTTCATCCATATCTGAATTAAATACAAAAGTGTACTCACATGTTGACTGGCACCTTGTCGTCTTCAGTAAAGAACCCCATAGATGCAAGTGTGCTACTCACAGAGGCATCTTTGGCTCGTAAACAGAGGAAGACTCATGCCACCTTCATCCCTCTGATGGTCAGTGAGATGCCCCAGGCCGGAGACCTGGTCGGGCTGGACGCTGAGTTTGTCACACTCAACCAGGTATGGAAGAATATATATGCTATAGAGGGCCTGTATTAACTTGCTGAGATATTTTAAATGTGTGATGATTTGTAAATATACTTCTGAAATCAAAACTTTTTTCTCATGTAGGAGGAGGCGGAGCTACGCAGTGACGGCACCAAATCGACCATCAAACCCAGTCAGATGTCTGTGGCCCGGATTACCTGTGTCAGAGGCCAGGGTCCCAATGAGGGCGTGCCTTTTATTGATGATTATATCTCCACCCAGGAGCAGGTAATACCCCGTACTCAACGTTGCAGCTTTTCTCCGTTTCCAATAGCAACCATTACTGCAGCAATAACCATAAAATTCTTCCTGTTTCCTCATCAAAAACATACTTGGAGTTGCTTTTTGTTTCATTTTAACACACAAATCCATATACAAACCATAGTTAGGCTGAGTTCTTTCCCAAATAGAAAACACTGTGTTTCACCATGTGAAGTGCTCCTCTATGGTTTTAAACTCCATTATCATATGGATAATTTCAGACATGGCTTAAACCTCACAGAAGTCAATTTTGCATAATATAGGATCTTTAAAAAAAGACACAGTTATGGAAACTTTAGGTCATGACGGCCCCATCATAAATTTATGTTGTGCTAAAAATGTAGGCCATATCATCATATCATTGTCACTTGGAACTGAAAAAGGTGTCTGGTGGTTGAAGCCTTTTTTTGTCATTGCAGGTGGTTGACTATCTGACGCAGTATTCAGGTATTAAACCTGGAGACCTCGATGCAAAGATCTCATCCAAACACCTGACCACCCTGAAGTCCACATATCTGAAGCTACGGTTCCTCATTGACACAGGGGTTCGGTTTGTCGGTCATGGGCTGCAGAAGGACTTTAGAGTTATCAACTTATTTGTGAGTTAAAAACATTAAAGATCTTATCATTTTTTTCACCTATTTTGATTTGATTGTATTGAAATGAGTATTCATTCATTTGTTGGTCTATGCAGGTTTTGAAAGACCAGGTTATAGACACTGTCCACTTGTTTCATTTGCCCCGAAAGAGGATGATTTCTCTAAGGTTCCTTGCCTGGTACTTCCTAGGTAAGAATCAGTGAAAAGTTTAATAACTATAGAAGTAAATAATTCACAATTAAATGTGATATTTTTATAAGAAATATGATGTAAAATATGGTTATTGGACAGAATTCATGAAAACAGAACATGCTTTGGCATTCTGGTGCAAAGAGCAGTAATATTTAGTATTTAATTTAGTATTTAGTATTTAATATTTAATTTATTTGGATAACATAAACTTCAAAAATAATAATTATAGAGTGATTCTAGATAATATAATATTATAGAATCATATAATGGAATGTGATAATTTATTTGCAAAGGGCACTCAAGAATAGATTTATTAAAATGTATTTAAACATTTGGCAAATTATTTTAGCTTGTTGATTATGTAATGATTAATTATTTATGTTATGTTAACTTGTTCATGAATTTACAACACAGCAACAAAGGCAATATAAACATTCCAAACACATTAGCCATAAAGTCCTGTATTGCACAACAATAAGACAAAAGTCCAATCCAAATAAGGACGTCTTTTTGTTATTCCCAGACCTGAACATCCAGGGGGAAACCCATGACAGCATTGAGGACGCACGCACTGCTCTACAGCTCTACAGAAAATACCTGGAGCTGAGTCGAGGAGGAGGCTCAGATGAAGTGAGGAAAGTCCTGAAAGGGCTGTACGAGAAGGGCCGCCAACTAGACTGGAAAGTCCCAGAGACTGAGAGCGGAGCAGAAAGCCAAGGTATGAGCCTGAAGGAACACAGCTAAAACTGCACTTTTACAGTCACTTAAGCATTTTCCTCTGGGGCCAGTAGTCCCCTGAAAAAGAGATTCCAAAGATTTTCTGACTACAAGAAAATGTCTTACTCCAGTTATGCAGTTTTTTTTTAAAGATGTGTAAGTTTTTTAGGAAAGGATACATCACCTGCTTATCTCTGCTGAGATTTTAGTGCGTTGTCTGGAATGTTCCACAGTATGGCATTAATCCATATTCATAATCTATATAGCATGACAGGTGATTTTATTTACTCAAAAATACCTTCAAAAACTAGCAGGGTTGCAGATCTGACTCAGTACCTGGTGATGCTACCTGATTATTTCCATGAAGAATAAAAAGTTTAATGTAGTTTTTGGCAGACATTTTTGGCAGTTTATTATGCAAATTAAACTCGCCAAAACTACTAAAGAGTGGGATTAAAATTGTGAAGCCATAAAACAGGGACAACAAAGGGAAAAATTCCAACGTTATACTGTGCAAGTGTCGTTTACTGCAATCTAACTATCTTTTGTGGCACAGGTGCAGCTGTGTTCCCCTCTGTGATGGGATTGTAACTTGAGCTTGACAAGAAAAGACCTCAAGACTCTTTTTACTGGAAATGTAGACAACCAGCTGAGTATAACACATTTCGTCCTGGTTTAACATGCTTTTTCAGGTAAAATGTAGGTATGTGACTGTAATTAATCTTTATCTTACAATTATTGTGATCATGATGATCATGATGTTTATTCCAATTATTCCTGAGTATTGACACCATGACCAAACAACAGTGAAATCTGTCATTTTCTTTACCTGATCACCCAGAACAACACGCTCTGAGGAAGCTTTACAAAGCTGAGTTGATCTGGAGCCAAAATATTACTTATCTCAAGAAGTGATATATTTTGTTATGTGAATGTTATGAGAATTTTCAGGAGGAAATGTCTTCTGCATTTGAGAGACACTTGACACAATTTAGTGGCTGTGGTTGGGTCGTCTCAAATTTGGATGGAGGTTTTTCATGCTTTATGGTCCCTTCTGGATTCAAACAGAATGTAGAAGGGACTGACTGGTCAAGCAGTAATTTTCTTTCATTCACAATGTCCATAGTCAAATCACCATTCCTCTAATATGTGACCACCTTTATGAAATCAAATTTTCTGAATGTGACAAACAGCCTTATAAGTAAAGATTAAATTGAAATTTGCTTCTGAAATAGTCATGATAGTATGTTTAATTCTTACAATTATGTTGTGACCTGAAAATAACCTTATCAATAACCATATCAATTAAAGGTCCTTTAAGTGAGCCTTAAGCTTTGTTAAAATGTTGTTACCTCCTCAAAAACATACCTGGAGTTGTTTTGTTTCATTCACACATGTTTGAGTAACCCTTAATTAGTCTGTCTACATTGCAGTAGTTGCGGTAGCAACTTTTACTTTTTGTTCACTAGAGACTGACAAGGGCTTCCAGGGCTGAAATTGTCCAAATGATTATAGTGAAGGTGTATAGAGTTTAAGAAACAGTGGAGCACTTCCTGTATTAACACATGACATAACAAGGTGGAATCAGTTTAAGATAAGAACTCTGTTTTTTCATTCACACATATTTAGTGAACTATATGGCGAGTTCTTGAAAACTACTGCTTCATAACATCACAAGGTGGAAGGAAGTATTTGAGTTTTGAAGATGTAGGCAGAATAATAAATGGTTACTCCAACATGTGTGAATTAAACAAAACACAACTCCGGGTATATTTTTGATAAGGAAACACCATTATAACTTTAGAAAAATGTCTAATGTGGGCCTTTTAACCAAATCATTTTCACATTCCTGGTATGTTATTCCACAGATTATGGCTTCACTGTGAGGTAACTGACACATCTGTCTGCTATGTGTGTATCACCAGTATCTTGTAATTTGATGCTCAGTTAGAACCAAGTAAAATGGGATTATTTCATATTTTCTAATTAAGTGACATTGTGTGTTTTACTCAGTGGGAAACTCTATATTTCCGCACAGTATAGGAGGCAGACTTGTTTAGTTTTGATCACATGTACAGTTTATACAATTTTGTGTTCATTTTTTAATATGAATTGTATTTTCTATCATGTTCTGTGGTTGTAATAAATAATAAAAGACCTAAAAGTTTTAAGTCCTGGTTGGAATATTACCTCTTAACATGTTCCATACAATTTACCACAATAGTTGAAGAACTGGGAGATTTGGGAGTTTTTAACCAGCGTGTCCTTTTAGAGTTGGGCCTTTCTCACAGCAAACACCGGAGGCAAAGACAGACGAGAGGATATCCCGGTTACGTTTGATGATCTGTTTGATATAATTTATCTGTGTTGAATTAAGAAAAAAAATCCTGTTGGTCTTTCTTTGCATAGTTTTTCTAAATTTGTATATTTTTTTTTTATTTTAATAACTAATACCTTGTTCCTTCATGCTGTGGGGGTTTCCTATTAACTTTACAGCACCAGTCCGGAGCTCCGTGTCTACACGTGGGGTAGCACCATTTTTTCTAATCTAATAAAAAACACGTGGTTTTTTACTCTACACTAGTAACTTATTAAACTATGTGTCATTGCATTTGCATTGGTATTTGTATTTTTAATCTGCCTTTTGGATATTGTGGACATAAGCTGTGTAGTGTAGTACTATATGACTAAATTATGTTTTTAGTATTACATGGGTATTTTCTAGATCATGCCATATTGCAACATTTGTTACTGGTCCTTTGTCTATTTGATAATGTGACCTGTCAGGTGACTGGTTGCAGGTTCTATTTAAAAGCAGCTGGCATCCTTTTATTCTTGTATGCCCTGAAGAAGGCCCCATACGGCCAAAACACGTAGGCTAGTCCCGTTTTATACATAAAAGGGCTTTTTAATACAGCAGCAGTACCTCCGAGTTTCTCTTTTAAATGTCTTTATTAGTTTTAATATCAGATCAGCGTTATACAACATGTCAGACCTCTTTTGCTGCTATCCCTGTACTTGTGTTGTTGCAACAATACAAAATCCTCACAGAGGAGACAAATAGAGTTTTATTATATCTGATGTCTGTATCCTGAAACCTTGCTCAAGTTTCCTCTGTGGTTTCCTTCCCTTACCTCCTCTAAGATTTATGGGACATCACTTAATATGGCATGTTTGATTGACAGCTGAAAAACTGAGGATTGAGGAGCGGAATTGAGCAGAAGACTCATCTGCTGTTTTGAATGATTCTGTATTGCCCTGTGAATGAATATAAACCATATGAACTAGAACTGACTGTACTGTCATCTGTACTCTATTCATGTAATATTGGTGAACCTTGCCCTTCATGCCCAAGACAACCTCTCCTGGTGGGACAGTAACATTTCTTATCTTAGACACACTCCATACTAGGCAAGGTGAATGACATGTCTTGCCTAAGGACACAGCAACCGTTTCCACTAGAGCTACTGCTGCCCCACTGTGGTACTGGGAATTCCTAGCAGTCTCCCATCCAAGTACTAACCAGGACCAACTCTGTTTTCTAAGATCTGTTGAGATTGGGTATTGACAAGCAGATATAAGTGCAAGTATTAATGTAATTAACTTACAAGCTAAAACAAGAGCTTTAAGTCAGCTTGTTTTTACCTCATTAAACACACCTGGAGTTTTGTTTCATTCTTACATGTTTAAGACTTTATTATTAGTCTGCATTTCAAAAGTTCAAAATCCTCTGTTCTACCTTGTGATTGCTGTTAGGAAGTGGTAGTTTTCTAGCTATCTTTGACCTTTTGTTCAGTAGAGATTGGATCATTTCAGCCCTGAAATTGCCAAATTATTCATCTCGTGAAGGTGTATGGAGTTTAAAAACAGTGCAGCACATTCTGTATTGCCGCATAGCATCACAAGGTGGAAGACAGTTTTCCACATGAGAGAACTCAGCCTAAATATGCAACGTTTGTGTTAAACATGTGTGAATGAAACAAAACAATTCCTGGTATGTTTGTGATGAATGTTGATGTGGGCCCTTTATATACACTGCAATGACAGAAGAACACGACTCAGTATATATTGCAAACAGTTTATTTGTAGTAAATGAAAAGTGTGCCATTCTGTGAGGAGAGAGAGCGGGTTTCAAGGACGGTTTGAATGTCTTTGGTCCATATTTTGGTGGAGGCATTTCATAATGAGTTGGTGGGAGACAAGAAAGGCACTTCAGTTTACAGTTGTCTCAAAGATTTGAAAAAGGACACAAGCTCAAATAGGGAAAAAAAAAACTCAACAAATGCTAATGTCACAACCTCCTTTGTGCCTAATAATATGAATATCACATACAAAATGCCCCATGTGAGCACAAATTATATAGCTACATAAAGTTTATACAGTAAGAAATCAAATATAATTGGGAAGGAGAGAGTGTGAATGCATCCCGTTAGGAAGAGACTGATAAGAAAACAGGCTTAACAAGACAAAATGAAATATTCTTTGGTGGAAAAACTAATATTCCCTATGTTTGGAATGTCAAAAAGAAATGGTTGGCTGAAATCAAAATGAGGAAAAATCTAAAACAGAAAAACTAACTTAAAATCTCAATTCCAGCACTTACAAACTTCACATGTACTGGAAGAAAAGTGCCAAATTTTGAGTTCCTCTTACACCCTGTAAATACAGGAAGTGCTAGAGGATTCCCCAATGGCTGCCTCCAATTCATATCACTTGCCTCCTTGATTCCTTAGTTGTAAACCCCACACAAATAGATAAGAAGTTCTCAATTGGTTTTATAATGAAGGACATACAGTGGAGGAGTCAAGGAGGTATGTGAACAAATAGGATGCAGTCCAAGTCAGTCAATGCAGCGAGGAGAGTTACATTATAATCTAGGGCTAGATGGTAACAATAGCTAACCAGTCAAATGTGGGTAAACTGCAATTTTGGTTATCAACACTCAAGCAGTTTTAGCATATTGGATTTCAACACATAATTAAACCAGCAACAAAGTAGACTGTTTCTTTGTCCAAAAAAAAAATATATATATATAATTTTTTTAAATCTGTGATAATTAAGGAAATTTTACATTCCAGTGGGACAAAAAGAAACTACAAAATAAAATTAAATTAAAAAAAGGCCATAGTGAACCAAAAAAAAAAGTGACTAACATTCATCATTGGTGTGGATTTTCAACATTTTTCTCAAATAATTTGTCATCTACGGGAAAATATGAATGGAGAAATTGTACTGAACTTAAAACATACAAATAAAAAATAAGGCATGCATTTTCAGTGGTAAATAATTAATCAACATTAAATCCTAAATATGTGGTATTTTTAAGAAACAGTACCCACAGTGGCTAAATGAACTATGTTAATACAAAGCCCTGATTACAAGCAACTTCCAACCTCGACCAGCACTTGTATAATTCAAACTATAACACACTCAACATCCCATTAACTGCACATATTCAATATTATGGCTGCAAAAATAATCACAAAAAGTGTCTCCCAACTTGCCACAATTTCCACTAACTTCATGTAGCAAAGATTTAGTCACAAATGAAAATCTGCTTTTAATTACAGATAGAAAAAACATAAGATTGCTTCCCTATTCCACATCAGGGAAGATCAAAAACTAAAGTTGCAGCTATAATGTAACAACAGTGTACACTACAGCTTGTCCATATTTACAAAAAACTAAGGAATTCATTGCTAGGGGTCCCTTTATGCAAGCTCACAGCAAGAAAATAATATTAAACTACCACAATTAAATGATTTGTAATGAGGTAATGGCCCGTGTTTTGTTCACTAACCAATGGAACCAGCCACATTCAAAAGAACAGCCAATTTTCAGCTAACAATGCATTTGTTAATTAAAGTTTGATCGCTTTTACGTTCAGAGATTAAGTGAAATATTAAATAGAAAAGTTGGGGAGTTTTGCAAAAAAAAGTGTAAACCTACAAGTTAAACTGGCTTGAATTCAGAACTTGGGATGTGAAGAAACTGCAATTAAAGACGCGCTACTTAACTTTTCTGCCACCTGCTTGTTTCCATGGAGATGTTATTGCTTTGCCTAGAATATTTGACAGTATGACATTAGCTAAGCCTATATCCATGGACACAAACCACCACGCTAAGTTAAAGATCGGATCTCTGGAGTGGCGAGGCAGCTCACAGTAAGAATGTTTTTGAAGGTATTTTTGAGCAAGAAAAATTCTTGTTATCAAATAACTACTGTACTGATGAACATTCCAGACATAGACATATCATCTCCTTTCTACACACTAGAAAGGTTTCATAGAGCACTTTTAAAACAAGTACAAAATTCTAGATATTGTGAATTTAAGCCATTGTAACTTGTTGATTTTCAGTTTTTCGCAGTAATAGGGAAGGGTCTTGAAGGCTTTGTCAAACATACAAAGTATAAATTGTGCATTGCCAACACAAAACTGTACCATATTTTCACATCCATGTCATAAGAAAAAGGCAATAGTGAAATCTGTGACTAAAGGCAAGCAAGTCATATATATACCATGTTAAGTGCATATATATTCAAATAAAGGACAGACATGGAAGAAAACTGTCTGACAAAATTTCCAGCTATGATACAGCGCTTGGGCAAGTTTTTGTGAAAATCGACTTTGCAATTTTAACAATATTCTACAAAAAAGGTAACAAGCCCTCTGGTGGTTAGAAAAGGAACAGCAAGCCAGCAAGACGACACGACAGCCACCACCACACTGGCCCCAATATAGGAAGGCAAGAATTATAGGGCCAAGCAATCTCTTTTTCAATAATGAATCTATACCCACTTTGTTTCTAGGTTTCGTAGCAGCCATAGAACAAGCTCGAACTTACAGTGTATTTGATATGTTCAAAGATTAACAATAGCCTGTAGTGTTGATTGTGTCCATTTTGTTGTTAATGTCAGATGCTTCTAAATCGTGTAGTGAAAAACCTGAAATGTCTTGGGAATTTAAGAAAAAGGGATGCAACAAAATGAGACTACAAACATGAACCAAAGCAAGAAGAGCAAAAAGTACTGCAGACTTGCAAACTTCAAACAGTGTTGCCGTTGATATTATAGTCGGATCAAATGGTTTTCTAAAAGACGCGAGAAGGTTTGACAGACAGAAGCATGGCGAGATAAAGATAGAAAGAAAAAATGAACAAAGAGAAAGAGAGGGATTGTGAGAGCTTTTCAAGTTTGAAGGATGAGCAGACTAATGTAGACACACTGCCAGTAAGGGCATATCTGAACAAGTTAAAATGAGTTGAATACAATGTCTTAATTTGATAAGTTTTGAGGAGTTAAATTTATTTTTCTTGATAATTGTTACTTGATTTCTTCTTCATTTCTAATTCTGACAGATTTAAATATACATGTATTTTTTGTTTAATATTATATCAAGCCAAAAAGAGCAGCCAAATATTTATTCTACAAGTAGAATTTTGCTCTTATGGCAACTTAAAAAGTGAATACATGCAACCTAGTAGAAAAAATCTGAAAGATATTACATGATTTCATTAACTTTTTGTTTCAAAAGAAGGAGGTTAGAAAATTGCACTTGAAATAAGATACATTTTGTTTACCTCATTGGTAGATTTTTAAAAGAAATTTAAACTAGTTATTTTACATAATTTCTATTTAATCAAACAGAAATGCTATTAATCAAGTTTAATAATCTAGTTAATATGAAAATAAATGAAACCTGCTCAAAACTTTTCAAACTCAAATTCACATAATTTTAACCCATCCTACATACGTCTCATTTTGCAGTGTAGAAGTGGCACTACAGCTCCATTAATGGAAATATGTAAACTTGTATTCTATTCTTCATTGAGACGGGAGCAGGGGCCTAGCGGACGGTTCTGGTTGGTTCTCCGTTGTCATGGGCACTGCATCCGGGGGGTTCTTTGGGGCAGCCCGTTGTGGTGGTTGGAGGACGAGGAGGAGGGGGGGTGGGGTGGACCTCTGGAGCTGTGCGGGTGCTGCTGCTGTGAGGTCTGGTTGTTGTTGTCGGCCTGGTTGTTTCTATGGTGACCGTGGTGGTTGCGGTTGTGGTAGGAGCTGCCATTGTATCGCTGCCCGCCCGAGTGATAGCCCTGCCCCTGGAACGTGCGCCGGTTCCCCTGGAAAATCTGAAGAACAAAACCCAGATTAGGACGATTTCTAAAAAGCTTTGTGACTATGATTAGATCTGTGATATATATTTTAATAATAGGTTTCTCTTCAAAGATTACATTTTAAACATGTACAAAAGAGTTGACAAAAACAACTGAACTGACAAACTAATACAAGAATCACATTTCACTACTTTTTGTTTGTTTTTATTGATTTAAACTACACTCTTACCAGTTTTTATGCAGATTTTGTTATATTTTGTTGTTTGTGGAGGAAATTAGGTGTCATTTTTTTGCCACAGGGTATGCCACTGGTGTGTCTCTATAGACATGTTTTTGCTTTGAATGTTGCACAGTACTGCATTAAACATATCCAACCATCATCATTGTTCTATACTGTTTGCAAAGGTACACTCACTCTAAAAGTTGTGCAAATCAAAAACAACCAGCTTGAGCTTCAATAATAGAAGCTTGACCTTGCATATCTTGCAATAAAGCTTGCAAAGTCAGGCAGACTTAAACAAAATGGTACTTTAGCATAACAACTTCTTCAGTATATGAGATGTGAAATAGTGTATTAAATAAAAAAATAAAAATACAGATAAACCGACCTGTTTGGTGGGAGGGGGTCGGGGTTCAGTAGAAGTGTTTTGGGTCTGCGGAGGGGGCGGAGTTTCTTGTGGACCGGTCACAGAGGAGGAGGTGGAGCTACAGCGAGACCTGTTTGAGTACCCTGTGTTTGGATGGTACACTGCACACATAAGAACAAACAACAGATTAACAATGTGACATTAAATTTGTCAGCAGCAATAGGAAAAACAAACAAACAAAAAAAAAAGTTTTGGTTTTATTAATTTATGTGACTGTGTTAGAATTGATACCTGCTCAGATTTATATCTCATTTTGATAATAGTTTTAGTATAGATCAGTATCTGACAGAGATAGATGAATAGATAAAGACAGGAGAGAGAGAGAGACTGAGACAGATGGAGTGAGATGGGGAAAGAGACCGAGAGATGGAAAGAGACAGAGACAAAGAGAGACAGAGAGTGCGACAGTCACCTCAGTGAAAGGAGGCAGCTGATTTGTCAGTTATTAATGTTCATATATTCATTTAAGGACAAAACTGCCAAATAAAAAACATTTTAACATTTTTTTTTAATTAAGACCAAAATGACAAACTTCACTGCAGCAGTTAGAGAAAGGGTGACAATTTTCCTGTGTAAAGTGAATTGGAGTCGATGGAGTCAATGGAGTGCCCATGATCATTTCCTATTTGGAACACAGAGGCTAGAGTGCTTGCTATGTCCATTTATATATACAATCTACAATGGCTGTACCTGATCCAAACCCTGTGATGCTCGTCTTTAACGGCTCAAGGTCAAAGGTGAATCGAACAGCCTTCCCCAGATCTTCATCGTATTTTCGTTCACTCACAAAGTGCTGAAAGAAAATATTATGGGGTTAAGAATGTGTCTGTGTCAATGAAAGTCACAAACTGAAAACACCCCAGCCTTGGTCATTCTTTTCATTTAAAAAGGTGCACTATGTAACTTCTGGGGACCTGCTTGTCCAATAATAATATGTTGTATATGAAATATGTTGTTGAAGTATATGTCAAACGAGCTCTGTGTACGTGAAAATGAATTTTCCCTTCAGGACAATAAAAGTCTAAAAAGTCTAAAGTCTAGTCATTACTTTGCCTAGAAAGTTCCACAATATGGTGATAACCTAGTTAATCTCCATAGAGACAAGCAGGTGACACCACCAGGCCAAATCACAAGTCAGATCTGTGAAAAAACAAGGTGGTAGGTGGTATGGATGGAGGTATTTTTAGTAATATAAGGTTCATTTAGTAATATAAACATCTGTAATGGAATAAATGTAAGATTGTCAAGTTTAATGCCATACTGTGGAATATTCTAGGCAAAAGAATTATATCTCCATAGAGACAAGCAAGTGGCAAACCATTCCGAACCAATTTTAATTAATTAACAGAAATGAATGTAGTGTATCTAAGGCCTTCTATTTGCATCAACCAAACCTCCAGCAGAGGGGGCTAAAAGACAAGTTATGATTATAAAATCTTGAATTTGGCTGTATAGACAGCAGACAACTTATAGCCATTAGCTACTAATAAAGGTCTTATTGAATAAGATTTTTGCCCTGAACCCAATAGGTCTCAAATATCTACACATCTAAATAATATATTTTTTTAATCAGTAATACCTATTACCAAGCCCTGTGCCTTACCTTGATATCTGCTCGTAGTTCTGAGAGCTGCTCCTCCGACATTGAGGCTGACTTCTCTGTGAGTCGTCTAAGCTCCTCTGCTCTCTTCTGCCGCGCATCCAAAATCATCACTGAAACAAACACAAAATGCAAGCCAAAAATTAAAAAACTAGTAAAATATGATTCTCAAACACAATACAGCCACAAGATGTTTAAAGGAAACCACATATGAGAGTCAAGAGGCACTGGGCAGGAAGGTAGTGAGATAATTGGAAAATATTTTTAAATTATGGCACTCGGTTAAAGAAAGCATACTGTGCTTGAATGCATGAATCAGTCAAAATACAACTTTGACTAACTTAATGATGAGGAACACCCTAATAATGTGTCCATTATGTGTTCCCTCAATGCATTTCTTAAAAGATAACAGAATATTTTGGTAGAATGAACAAAAATACTAAAATTAAACCTGATTTTAAATGTTTTGTAACAAAAATATTATGTCCAGCAATTTTATTTTGCAGTGGGGGTTTTGGGGGCTCCTGATCAAATACAGCTGATCATTGGTTTAACTCTGAAATACATAAGGGCTTTCAGAAGAGCTGTGAAATAAATTAAATATGAAAGAGATCTAATAATTTGAAGCAGTTAATGATCAGCTTGGGTTTCATAGAAAGGTCCATAGCCAACCTTCCAAGTTAATAAAATCATGTGGTTAAGAGCAGAGTTCAGACTTTGGAGGATGAAATGTAAATTATTTTTGTTAATTAACATTAGAGCAAATTCTGGGTTTTTTCATGGCCAATGCTGATTCAGAGAAACCAATGGCTGATATGCAAGCATGCTGGATTGTCCTCAAATCCACTACATGGTTTTAATATCCATTACCAGGCTCTATCTCTCTACCCTAGATATCAGTTATTTTTTTCATAGACAAAAGTTGAGAAAATTGCAGTGAAATTGTTGATAAACATGAAACAATACCAACATGAACGACTAATGACTAATTTGACATTATTTGACATTGCTACTTAATTATATCAGATTTTCACAGAAACAGCAGCTGGTTTGCAGTAGATAACATTTGCATTTCTTATTTATCGTTACAGGTTATTGGTTATTTAATTTCTCATGCAGCATTTTGCCTTAACAGCTGTAAAGTACAAAGTTCACCTGACTCAGCACTGTAGCCAAATACAGGTCAAAGATATAAAACAGCAGATAAAAGCTTCATGGAAAAAGTCTTCCAACACTAGACACAAATCAGAGCATACTGACAACAAATCAGATTCAGCAGGTTAAAACAACAGTGAAGTGTCTGATTATAAAGGTCAAATCTGTTATCAACTAAAGCACAGCTGATTTTAACCACTCTAATCTCATATATTGTATTACTTATGCAATCAACACCATATCAGTGATCACAATACCCAGAATTGCCTCTCCATGGATCTGACCTGTAACTTGGCCTAGTGAAATCATCCGCTTTTTGTTTAATGCCAAAGCTCAATATCTTATAAGAGATATGGTTATTTTGGAAAATGTTGTTTTTGTTTTGAAGTTATAAAACTTGTGATCCATTTTCAAATCTGAGCACACCTTCATAAAAACAGCCTTGAGTCTCCCCTGACACCTGACACTTTTCAGCACAGAACACTCTACAGAGCACAGGGGGAGAGAGGGGTGAGCAGGGTGAGAAAGGAGAGAAAGAGGGCGGGGGCAAAGGAAATAGGAAGAGAGAGAGGAAAGAAGATAAAAGAGAGAAAGAGAGGGAGCGAGGGCAAGAGAAAGAGGGGTAAGAGGGAGAGAGAGAGGAGAGCACAGGTAAGAGAGGGCAAGGGAGAGAGGATAAGAGAGAGATGGGGTGAGATGGAGAGAGAAGGAGGAGAGAGAGGGAGAGTGTGGAGACAGATGGAATGAGAGGGGGATTAAAGAGAGAGACTGGCCTAGTTGTAGAAACTATGCAGTCCTGCTCTGTCATGTTACACACCGCTGCACTGTGAAACGAGAAATCTACATTAGTCAAAATGACTTAGAATCAGAATAATATAATAGGTTTGACAAGATGTCTTTGGTTTGAGTTCAATACATTATTTTCTACTTAAATTAACAAAGTAAATGCAGTTCTTACATTCACTGACATAATTTAGTATGAAATTATTATTTTTTTTCTATTTCAAATAAAAATAAAATAAGAATTAAGAAGTAAAAGTACAACAAATATATCTCACTGACATTACATTTTCTCAACATATTTTGAAAAAGTTAATTTGTGAACTTAACAGTCCTATATTACACAAAATTGTTTCTTGTGCGTTTTAAGTCATGTTATGTTGAAACCTCATCAAAATCCCTTTATTATTAATCTGTCTATATCTCCAAAGCTCCAAAATACTCTGCTCCTCCTTGTGATGTCATTAATCGGTAGTTTTCATGTTAGAAGCTACCTTTTACTGTTTGGTCAGTAGAGACTGCAATATCCAGGGCTGAAATTATCCAAATGAAGTGAAGGCGTATGGATTTTAACACACAGCGGGGCACTGTGAGTGTTTGTGTGATATGGCCCCTTCAACTACAAATTTTTGCACCTCGATTAATAAGGATATCTGAATATATCTGTTATCAGACACAACAGCAAGACATCTGATAATCTTCCACCCATAAATAAGACAGGATTTTGTTGTTTGCAGAACTTAAATAACTGGTGTTTGATATTTGATAAATGTGACCATTAATTTTTCAATGCAGTGCATTAAAAATATGTAATTTTAATTTACTTATACCGTAAGTAAATCTCAACAACTCAAAACATATGTCTAAGTCATTTTTTCCGTTCCGTACACAGCAGCAGCCTGGGGGCACGACTGCAGCTGGGAAGGAAACTGGGACTAGCTGTTCCACAACAATCTCTGCCTGCTCTGTGTGCCTCTGAGCCTCAGTGTGTGATTTAGGTCAGATTCTGCAGCTCTGTCAGGTGCTCAGGTTATGGCCCACGGGTGGTATGCACTATGCGCTCACACACAGACGCACACTCGCGTGCGCACACACACACACACACGCGCGCGCGCGCGCGCGCACTCACACTCGCAAACGCACTCGCACTCAGGTCCTTTTATATGAAGTACTCACTGGATTCAGCTTTCACTTTGTCCATTTCTGCCAAAAGGGTGACTTCTCTGTCCATTAAACTGGAAAAAAGAGAGAAATAAGTGTTAAAATGGTTGTTGTCCACTCTTGGACACATATGCCATTACTGTAGAATATTGTAGCCATTTCCATGGAAACAAGCAGGTGGAAGTGCTCCTCCAGTCCAAATAAGATTCATGCCAAGATATAAGTCAGCTCACAGTGAGGATATAATATATTTTTTTAACTAATTAAATGAAGTACTGGTATGTACTGGGGCTTTAATGGTGCATTATACATTTTTTCTGATGGAGATATTATTGCTTTGTTTTGGTGACTCCACAAAGTTACAGGTCAGATCTGTGAATAGGTAAGCCAATAAGAATGCATGTTTTTAACTTGTTTGAACTTTGTTTATTTGGATAAAGAATGGCATGTCAAATTTCATGCTGTTGAACATTTCAGGCAATTCAATAACATCTCCCTGGAGACAAGCAAGCAGACCCTCCACCAGAAAAGTTAGTGCTCCTTTAAAAACAATCTAATGTTCTCCATGTAGAAAACTGAATTGGCATCTTGCTGGTGAATGGTAGAACATTCATCCACAGACCAAAAGGATGGTGGATTTGACCAGTAAATATCAGCATCCTCCCATTGTGTCCTTGGGCAAGACACTCCTGAACAGAGGAAGCAGATTTGCAGCCAGCCTCCCACTCGTCTATCCCAGGACAGTTGTGGCTACAGGATTGGTTTACCACAGAGTACACCAAGTGAAAAATATTGCATGACATGTAAAGGGACTTTGAGTGTCTCATTATTATTATAGTTCAGTACAATAAAGTCAAGTGTAAACAAATAGCTTTTTACTGAAGGCTGTAGACTCATGTTACACAGGTGAAACTGCACACAATGATAAACTATTTTTATTATGTTGACTTTAGGGCACTGCCACAGTAGTCTTGATAACAAATTTTGAAGGGTCATGTACTGAATATAGACAAAAAATATAGATAAATGATAAAATTGGGGGAAAAAAACAAAAAACAAAGCAGGATTATTCCGAAAAATCTAAATGTACAATACACTAGTAGGAAAAAAATATGAACTGTATAGTTTTTTTTTTAGTAGTTGTGTCTATAATACACTAAAAAGGGTGTATTTTACTTCTATGAGGTATTAACTGCTAACACACAACATATTTAGCATATTAATAACATATTAACATGTCTTATAAGTAGAGCCCGACCGATATATCGGCTGGCCGATATTATCGGCTAATATGGGCACCTGGAGACATATCGGCTATCGGCCGATATGCTTGCTGATATGGGCCGATATTTCACCTGGGCATGTTATACCTCGTTATAAAGCTTAGACTCTCTACATTATGTTCATTTAATCCAATTTACAGACAGATAAATGTCCTAATATGTGGCTCCGCATCAGTATTTATCTGCGGTGTAATTTGTCTGTGTCCCTACTGTCCCTGAACACACCACCAGAGTGACGTCACTTCACTCGCGTGTGTTTGTTTACACCCGCAGCCGTGCGCAACATTGAGATTATATTCTTTTTCGGACAATCGGTTTGAGTCTGGATTAAAAGGACATTTATTAGTGCAGACTTGTGATGTGAGGAGGAGCCTGTGTGAGCGGTGAGTGTTGGAAATACATCGACTTTGAAGCTAGTTAAGGTTTTGTTAGCGGTTAGCTGCTGTAGCTCCCACACATAAACAGGCTGTTTTCTATTGGTCTATTGTAAAGTGACTACATTGGCCGTATATTTGTTACTGGACCAGCATTGATATGTAAATGAGCTGTGACTAGACGTGTGAATGATCCACATTTATGCATATAATTAACTACCGCGGAGCGCAGCATTTACGGCTAAAGGCTAATAGCAATAGTTTACTAGCTAGGAGTTATGGGTCGGTCGCGATCGAAGCGGCTCTCAGAGCGAACAACGGGAGCCTGCTTCTTATTGGGAGCCGTGTTTTCTCTTTTTCTTCATGCCGTATGTAGACCCGTAGTTTGACAGCAGCAGCGGCTGAAAACGAAACTTTCAGAAATCTGCGTGTGCATAGGATAAAAAAAAGTGCATATTTGGCTGCAGTTCAGCATAAAATGAATAAACCAGGACTAATCTTGGGCTCGAGTGCAGAAGAGAGATAGAAACCGAGTGCCGACACTCAGTCCTGGTTCAGTTCTGGTTTAGTCCTGCTTGCAACAAAACAATCTCAAGAGTCGCTTGGGAGCCGAAAGAGCCAGCTGCTTTAGTGAGCCGAGCCAAAAGAGCCGGTTCTCCAAAAAAAAACAAAAAAAAACTGGAAATCCCCATCACTAGTAGCTAGAATGTGATGCAAAAATGCCATTAGGCCAATCTACTGTATGTAAATATGATGTAAAGAGTCAAAATAACAATAAATGTTGCCTAAATAAACCCAATTTAGAATCCACTAGAGACAAACCTAAGTTTTTTAATCAATTCAAGATTTACAGTGAATTTTTACATCACGAAATATATCGGTGATTATATCGGCTATCGGCAGCTTCAACTCCCATTATATCGGTTTCATATCGGCCACAACAAAATCCATATCGGTCAGGCTCTACTTATAAGTTTACCCTCCCTTTGCTATCCACGCCAAGTCACTCCCCATTCAGAGCACTATCACAACACTATCAGCATGCATGCCGCTGACTATTGCACATTGAGGTTTGCGAAGTTGCTGTGTACAGTTGAATTGTGTTTTTGTATATTTATGGATGATTGTTGTGTGGGAGCATGGGTGATGTATAGTTCTGGGCTGAGCACTGGACAGAAGTAGGGTTCGAATACAGATAAAGATCACTAAATTACTGAAATATGCATGAATGGCATCTAAAACCTCTTCAGGCATGTTTTTGATGAAGGAGCGTTACAACATGGTAGAAAGACAAAATAAATTAACTATAAATTGATAGTAATTATGATGACAACTCTATTCCACAGGTTATCAGATACAAACTCACCAGCTCTGGAGTTCTGCAAACGTCTGCTTCATTCTCTTGATAGAAGAGTCCATCTCCTCCTTCACCACCATCCTGTATCGAGTGAGTGATGCCGTGCACCGCTGCAAGTCCTTCACAGAGCGGTCAACTGTAGAAGCTGTGGGGAGAGAAGCCAGTCAGTATTTAGTTAGTTATTAGTTAGTTTATTTTCTTCAGTCAATTAACATATACATCATATTACAATGATTTAACACAGAAATTATGCATTTTATGCATATCACTAAAGTTTCTACACATCAAAAGAGGTTTAGGCTGAAGTTTTAAGACTTATTTTGCCTAACCCTATTAACATATAGAACAGGATGCAAGACAGCAGAACTATTTACAGAAAACAACACAAAACTCATCTTTTATGAGTGCAGGAAAGAATATGTACTTAATTCTTTTGGTATACTCACATACACAATACAGGCACACAATCCAATACACGCCGATGTTCATACACACAAACACACACACTGATCATGTGCAGATTAGAATTCATACCTATTGGTATATACATACACAGACACTTATGTGTCTGTGTATTTATATATGCGCATATTTTTATGTGCCTTAAACATGACATTTGCAGTATTGAGAATAAAGGGGATCATGTAATTTTAATGTATTTAATTTAATAAAAAGAACATTTGTTTCGGCATAGTAATCTGCATTATTGACTATTCTAGTAACTTTCTTTTGCAGTAAGAAAATGGAATTGATATTCGTTTTATAATTATTCCCCCTTATTTCCATGCAATAGTTAAGGTATGGAAGGATGAGCGCGTTATATAATAGTTTGAGTGCATTATGATTTACAGAGTTTTTAATTTTACATAATATAGCATGATATGATTTTTTAAATCTCTGCCTTCAGTATATTTATGTGCAATTTCCAGTTTAATTTATCATCTATATTTATTCCCAAGAATCTTGTTGAGTACACCCTCTCGATCTCTGTACTATTGATTTTTATATGGAACTGTTTATTTATTTTTTTCATTTCCAAAAAGAATGTATTTGGTTTTATTCAAATTAATTGATAGTTTATTATTTAAGATAATGTAATGATAAATAAATATAAAATCTTGTGTCAAAACATTTTGAAAAGACAGGTCAGAATTCAATGGTGTCTCGTAACTGTCAGACTGCATATGTTTTGAGCTAGATTATCTGGTTAATACATCTATAATTATTGAATCCATCAGAACTTCACTCGCCTTGCTTAATGTGTGTATGCTCCTGTGTGAATGAGTGTGTTTGTGACAGAAAATGTCTCATCTCAGTAAAAATTGTTAGCAAAAACAAACTATTGTTATGAATTAAAAGAACAGCTATTAAGACAAGACAATTAAAATATATATTTCATATGGCCTTTTGTGTTTGGATATTTACAAAAATAATATTCCTTAAAGCACCAGTGCATAACTTTCATGATTCCTTGGAGATAGATGTGATTTATGCCACATTGGAATCTTACAGCCAAAGGAACAGCAACAACAAGAGGAGCAAGAGGCAGCAAAATTTTGTGGCAAAAAAGTTACGTGATAAGTCTTTGATGCAAATCAGTAAAATGAAAATCAGGTACTTCATGGTCTATTCGACTATTCGAATTATAGGCGCTATTTTTAAACTAATAAATCAGACTCCATCCAGTAATGAGTGTTAAAAAACAATCACATCCCTAGTCCATAATGAGTCAAAAGTCAGAAAGTACATAAATAATGTTAAGTTATTTGAAGTTAGTTCTGACCTATTTTCTTGGTTCCTTGTTGACAGTTGTCTGTGGGGATGGAGGATGGGGGGTGTGAGGAGGGAGCAGGCCTCTGTCTAGGCTTGTTTCCGCGAAGACTCTGGTGATTTCTGCTCTCCTGAACACATAAAGCGGGACTTGGAGCACTGCTCTGGCTCTCTGCTTCTGCCCCTGTGATAAAAACACATCGCATCAGACATAGAATTGTCAAAATATCAAAAATGATTGTTTGCAATTTATATTAAAACTAGTATAAAGACATTTGAGCAAGTATCAATACTAAAAAACCAAAACAAAACACATCATCACATTAAAAGCACAGTATGGCACATCACCTGTGGGATTCCATGGAAATGGAAAGTTAAAACCATACTTTATGGCTATAGATAATTTGAAGATACATGGAAGATTACAGCCAAAAGAGCAGCATTATATCAAGCATATTCCTTTGTATCAAAATAGTGTGAGGAATTTTAGTATTGTGTCAACTACTTACACATTTGAAATGACAAGAAATTATGTTCTAACTAAACTGGCAGTACTTCAATAATACTTTGTCAATATTATAATACTGTGTGCAAAAGCAGAGGGAACATATAGACCATGACCTTTGCATTATTTCTGTAGCTTGATCAGCCAGTTGAGCAGAGCAATATGACAAAAAAGAAGCTAAAGGATAACAAATAAACATTAAGCCACTGACACAATGATCTTAACACACAGTCAGAAAATTAAAAAATAACAAAAGATCAATTTGATATTACCAGTCCTAAAAGCAAATAAAAGCTGAACCATGAAATATATAATACATTATACACATATGAATATACTGAGTGATAAGGAAACAATAAAAAAAATAATCCTAGTTGTATTTTAACACTTAATTACACAATATTTTATGCTCACAATATTTCAGCCTACATTTGATTAAAAAGGAGTTTTGAAAATCTAAATCTAAAATTTAAATGGTAAAATGGTAAATGGTCACATTTTTCTATTGCGCTTTTCGCGCACTCAAAGCGCTTTACAACAAGGAACCACTCACCCATTCACACACACACCAGTGTACGCAGACACTGTGGGCAAGGGGGGTTAAGTGTCTTGCTCAAGGACACAACGACAGCATTCATCAGTGGGAGCTGGAATCCCACCAGCCAACCTGAGGGTCAGTGGATCTGACCGCTCAACCTGTGATGTTTTTTATGTCAAGAGCTGGATTCGAACCGCCAGATCAGTGGGCAAATGCTCTACCAACTGAGCTACTGCCGCCCCAAGGGCACAAATGCAGGGATGTGCCGATTTACTTTTTTCAGTTCCAATACCATTTCCAGCACTATAGCTTTACGTATCTGCCGATAGTCAATACCCAATAACAACCGATGCAAGCAAAGACACTGAAAACGGCATATATTTCCTTTAACCTAAAAGAAGACAAAACTGATCTAAATGTGTTATGTAGATGTTTGACTAGTCGACTACTAATATAATCGTTAGTTGCAGCCCTAAAGTCAAGATAGTAATTACCGTGACAATCGTAGCTACCACTCTATTCTTTGAAAGTCTAATGCCTCCACAATTTGCACACAACCTTCACCTGTGTTTTCAGAGGTGGCGGGCTCTGAGTCAAGTTCAGCCGCATCAAGAGAGGCGGAGTCCAGCTGCTCACTTAGAGAGTCCAGGGATTCATCCAGGACCGACCCATTACCATGGAAACCGTTCATCTCGTCGCCTGGCTCCACAGCACCATCTACTGCAGAAACCTCCGCTGCCTCTGCCTGCTCTGCAGGTTTTGGCTTCTTTTTCTTCTTGGGCTGAAACAGATTAAAGAAAAGCAATTTAAACAAAACAGTAATGTAAATCCTATAAAATGGACTAAACCTGAACTAAATCAGGCCTAAATCAGGACCTGAACCAGAGGACCGTTCCAGAAATGTTACTACTCCCATAAACTGGGTTTGTTTGGATGGGACTGTCTTACTTTCAATGGTTTACCTAATTTCAGTTCCTCTGTTTAGTCACCGTGGGAACTACAGAAGCAGGTCCAGAAAAACTTAGAATGAGCTTTAAGGATCGGTTTAAACCTGAATAGCACCTGAAATTAAAATGTGCATTATGTAACTTTTTTAGTAGAGGGCATGCTTCTCCATTTTTATTTTTATTTTTACTTCACCTGGAATATTCCACAGAATGGCATTATCATCTTATCCATCTCCATAGAGATAAGCAGTAGACAGTAACAAAAACATCTGTAATTTAATAGCATGTTAGGTACATTTAATATGGTACCATGGAACATTACAGTCAAAGCTGTAATGTGTTTAAATGTTAAATGTGTTTAAATATGGACTAAACCTGGACTAAAACGTGACTTGAAACCCACAGATTCTTTTGAAACATATTAAATAAACAGAACAACAAAAACAGAAACCATTTACATGGTTAACTGCTTTAAACTTGAACTAAAGCCAGACTAAACCAGTAATGCCTCCACCTAAAAACTGGGCAAGTTTTTCTTCCTGCACTGCACATTTAACAGATTCAATTAAAACAAATTACATCAAAATTTAGACCAGTTCATTAAACCAAACCTGAACTAATCAGAACTAATCCGAACTAGACCCAGACTAGACCCGGACTAGACCACCTGCTCCTTTTACTTGCTGCACAAACAGATCAATTTCATGCTGCTTGTTCATTATCTATGTTCCAATCAGCAACAAGGGACAATACAAACTTCATAGTTTCCCATTTCAATTAATACAATTATTAATGGGTTGTGTTCACGTCATGATCTCAGACAAGGGCCTCTCGAACTCTATGGGGAAATTACTGTTTTTGGAAATATCCAAAATGGAAATCCACAAATGCTGACCTTAAAATTAGGGTCCGCAAGATGAATCTCATGTTTTAAAATCAACAATCACCACCAAATCCCAATGTCCTCTGTCTTTTTGTGTTTGTACCATCTCTAATATCACATAATAATAATCTGATGTGTGGCCTTGTGGGTAGGCTTCATCATTCATCAACAGTGTGAAATAGTGTTGAAAAGTAGTTAGAGACATTCAGTGTAGCAATCAATCCCCTCACTCATAGTTTAGTACAATAACACCCTTTTCAAGCTTTCACAGTTTTGTAGTTTTTATCATTTTGACAAGAGGATAGGATTACATAAACTTGTACACACCCTACTGCTTTTGAGGAATGAATTACTTTCAAGTGGATATTGCAGGTTAGATAACTAATTTCACCAAAACATAGTTAATAATATATTTAAAAATGGTAAAAACTATGCAAGATTTTTATACAACTTTATACTTTTACTTACTGGTTGTGTAATTCCATAACTGTTACTTGCAATCATACACAATTTACACAATGGTTACCATTTAATGAATAAAAATATGTAAAAAGCACTAACATTATTAACATTATTCATTGTTTTATGTTGCACCATACCACAGAAGAAACCAGTTTGGGAATTTTGTTGTTTTGTTGAACTTTTTCCAATTCATAGATTCCTTTTTAGAATTTGACACCACTTCCTACTTCCTAATTGTTCTTTCCAACTAAATCTTCAGAAACTGACACTTGACTGATGTAAAACCATGATAAATATTTGCCACCAAACCACATAATAATTAGAAAAAACATATTTAGTCCCTGTACACAATTTTCCCCAATATATTTGAGCAAAACTTGTCTTTGCCCCAGAATAGATACTGACAGATACAGACAGATACAGACAGATACAGATGTATTAGCAGCTCTTGAGGTTAAAATATGTCATCCATAGTGTGTGATCTGCATACTAGTTGTTTTACCATGATTGCAAAACTCCAATCTGGTACCGTGCCTTTAAGTTATCTGCATTTGACTTTTGCACTATTAGCACTTACCTTCTTTTTGCCTGTAACATTCCATTCTTTCAGGATCTCCGCTGCACTGCCTGCAAAACCACAACAAACTCACAGTTCAAACATGCAATAATCAGTCTCCATCACAAAAGCCCGAGGTGTTTTTAGAAGCCTTCTGACGTTCTTTTGTGCTAAAAATAACTCGTCAAACTCAAGGCATTTCTGTGACGTGAAGAACTTTGAATGCAAACTATGGCACACTGCAAGACTGTACCAAGGTCACGTTAAAAGCTGCTGTCGGGAATACAGGGCGGACAACAGTAAAACATGCCCCAGCTATATCTAATCTAACTATACATTTGTGGGAGTGTGCATTTAGTCAGATTTTAAACAGATTTCAATGACAATGCTACAACTAATTATATAACATAACATAACATAATATAATAGTTTGGACACACTTTTTAATTTATGTTTCTTCTTAGTTTCCATGATTATTTACATTGTAGATTTTCCCTGAAGCCATCAAAACCACCTTTTACAATTGGCATTCCTTGACCCTGGCATGGCACACCTTCAAATGAAAATTATTTCAGCCTACTTTAATTGTAAAGTTCATTGAGAAAAGGTCAAGGGTTGGCATCACTGATGACAAAGCAAAGGGTGGCTACTTTATTACAACTAGTATAAGACCTCACAAAGTAAGTACTATTATTCTGAGCTTGAAAATCGCATTCCATTACTAAAAAAGATGGTACTGTAAATCGTCAATTCTTTACTACAGCGACTTACAACATGAATTACACAATATTATGCAAATTAGTGTGTACAGAAGTGTATTTTCCTTCAGTAAGTAATTTGAGTAGTTACATTTTATAAACATGAAGTAGTTACATTTCAATCAAATATAGCTTTTACTGATAAAAAATAATCAAATGTAATTAAGAATAAATCAGCAAATACACTGAAGATGAAGTTGTTTCTGTTATAATTTAATGTTTTGGTTCTCAAGCTGATGCAATGAGAAAGCACACTGAGCCTCACGTGAGTCTATCATTTGGGTTGTCAAGAGATAAAGGTGGTTTAAACCTAAAACTTTCTTAAAATTTGTCAGGCAGTGTCTGCATTGAGTCACCGTGGTAAATGGTGAAAGTTCCACAACAGAGATACATGTAGAACACCCCCAGCAAGACATCACTGCATCAATTAATGTATGCAGTTCAGTTGCGATTGTAGAAACCTTTTAAACTGTAAGACAGCAAAATACACATAGTTTCTTTAAATGGTTTAATTACTCTTCATAATTTGATTGTGAAAGCCTCAGTTGCAATTTAATGGATTAAATGTCCTTGTGTATTTCAAGCATTACGTCCCATTAAATTGCAGTTTTATTTTCCCCTGTATACAGTGCACAGTATCACTTGTCTTACCTTCTAAAAAGGCCTGCACTGCTTTGTCCACAGAGTTCTCAAAGTGCTGCAGCACCAGAACTATCTCATTGTTACTTTTGTTGGGAACCACGGCTCTGACGGCACTGATCTGCACAGACAAAAGACAAACAGGTTTAAATGTCACAGGTCTTCACAAAAAACCCGCCTGAAGTGACAGCATTACTGTAACAAGCAGGGCAGAGTCTAGGAAACATAACTAAATGTGATTTTTCTGGCAAGTACTGTGATTAAAGGGCCATTATACAAAATTGAGTCTTCTGAGTGTTAAGCCATGTTATACTTATAATGCTGTTACCTCCACTAAAACATATGTGTTGTGCTTTGTTTCATTCACACATTTGAGTAATCCTGATTTGTTCATCTATCTTCATCTCCAAAGCTCAAAATGCTCTCTTCCACCTTGTGATGTCATGTAGTGGTAGTTTTCAAGTTAACTACTACCTTTTATCTTTAGTACAGGTGAGATGGGCAATTCCACAGGTGAAATTATCCAAATCCTTCTAGTGAAAACAATTTAGAAAACAGTGTAATATGGGCCCTTTAATGTTGAAATGTATGTAAAACATGAGATTCTTTTATTTTGTCAGTTCACTTCAGAACATGTTTATATAGATCTAAGTTGCAGGGTTAACAGTTTTTAGGCAAAATAAGATGAGATACTTTGTTGTTTGCGGAGGAAATGATGGTACTTCAATAGCGTACAATTTAATTGTGTTTTTGTTTGATTAATTTTGCAGCCTTAGAAAGAAGCATCAAGTTTCTGAAATGAAGTCTTAGAAAACAGTTCCATTCCAGCTTAAAATGTCACCAAAATATTTATCAGGAAAAAAATTAACATGTGTAGCGACTTTACACAGTGTCCAAACTTTAGAGACTAGAGACTGTTGTGCTGTGCACCTTTAACCTGCTGCAAAAAAAAAAAAAAAAAAATTACACCAGCCTTGGAATAACCTCATATATGTAATTGCCATAAAATGTACCAGTACATAGAGGTAGAAGATACTGCAATTGTTTTTCTTGAACTGAAAACATTTTTAGGAAGACTCCTGCACACTGACCCAACTCTTTGTTCCATCCTGACTTTCCTCAGGTAACTGCAAAGAGCAAATCACATTATTTTGAAATACAATGATTTCTACCACAAACATATTTATACTAGGGATGGAACGATTCATTTAAGTCAGGATTTAATTCAACTCATTTCAAGCATTTTGGACTCCCAATTTTTGATTGTTTTTGAGTTTAATACATTTTTTAAATTAACATTATTATCTTAAAAACAAAAAATATCCTATTAACACTGAATAAAAAAATAAAGACACATGGAGGGACACGTGAGAATCAAACTTAAAACTGGATCAAATTGAAACACCAGAACTGAACGAGTCAATCTTTTTTTTTTTTTTGAGAATTGTTCCATTCGTAGTTTATACTGTTTCTCAGTTCATATTTCATTTTTTGTAAATTCTGGACAGGTTGAAAATGTGAACTTTGGACAGAATCCTCGTAATCACAGTTGCAATGCTTGTCTGAAAAATCACAGATTTATATTTTCCCAAACTGTTAGGTCCTAATACTGGATGTTCGAATTTTCAATATCTATAGCTAAAAGAGTAAGAAAAAAATGATTAAAAATAAAATGAACAGAAATGTTTTGTGTGTAATCTTTCAAACAATTGTGTAAACATCTCACCCTTATGTAACAGATAACCCTATGTCCTGTCAATCATTATTTAATCTTTGCACTGTTTCTTCTTACAACCTCTTTAATATACAAAAAATATATTTGTATTACTATATTTTTATATTTTATTTTTATTAGTACATATACATTTATATAATTATGCCGTATTTGATACCTCTCTCTTGCGTCGTTTGCAACATATTCTGAACTTATTATTACCATTTATACTCTTCTCTTTTTACTCTTCTCTGTTATATAATATATTGTGATGTGTGAACTACTGTGTCCAAACAATTTCCCTTGTGGATCAATAAACTTTGTTTAAGTTCAAGTAAGTAAAGGGATATTACTGCACTTTTGTGTGTAGTTTTATGGTATATTCACATTTCATGCCATATCTGTTTACAGGCACATCAAAAGTCCTCAAAATGGCATATATAAACAGTAATCTGAAGCCCACACAGTGTCCATCTCACCTTCTCCTTCATCCTCTCCGCTGTTCCTCCCTGGGACATGACCATCTTGGAGCGAGTATCGAACACAACCCCCGAGGTATCTGACAAAAACAAACCACATGAACCACCATTCACTTGGTGAGAGGAATTTTATTTGCAAACCACTGAAAAGGCTGATTTGCTAAACAAAGCAGATATTTTCTCAGGATTTCCTGGAGAGCCCAGAGCTGAGTATTACAACCTTAAAGCAGATTAAATGAACCACCATTTGGTACTTAAAAACTGTTAATTCCATTGTTAAAAATAAAGAGGAAAATTGCCATGACCTCAGCAGAGTGCACAAGAGCTGCAAGGTTAATCAAATCTGAATGTCTTTTTTAATTGGAAAGATGAATCACAGTTAGGGTTGATTCAATTGCATTTTTTCCATCTGATCTAATGCAGTTACTTGGCTTCAGGGTAGCTTCAACTTCAGACCAGTTTGATATCAATATAATATTCAGTATTATAATAATAATTATTGGTGGTCTGTTTTAATTTTAGTTTTCAGAGAGGACAGGCCTACAGGGATTTGGAATGTAATTTTCAGTGCAGTCCAAGCCCCAGAACTCCCCTTGCAGCTCGTGTGTGGTAAGCAGAGATGACTGGAGTGAAAGACAACAGACTTGTCTATGGATAAGCATGTAAGTGGCCCCAGAGGAGACCATATTGTGTTTTCCACTCGAAAAGGTGCAAATGAAGTTTTCTAACATCTGCATACAGCCCTATAGTCAGTTAAATGGTGCAGGACAGGTTAGACTACTAAAGACAGCTAAGACCATAATATTTGAGATATAGCTAAAAAGATTTCCCCAGTGTGGCCAAATTTTACTTCCTTGTTGGACATCATGGCATCATGCTAAGGAAAAGCTCTTAACTGTTATCTAGCAACCATGTTCTATATTCGGCCAAAACACAGGAATTATTATTGGATAAACAAAATTATAATAAAACACCTTTATTTTGTTGAAATAATGTTTTTAGTATCAAAAAATGCCAAACTTTTGGATAGAATTTTCCCTAGTGTGATATCATCAATATGGAATTCTCTAAAATAGAACTTTTTCCCATTATTTCCTGTAACTTTCAACATATTTTTCAAGTTTTCTTCACAAATTGCTTCTTCATTATATTTATAACAGGTGTTATCCTACCAAATTAAAATTTGAAAATCAAAATCTGAGAATCATAAAAACCTGTCATATACACTTTAAGCTGCTCTCTGTGGCTCAGAAAAATAAAGCATGATATCTGATCAATAAGTTGGTTTGGTACATTCCAATACCAGAAAACCCTGGTATCAGAGTTCTCCAAAAGAGAACTATCTGTCCCTGGAGGTTAGACCCCTACAAACATGATGGGATTCTTGTTTTAGTTTAGCGGCTCATGTTTCAGTTTTTCTGAAAGGAAACTGAAGCTAACTGGGTTTGAGGACAGACTGTAGCACAAAACACAAACAGCTGCAGCCTAAAGTCCAGAGCATAAAAAACCTGGACTCTCGTAAAGACATTTCCTCATAAACGAAAGTGGGTTGAAGTCACTGAGACACTCCCAGGACCAGCCTAACTCAGTCACAGTCTACAACATGGAATAGACAGCTTTTTCCATTTTATTGTGTAAGGTATTTGCAAAAAAAAAAAAAAAAAAATATTTTAGCTGAGTGTGTACCCTAAACAAAGAGATTATTGTGAGAACAACTGCAACAGTATGATTTCTCAACATTATGATTGATCAGTACTGATAAAAGGTGAATTATGGTGTAGGTCGTCCACCAGGAAGACCATGGAGAAGCAGGGCAGTTTACAGATCAGATATCAGATTTGTGGAGAAGCCACCTCTCTCAGAGTAAGAATGCATGTTTTTGAATGTTTTTAGGCCTGTAATTGAATAAATGCATGATAGAAAAGTTAACAGCCAGAGTGGAGAATTCCAGCCAACGCAAAAATATCTACATGGAGTTAAGCAAAAGGCAAAAGCCAACCATAAAAGCTACATAATGCATCTTTAAAATAAAACAACTTAAATCAAAATGCCAGTGCAAACACAATTTCAACAAACAAAAAAAATCATGAATATGATCTGAGCTAGGTAAAAACACACAATTCATATCAAATTCTCACCTTTGTGGCTGTTCTTCTTTGCCATAATCCTACTGTTCAGTTTTTAGGGTGAAACTTCTGCCCTTTCAAGTAGTTAAGTGGTAAGAAAGTCTTTTTAAGTACTTCTGAGGAGGAGATGCCACAGAGGTGACCAGTGGAATGACTGGCAAGAGGAAGGTCAGATGAGGCCTGCAGCGTTTTAGGCAAAGATTCAATTTCCCTTCGACTTTTTCCAAATCTGCAAAAGAAAAAATGACCAAAAGCTGTTCAATGAGCACATTCTTAGCTCTGGAAAAGTATTCCTAGGCTTTTTATGAATGTACAAAACTAAAACATAGATGTTTTTAAAACTGAGATGTTTAAGCACCACTTACTAAGTCAAGTGGTGCTTGTTATTATAGTTACAGTGTCACAATACGAATTTCAATACTAGGGAACAGACTCAATATTCGATACCGATTACAATACCACAATAAATATGAAAATGCCCCATTTTTTAGTAATAAAGTGTAAATTTCCTTGAGTTACCTTGAGGTCTTCGTTTGGTCTGATAAAGTTAAAAATCATACTAAAACTGTTCAGGAAAGCTCAAATATTGTGCTGCTAATGTGATTTTCTTTTTCACAATATCAATACCTGCTCAAATTAGTATCTAGTGTTGAAAATCAGATGCTAATTGATGCTAAAGAAAATCTATATTTTTGACAACTCTAATTCCTAGAAGTTTTCATGAATATTCAAAACAAAACAGTTGACAAAAGGTAGCCCGATCAAGTCAAGTGGTGCTTGTTATTCACAAAAAAATGAGCATCTCTGCATTTGCATTTGATAATTTCTCTCCCAACAAAATTAAAGCCATTTCCTCTGACCGGGTTAATGAATGAAAAACAGACTTGTTCTCCCATAGCGCATCTCAGAAAATCTGCAGTTCATTTTGGTTTTGGCACAAATACCACATTTATTTTGGGAAAATGTCAGCAGGCATTTTCAGTTGAATAATTTTTCTCAAATTTGCATTTCCTTTTTTTTCTAAAGGGAGTGGTGGGTGGCATAAGTCTGTATTCACAAATGAAACCATAAGAGGGTGTTAGCATCAATATATAGAATATGAATGATTTGAGAAAAATATCTCATTGCGATTTTTTTGATAAGTAATGCAACTGTGATTAGATGTTTTAATAATAGCATTCTTTTCAAAATTCACATTGTAAAAGAGTCCAGAACAAATGACAAAAAGACTGAAATATTATGTGCCAAACTAATGCAAGAATCACATTTCAGAACACGTTCATACAGATCTAAACTAGAGGTTCAGCAGTTTTAAAATGAAGACAGGAGATTTTGTTGTTTGCGGAGGAACTTATGTTAATTTAAAAAAAATGCAGCCTTTGCAATTTGCCAATTCTGTCCATTAAAAGTGCAACTTGACTGCGATTAATGCTGCAGCCCTAATACTAAATATTTGAAACAGAAGCGTTAAATGACTTTATATGACTGATACTGCAAGTAGTTTTGAATCTGGTGAGTTGGCTGTGCAATCAATAATGGAAAGCTCATTCAATCCAACTGTCATCTGAATTACTGCTTTAATGCACTGAAATCTTGAAAATGTTCCATGTTCCACTGGGCTGAATTAAACTGTCCAGATGTCTGTTTAATTAGGACCGCAAGATTAAATCAATATGAATGGACACTAGGGCTGGGTATCATTAAGAAGTTGCCAATACGATACATATCTCAATACATAGGCCACGATATGATAGATGTCTTGATATAATATATTTCAAATTAATTCGATATGATTCAATAAAAAATAATGGCTAAATCATGGTTGTAATACTAAACGTCTTTGTTAAACCACCTCTTGTGCAAAGTGAATATGAAACACACATTTTAATCATCAAAACAGTGAATATGTCAAATGTGCTGCATAAACGAGAACAAAACTAGCGCTGTAAAAAAATATTTAGTAAAACACATAAAAAAAAATAAAAAAAAAGTCTTGGTGATCTTGTTGTATTTTGATACATCACATTAAACAATACAATATACTGATATTTAGATATTTTTTGCAGCCTCCTAATGGATGCAATTAGCAAATTGCAAAGGATGCCATTTTTGAAGCAAAATCATTTCCACCAGAAAACAAAATTATCTTAACTATTTATTCTGCATAAAAACTGCTAACCCTGTAGTTTAGATCTGTACAAACACTGTCTAAAATGTGTTTCTTATATTAGAGAGTTCACGTTTCAGTCTTTTTGTCAATTCTTCTGGACGTGTTTAAAATGTGAACTCTGAATCAAATCCTGTTATTAAAACATGAATCACAAATCTAATCGCAATGCTTGAAAAAAAAACAAAAAACATTGCTCATCATGCAACCCTTTGTCTAATGGTTAAGCCAGAAATGCCCAAGGTTTTTTCCATGGAGCGCCAGAATTAATGCACATTAGAGAGCCTTCTGCAAAGAAATATATGATTAAATATTACAAAATTGAGAGGACTGGCCTCCTTCCCATCGACAGGCAATATTTTCTATACAAAATTCAATCAAAATATATTCTTCTTAAAGTCTCAGAGCACCCTCCCCTGGGTTAAGGGAAAGCTCATTCTACCCAACTGTCTGCAAAATTACAGATTTTATTCATGCACCAATTTTTTTTTTTTTTTTTGAAAATGTTCCATGTTCCACTGGACTGATTCAAATTGTCCAGATGTCTGTTTTATAGTTTCTCTTCGTGGCAATGTTCAGTGAAAAGAGAAACCAGGGCTGAACAAATGCACGCCCTGCTGATTAGACCTTGGCATGTCATAGTCCTGGTTCCACCACACCTTCCACGTCACAGCTCTATGTACAATCAACAAGTGCTCTGCTGTGTTCATTCATCCAAAACTAGGATGCATTCTGTTTATTAAGAGGGCTGGTGCTCCAGGCTGAGAGGCTCTGAGAGGCTCTGAGAGTGGAGAAGTGCTACATCAGCACTTTATCTGATGCCGTTCAAAGTGGTTGACACAAGCAGCTCGGACTTGATAATAAATAAGATAAGGCTAGTATTGAAAGGAACTTGATCTTTGGAAAAAACAAAACCCTGAAAATCTGAATCTTTGTAATCCTTATCACATTTTAAAGCCACAGTATGTGCTTTTTTTTATCACAAACTAAAATAAATAGCATGTTTGTTTTGATTGTATATTTTTTTTTTCTTTAATTTTGGTTGTGTTTATTGCAAAGAAAAACATGGGTCCTTATAGTGAGTGGGCTTGCATCTCCACAAATCTGACTCTTATTTGGCCTCCACCTGCCTGCTTCCATAGAAATGGGGTGGTTTTAACTTTCCATTTCCATGAAATCATGCAGGTGGCATGCCACCTAGAGAAAGTTGCTTTGTAACTTTACTTGCTTGCCCCTATGAAATGAAATGTTCCTCAGTATGTCATTAAAAGTTTGACTTCTCTACAATAGGGTGTGCAAAAATATTGAAATATCAGTATATTGTATCATTTAATGTGACGATACAGTATCAATATTGTGATCGCCAAGAGTATTTTTTGGTATATTTTCCAAAATTATTTTGTTATAGTGCGATTGAGATATGTATCATCTCAGCAACTTCTTAATGATTCCCAGCCTACTCTATATAAGCAAGACACAAGCAGGTTAAATCAACAGCCAAAATGACAGGTCAGATCTGTGGAGAGGTGACTCAGCTGATATATATATATATATATATATATATATATATATATATATATATATATATATATATATATAATATATATATATATATTATAATATATATTATATATATATTTATATTTTATTATATATATTATATATATATATATGAATAAGAATGCATGTTTTGATCATGTTTTTAATCAACCAAAACGTGTTATTCTAAGACAGATTAGTTTGATGCCATTCTGTGGAATTGTCTAAGCAAAGCAATAGCATAGTAGATAGTAGAACTCACACAAGAAATATTACATAGTTAATAACTCAATCCCTTCTGTTACTTGGTGAAATCTAAATGAAATAACTTCAGATATGACATATCAAATAGCACTGCATCCCAGATAGATTTCAGCAGCTGACCCGGCACACTTCAGCAGAAATGCAGCAGGCCCAGGAAGTCAAAACACGGAATTACAAACATTTGAAATACATGATAAATAAATGTCGTTTTAGATATTTCCCCCTAAAAAAATAGACTGCCACATCAACAAAATATCAAAGCACCTTTTCATCAAAACTATAACTAAAAGATTAGTGATACATTGTCTGATATTTTTTGTCTAGAAGAATAAATGCACTCGAGGCTTAACACAATCACATCTGTGGTGTTATTTAGCGCAGGTCACCGTTATATCACTGCTGGGGTTCTGTTTGGCCAAAGTGGAGGCTGCGGCGCCGAGGCTCGCTGCTGTCGTTACAAATGATTAGCACTAGCCCTGCACACTCTGCGTCACTCCCGGTAAAATGCACACGGTGTAATAACCCCCAGAAGATGCGCAAACATGAACATTTTTTATACATTACCAACGCCTTCACAAATCATGCTACCCGAAATGCAACCTGAGCTAGCGCAGGGCTAGGCGGCTGCTGCTTTTACTATTGAATGCCTTGTTGAAAAGCTAGCCATTTGTGAGCTGCTAAGTTTGACGCTGAACAGACATCCTTCCACAAAAGAAATGAAATGTTAAGCCTTTTGTCGCGTTGTACACGTCTCTAAAATGTACCAGATACGTACTTTGCGCTGGAAAGAGCACGAAGGAATAGATTGTGAGGAGGTTCTCGCAGCTCCTGTAGCGTCTGTAATGCCAAGTATCTGCTGTGGCCAATATTTTCCTTCAGCGTCGTCACATATGTTGCCAGGTTGGATATTCCAATCCCTCAACAGGACGTATAAAGACAGACTTCAAACAAGGCGACAGTGTCGTTGACTTTGACCTTACGTTGCGATTAAACTTTTCATCTAGTATTAGTCCAAAAATAGATATTAAATTACCAATGCTTGGTCATTTGAAGGTGTCTAATTTAGCTCTTAGGAGAAAGCTAATTGTACAAGCATAGTTACGTAAATATTACTAAGTATGGCAACCCAGCGTCCACGTCGTCATTTCCGAGCTCGGGGTTGGTTCACTTTGCGCTCCTCTTTGCTCCGGTTTTGAGTGGAAGTGCAGTTTGCGGGCACATTGCGCGCACTTTGCGGGTGTTTTGACTCAAAGTGGCGGCCTAAATAGTGAACATGTGCTCTTCTACCTTTCGGGGCTGAAACAGTTTAGCATATCTCGGGCCGTGTCTTGTGCACAGCCGGATTTTGGAGCGTTTTGACTGGAGAGAAGAGGAGAAGAGCGGGGTAACTTCAAAATGGCAACCCCCTATGTAACGGATGAATCGGGTATGGCTCTGCATGTGGCACCCTTTGTCTGTCAAAACTACAACCTCAATCGATATAATTCAATGCAATATTACAATAATGACAAAGAATTATCCTCTGTGAAACTTATACATGGTCTCAGTAAAGGCGGATCTATGTGGTTAACTTGTATTTGTTGTGTTAGCTACTGCTAGCTGGCTAAACATATTAGTGCTGTTCCTAGTCTAAAGTGCAGCTATTACTTCAGCTTTTTTTTTTTTTTTTTTTTAATTCACATATCATTTATAAAACCACTTTCTTCTAATTATCACGTAAATTACCCTTTTCTCACCACTGAGTTGTTAAGTCTCATGCACGTATTTACTACGTAGTAAACAATATGATGTTTTTGTAAATTTCTTGTACTTGTTAATCAGTCATTATGTGCTTTTTAATTGTATAGAGAAGAAAAGGGTGGACACTGGACAAAAATGGAAAATTCATAACAAATTTGTAACGTTGTACATAACATTTAATACTTAAAGATTATGATACACTATTTATTATTGGTATTTATTGTAATATTTTCTGTACCTCAGGCAAATACATCGCTGCCACTCAGCGTCCTGATGGGAGCTGGAGGAAGCCGCGACGAGTAAAGGATGGATATGTTCCTCAGGAAGAAGTCCCAGTGTAAGAACTGTTTTCTGTTTAGAGCAGTAAACAGTTGTCACTCTGCCAGAATTAAAATGAATGAAGTCATTGGGAATGTAATAACTTCATAACAATTGAATCTTAGTGGGGAAAAAAACAAAAACATTCTTTATTCATTTTTATTTACAGGGCTTCTAAACCTTTAAGACCACATTTCCAAAAATAACAATGCAAAAACCTAAAATCCTGGGTGTCTCAATGATAATGTATCTTTTAAGACTCTCAGTTCAGTGGCTCTTGACCCTTTAATAGATTACTGTATCTGTTGTCTGTGATAAGCTTTATTAAAGCACTGTCTGATTCAAACTGTAAAATTTGAACCAGGAATTGTGTATTTAAATGTTAAGTATTTCCTCTCTCTCACAGACTCTTTAGCTCATTGATAATAAATAAATGCATGAATTTCTGGTCATGTGCATAGTTTTTTTTTTTTTTTTTTTTTTGTGCATGTGTAGAAAATCCCTCAGCTGTTCAGATAGAATCCATTGCAAAGGAGAAATTCAGTTTGTCAATGTTTATTTTGGTTGAAAACATTTTGCAGCTCATCCAAGCTGCTTCTTCAGTTCTGGTCAGATGCTAGTGGACACCGCCTTATATCTGTGTGCAGGGAGGAGCTAACTACACTGAAACTACTCTGAAACTAACACACCTACTTGTTTCAAGTTTCTGTTGTTAGCTAGACCTGTTGAACTGCACTGAGTGTGGGGTCTAAGCATAATTATTCAGGCCCATGATTGGAGCGTTCAGACCTTTGGCCCTGACCTGGCTATATCAAAAAAACAAAACAAAAAAACAATAGGGATAGCCTAGGGATTAGTTTCAGAGTAGTTTCAGTGTTGTTAGCTCCTCTCTACAGGCAGTGTCCACCAGCGTCTGACCAAAACTGTAGAAGCAGCTTGGATGTTTTCGACCAACATAAATGTTTGACAAATTGAATTTCTTCATTGCCTTTTTTTAGTGCAGTAAGGTGAAATGCTATGAATCTTAGCACTGCTTAAAACTTCTGGTTTACAATAGTTAAAATACTTAGACACACTAATTAAAAAGAATACAATTGTACACCCCAGCTTTAAATGTAGGTTTATCTATTTTGATTAAGTCTATATTATATGTCAATCAGATATTGTTTCTTCTCATTCCCATTGTGACATCTATGATCACTGTTATAATTGTAAAACATGATTACTCCTGTTTGTCAGTGCAGTGCAAAATATCTGAAATTCATATACATTTTCTTTTTTAGATACGAAAACAAATATGTGAAGTTCTTCAAGGGAAAACCAGACCTGCCTCCTGGTTTAAACCCAGATGACGTTGCTCAGCCTAAAACTCAACAACAAAAATGTGAGAGCGATGCATCCAGTCTTTCCAAATCTGCAAAACGAAACATGAAACGCAAAGAGAAAAGGAGGCAGCAGCAGCAGGCTGAAGCAGAGGAGGAGCAGGTGGATTCGGTTAGTTACGCCGTGGACAACATGACTCTTAATGAAAATGCAGTCTCTACTCCTGATGATTCTTCAGCTGTTTCGGAAAAGGCCAAAAAAATCAAAAATCTGAAAAAGAAACTGCGACAAGTTGAGGATCTGCAGCTCAAAGTGGACTCAGGTGAAATTAAACAGCCGTCAAAAGAACAAATGGATAAGCTAGCCCGAGCGCAAGCTTTGAGAGAGGAGCTAGAGCAGCTAGAGAAGGATTTATAAAGCACTAAGGCCGTGCCCAATTTCTGTTAACTTGCCTTTTTGAGTCCTCGATGTAGAAATGATTCAAGTAGTTCTATTGTTAAGTAGAGCTGCAACAATCAATCAAAATCATTTTGACTTGTCAGCTAAAAATACTATAGAATAATAGAAGTATTTTTTATAATAATATCTGGCATGGATATTAAAAATACATTATTAAAAATAATAATAATAAAGAGTAGAGTCCGACCGATATATCGGTTGGTCGATATTATCGGCTGGTATGGGCAACTTTAGGCATATCGGCTATCGGCCGATATGCTTGCTGATAGGGGCCGATATTTCACGTGGGCATGTTATACCTCGTTATAAAGCTTAGACTCTGTACATTCTGGTCATTTAATCCAATTTACAGACAGATAAATGTCCTAATATGTGGCTCCACATCAGTATTTATCTACGGAGTCATTTGTCTGTGTGTGTCCCTACTGTCCCTGAACACACCACAGAGTTGCGTCACTCACGTGTGTTTGTTTACACCTGCAGACACAGATCCAAACACTGAGATTATATTCTTTTTACTGACAATCGGTTTGAGTCTGGATTAAAAGGACATTTATTAGTGCAGATTTGTGATGTGAGGAGGAGCCTGTATGAGCGGTGAGTGTTGGAAATATGTCGACTCTGAAGCTAGTTTTTGTCATTTGTTATGGGTTAGCTGCTGTAGCTCCCGCACATAAACAGACTGTTTTCTATTGGTCTGTTCTAAAGTGACTATATTGGCCGTATATTTGCTACTGGACCTGCACTGATATGTAAATGAGCTGTGAACAGACGTGTGAATTATGACATTTGCGCATATAATTAATTACTGCGGCGCGCACGTATTTACGGCTAAAGGCTAATAGCGCTACTTTCTTTACTAGTTATGGGCATGGATCTATTAAAATAACTGGATACAGTATTGCTAGCTTGTAGCTGCCTCGAGTTGACGTAGTGGCCACTCAGTGGTACTACAGTCGAAAAAATCCCATGGGCCGAGAGAAGATTTTTCTCATAGAGCGCAATGTAATCACAACCCGCTCGTGTTTTCGGCTGACAGGGCACCTACAACTTTCAAAAATGTCGGATTTTTGTGGCGATTTTTACCTATTTTTAGATCATAAACTTTTTCTCGCTCAAAATCCTTCAGTTGTCTTAAAAAAACGCTTTATAATCGTTAGCTTCGGCTCCGCTCTGCTCTCGTTCCTCTCGCTCTGATTGGTCAAAGCGATCACGTGATACACGAGCCCGCGCTCCGTGCGTGTGGTCGCGTGCATTCGCGTGCATTCGCGTGCATTCGCGTGTGCCCGTGGGAGAAAAGAGCACTACTGCGCATGCTCGGTCGGCCCACAGCCACCGGAAGTACCTAGCCGGGCTAGGCTAATCTGGGATCATGCGCCATTGAGCTCAGCCCATTGACTTGAATGGGCGGCCATTTTGGAACCTGGGGGCTTCGTTATGGGTCCGTCGCGAACGAAATGACTCTTAGAACCGGCTCTTTGAAGCGAACGACGGGAGCCTGATCCTTATTGGGAGCCGTGTTTTCTCTCTTTCTCACTTTTTTTCTCTTCACGCCGCTTGATTCGTGGTTTGACAGCGGCAGCGGAGAAATTTGCGTGTACGTAGGATTTAAAAAAATAAAAATAAAAAAACGAGCATATTTGACTATAGTTTAGCATAAAATAAATAAGTCCTGGTTTAGTCCTTTTTCAGTCCTGGTTTAGACCTGGTTCAGTCCTGATTCAGTCCTGCTTTAGACGTGCTTAGTCCTGCTTGCAACAAAACAATCTGAAGAGCCACTTGGGAGCCAAAAGAACCAGTAGCTTTTAGTGAGCCGAGCCAAAAGAGCCGGTTCTCTAAAAAGAACTGGAATACCCATCACTAGTGTCTAGAATGTGATGCAAAAATGCCATTAAGCCAACCTACTGTCTGTAAATATGATGTAAAGAGGCAAAATAACAATAAATGTTGCCTAAATAAACCCAATTTAAAATCCACCAGAGCCAATCCTAAGTTTTTTAAACAATTCAACATTTACAGTGAATTTTTACGTCACTAAATATATCGGCGATTATATCGGCTATCAGCAGCGCCAACTCCCATTATATCGGTTTCATATCGGCCACAACAAAATCCATATAGGTCGGGCTCTAATAAAGAGATTTTGCAAGGTACCTGCTCACATCGGTATCTAGTTTTGATACTAGTTATAGTTGCAAGTGTCTGTATATCTGTATACATTTTTTACACTCTTACATATCAGAAAGGATAAGTATTCTGCATCCTATTGATTAAAAAAAGGACAGAGGCAAAAGATAAGGTAGCCAGGGCAAGTTGGGTTGGGTTAGGTTAGTTTATTTGCCAAGTGTAGTTAATAAAACCAAACAAAATAAAACATTGGAAAACATGTGCAAGAAGCTTAGAGTGCACCAGGAGACTTTAAAAAACAACCACATAAACAATAAACAGTCATTACAAATTACATACTGGCACTGTAAAATAAACAAGCTACAAAAATTTATGCTCCACATTTGATTCATTTGTTGTATCAGACCCCCACTGTGGGAATAGGAACATAGAGGAGAGGGGCAAGTTTTTACCAAGTGGGTCTCATTTATCAGTAAAATTTGGGTTGAAGGATTAAGCACTCAAAAAGGCAAGTAAACATAAATTGGATGCGGCCCAAGTCAGCGGCCAACGGGGAGAAACTGCACACTCCAGCTCCTTGTACCTTTGCAGTAAATTATTTGTTACCATACATGCTCCCAAGCTGTTTGTTACCCCCAAAGCTCCCATATTATGCTAAAAAGTTGTAATTTTTATCACTACAAATGTCAACTTTTTTGTTTCGTTTCCATTTAAAAACTGAAACTTGGACTTCTACGCATTTCAGAAGCACTGAAATTGTCTATAAAGCATCTACAGCTGTGCTGCTAATAAGCTGTTTCAGCATGCTTCTCTCCCCACTGTGGGCGACACAGCTAGTCAAGTATTATACATTTTAAAATACCAATGTAAAGATGTCAGCATATAGATATTAAAAACTAAATCAAATAAGAATATGAGACTTTTTAAGAACTTTTTTTAAGAAGACGGCAGAGGATATCTACAGCGCGGGCAGCACACTTTTCTACGGACAACTTTGAACCTGCGTTTTAAAATTGTCATTTGTTTTTTTTTTTTACATTACGAACATTCAATTAAACCACTCACTAATCCTATGGTAAAATGTCTTTTTAATTGTTTAATTGTTCCATTTTATAAACTCATGATTTCCTGTTGAATCTAGCAGTGTTACTAAATGTTACAGACTACTAAAAAGGATGTGTGAAACAGCTGCTGTAAGTTTTTCTCGTGAACATAACGTACATTAATGGCATTTTGAAATACTGTATATGGAGATGCAGACCTAAGAGACTTTTATTTCAAATTGTAATAAAAGGACAAAAGCAACTTCTGTAATAAAGTATTAATTTCTATGAATTAAAAAAAAGTTTTGAAATGAATATGACAGATTTTCATGTTCTTTAAATTGGTATAGTACCAAATAAATATCACAGTAGCAAAATACTTGAAAATTACAGGAAGTGGCTATGAGTTTTAAGAAGGAAGTCCTCTACAGTATATCCTCTAAAATTTCATTTAAAATGCGATAGATAATGAGATAATTTATGCTTAATAATTTATGCTTTAGTAACACTTGTTTACCAAAAATCAGTGTGTTATAATTCATATTTATTTGTGAAACTACTAAACTTCAATGAATGCCTCAAACCTTCTCAAATATTGCAATAAATATGGTACAGTTATGTTAAAATAATGTACCATAAGATTTGAAAAAGGTTTGGTTCCTACGCAATACTTTTATAAATATCTTTGTTTTGGATCAGTGGGTTGTTTTGGACACAAGCACAGTATAATTAACAGTCTTTGTCTGTTTGTGAGAATGCATGTGGTTAGGTGTTTTGTTCATATGGCTGTAAGCATTAAGTAAGCGGTATGCTATTATTATTCAGATTCAAAAGACACTCCTCCCTTGAGCTCACATAAATACTAAATTAAATATTTAATGAATTAATTGCAATGACTTCACTCTATAAATGCCTACAATATAATTAATCAGTTTCACTCACAGAATTAAGATGTGTCAGTGTTCAAGTATGTTTGCTATGAATGGATTGAATAGGATTAAGCCCGGTCTAAACTCAAACTATACCCAAACTAAAATGAGTATAAATCAGCACTTAACCAGGATTACTCCATAACCTGAACCTTTTTTGCCTATTTTTTACAGTTTTAAATGGCCTATATTATGCTATTTTCTGATCTATGTTACACTGTTACCCTCATCAAAAGCATACATGGAGTTGTGTTTTGTTTCATTTATATTTATTAGCATACAAACCCTGTATATTTAGTTCTTCTCTCAAACAGGAAATACTAGTCCACCTTGTGATGTCATGTCATACAGGAAACACCCCACTGCTTTTTTAAACTCCATACACCTTCACTAGAATAATAATTTCAGACCTGGAATAGCCAATCTCTATTAAACAAAAGTTGTTAACTTGAAAACTACCACTACATGACATCACAGGGTAGAACAGAGCATTTTGAGCTTTAGAGATGTAGACTAATAATAAAGGATTTCTCAGACATGTGTGAAAGAAGCAAAACACAACTCCAGGCATGTTTTTGAGGAGGTAACAGCATTATAACATGACTTAAAGCTCACAAGAGTCAATTGTGTGTAATATAGGATCTTTAACCTATTATATTTAACATTTATTATTAAGTTACAGATGTATTTATCACCCAAACAGAAAACAAACATATGTATACATCAGCCGTACTGTGAACAGGCTTGCCTCTCCATAGATCTGACCAATAACTTGGCCTGGTGGCATTACCTGCTTGTCTCCATGGAGGTATATAAGTTTAATGCCATACTGTGTGAACCATTCCAGACAAAACATTTCGATGGAGACAAGCATGTGGCAGACCCCCCATCTGAAAAATTACCCAGGGCACCTTAAAAACATCATCAACTTCAATTTGTTTTAAAATCCACTGTACATCCCTTTATAGAATGATATATTACTTCCTATGGTGTATTCTTACACGCATGTCTGAGCATAGAGCACTATTGTGTTGTAAGTGAATGAATTATGATTTGGTTTGTTTCAGACAACACTTGGCATTCCTTTTAAGGCTTTAGTGGTTTTGTGTCTGGCTCCATCAGTATAAAATCTCCCTCCAGTCAACATGTGTGACAACAACCAAGCTAATATGGGGAATGTTTAGTCAACAATGTCTTTTATAATTTAAATTATGTTAAGACCTTAAATTGAAAACATATTTAAAACAATATTGCTTTACTGTTTTTACTTTTTAATTTAGTATTTTTGCATGATGAGTATGGGATACACAAGAATGGAGCTACTGGGTCTCATAATTTTATTGCAAGTGGTTTTATCCTTTTCCTTGAGAAGAGAAGAAGCAATTGTAAGAATTATTTTTCATCAATAATGAACTTGTGCACAGTTGCTTGAAAATATTTAACATCTTTATCTATCAAATTGACTTGCTAGCTATGTTATTCTGTCAGTTCATTTGACCACTGAACATTCATTTCTGAATGTATATAATTTCTGAATGTATATTGTTACCTCAGGTATACTTGCAAAAATATGGCTACCTGCATATTCCACTGAGCTCAAATCCTCTACAGACTAACTACAGACATGGAGAGTTGTCAAATGCAATAAGGTGAGCATATAATATAATTGTTTTTGTTTTACAGTAATTAAATTTTTTTATCTAAACTGACAAATATTTCCAGCACATTTCAGAAGACCACAAACCTCCCAGTATCAGGAAGATTTGACGCAGCCACATTGAGAATGATGGACCAACCTCGCTGTGGTTTGGAGGACTCCGTCAGTGATAAGACTCTCAGATATCGCATCATGGGTGAGTGAAATTATTTGTTCACTCGTTCTATTCAGATTCTGTAAACTAAATGCTCTTGTAGTCATTTTTAATTGAGTAACTTTTAGGAAACTGCCATTTATGTTATAGTTTTAAAGGTCTTATATTACCAAAACTGATTCTTGTGCGCTTTCCATGTTAGAATGTTGTAACCTCATCAAAAACATATATGGAGTTGTGTTTTGTTTCATTCACACATGTTTGAGTAATCCTTTATTATTAGTCTGTCTACATCTCCAAAGCTCAAAATGTTCTGCTCTGCGTTGTGATGTCATGAAGTGGCAGTTTTCAATTTAGTTTATTTATTTAATGAGACAAGGACAGAGCACAATATACATTAACCTTAACAGGAGAGATGCTTTGTACCAGATAATAATTTCCACTTGTAGTTCCTTGGCATCCTGATGTTATAGTTCATAAAATCAAGAGTTGCAATTCAAGAAATTATTCAAATGATTCTGGTGAAGGTGTTTGGAGTTTAAAAACACCGTGGAGCACTTCCATTGTTAACACATGGCATCACAAGGTGGAACAGTGTTTTTTGTTTGAGAGAAGAACTCAGCCTATATATGCAGGGTTTGTGTGTTAAACATGTGAATGAAACAAAACACAAATCCAGGTATGTTTGTGATGAGGAAAAAACATAGATCAGAAAACAACATAATATGGGCCCTTCAATCACACCAAATGTTTGAGTCAGTCTTGGTTTGAGCCCATTTTAGTTCTGACTTATAGGACTAAACTATAGCCTTGGTTTAGAAATGTTTTTGTTTAGTCCAGGTCTAGTCCAGATTTGTTTAGTCCCAATTCTGATGTGGTAGTATGTGTGTGCAGTTGTGAACGCACTGTAAATCTATTATTGACATAAAATTTCAAAGCTTGCATAATACTTGTTGTTTTTGTTTTTTTGTTTTGTTTTGTTTTACAACTTGATATGTTGCTTTACTTTTTCAAAATTGTATTGTCTAAAGTAAAAAAAATACCACAGTTTGCATACTATTTTTACTTTTTATCTGGTTATTAATAATTACATAATTGTTACCACCTCTTTTCACTACTACTTCAGTAGTGGTAATAGTATTTTTTAAAATTTTTGGCCACGGTGTGCTCTGATAAATCATATACAGTTTGAATGCATGTAGATGTTTAATATCTTGTTCTTTGAATATATAAAGATCAGTGGAAGAAGTTAAATGTTTGGCCATATTGTGCATAAATACGTAGACATTAATCATACAGTGGCCTTGTTCATAAGTACACTAAAATCATCATCAAGATCATTATGTGATTTCTGGAACTTTTATGGTTATATAAATGAAATACAAACTGCAGAATCTGATGTCAAAGGGACCATGGTCAGAAAGAAACCAAATATTTGTACATGTCATTTTAATAGTTTTAACTCCAGAAACCTTCATAATCAGTTTTTGGATGTGCATGTAACCACAGCCAGTATAAAGAATGTTGTGATGACTTTCTCTTTGACTAGATACAGCTCAAAGGAAGAAGTACGTTATATGTTTGACCACAAAGTGCATAGATATATTATACACATATTGAACATACAGTATTTAAAATATTGTAATAACTTTCTCTTTGACTACATACAGGTCGATGGAAGAAGAAGTTTCTGACATATCGCATCTATAACTTTGCCTCAGACCTGGGCCAGGGGAAGACACGCTCGGCCATTCAATCCGCCTTCAAATACTGGAGCGAAGTGTCCCCTTTAAAGTTCAGTGAGCTGCAGTCAGGGAGAGCAGATATCAAGATCTCTTTTCACAGGAAAGACAAGTCCTGCCCGGTCCCCTTCGATGGCAGAGGTGAGAGGTATTCCATGGTTTATTTATTTTAATTTACTTCAAGAAAATTATTGATAGAATATAGTAAAAGGAAATGGATTAAGGTCATGTGTTATGTATTGATCTGGCTTCTTAAATGGCTCTTCTCAATCCTCAACTGTCTTACTGAGAAGGAAATCTGTTCAAATGAGGCTGTAAACATAAGATGCAAGCTTTAAAAATCATCTTAATATAGGCCGTGTGAATGTGAATGAAGTCAGTTATTCTGGAGAAGGTGCATGGAAAAATGACAAGAGTACTTCCTGGATTACCAACTAATGATGTAATAAGGTGGAACCGAGACTTTTGAGCTCTGTAGCCATATGGCCTTTCTGTACATTTATAGTAAATTTCTTGCACCTCTGACTGAATGTCTCTCATTCTAGGTCATGTTCTGGCCCACGCTGACGCCCCTGAGTCTGGGCTCATTCACTTTGACGCAGACGAGCTGTGGACAGAGGGGCGGAGCTCCGGATCAAACCTGAGGATCGTTGCAGCGCATGAGATCGGCCACGCCCTCGGCCTGGGACACTCACAGTACTACAGTGCCCTCATGGCGCCAGTGTACACCGGCTACCGCTCCAACTTTAAGCTCCATCCAGATGATATCCGGGGAATACAAGCTTTATATGGTGCAAGAATATTTCTACATATTTAAGATATTGTCCACTCATGTATTTCACTTGTCCAGGGCCAAGTCACAGAGGCAGCGGAGACCATCCTCTCCTCCTACACTTTCTTTGTTACACTGTTATGTTTTTTTGAATGATACAGCCCCTCCAGAGTGTCCTACAAATCTTACTCGATGTCTCCTCCTGGTGGGACATACCCAAACATGCCCCAGAGGTCCAGAATGCACCTGAATCTGATCATATGTTTGCACATAAGCTGGTTTCTCTCACTGTGGAGGAGAATTGGCTCTACTACAAGCTCTGTTAAGAATGTTATCTCTGCTCAAACACTGTTTGTACTTTCCTAAACTAAATGCATCATATGCATTGTTTCAGGAAAGCCTCAGTCTTCAAACCCCGCTCCTGTCCCTCCACCAGATGGAAGTGCTCCTGACCTCTGCAAAATCAAACTGGATGCCATTATGTTAGGTACAGGCCAAACTTTCTAATTTATTACACAAAATAAACAAATGTAACTTTTTATTTAAAGCTAAATGCCATTTTCTGTATTTTCCCCAGGTCCAAAGGAGCAGATGTACCTCTTCAGTGGTCAGCTTGTGTGGACCAGGTCTGGCTCTGGCTCTGTTTCTGGTCCAGTCCAGGTCTCTGCTCTGTGGAAGGGGCTGCCCGGGGGTCTCAATGCTGCTGTGTACTCCCCGCGGAGTAGCAAGTCCTACTTCATCAAAGGTTTGTTATCGTCATTAACTAGAAACCTGTGTGTCAAATTAAAGTTTCATTTCTTCACTTAATTTTTCTGCTGTGTTCCATAAATGACACTTTTTCTTTTTACATTTATGATCACAATAAATTGTGAAGTGTATTCAATCTGGTAATTGTGGTAAAAGTGTATATAATATGCTATTTATATTTAATTATTTTTTACTCATACATTAACAGTGTTTTGTTTCGTTTTTATTTTGACATGAATTATGAACTGAAATTTTCTCTCATGGAACTGAAATTTTCTCTCATGGATGTAGAAAGTGTAAAACTGATCAAACTGGGTTGCAGAACTGTTGACTTAACATGTAATTCTATGTGCATTGTGCACCCACAGGAGACAAGGTGTGGAGATACTCTGGTTTCAAAATTGACCTTGGTTTTCCCAGACGCCTGAGCAACATCCCAGCTAATGTTGACTCTGCTTTTTATTCAAACAAAAAGAAGCTGGTCTTTTTAAAGGTAAAAAATTTATTCATATTCAGCTCTAGTATGTGGTCTACATGCAAACCTGAAAAGCAATGGTTCAAACCTCAAACCATGTGCTATTGTTGTGTCTATGGACAAGACACTTAAGCCACATTGCCTAGTTTGAATGTGGTGTGTGTGAGTGATTGGTGGCAATGGCAAAGCTTTGCAGCCTTGCTTCAGACAGTTTACCCCAAGTTGTGTGTGTTAAGGTGTGGAGTAAATTAATAATGCACATAAATAACACAGAGTGACCAAAAGGCTATATTGGTCATTTAAGATAAGTGTTAATAAATCCTTCATGTTGACTGGACTAAACAACAATAATAACAATAATACTCTAATTATTTGCTTACTTACTTCTTATGTCAGAAAAGTACAATTCGTGCATAAAGTGATTCAAGTAAAGTAAAGTATTCAAGTGGTTATCTTTTGCCTGTTTCAGGGTTCTGGGTATTGGCAATGGGATGAGTTTAAACCAGAAAACTTCAAAATCTACCCTCTGCCCATCAGCTGGTTGTTTAAAGGGGCTCCCAGTAACACAGACGCTGCAGTGACATGGACAGATGGCACTATTTACCTGTTCAAAGGATCACAGTTCTGGAGAGTTGATCCAAACAAGCAGAAAGTCAAAGGCTCTCCAGAAAGTATTGCTTCACGCTGGCTGCAATGTGACGACTGAGCCACCAGGGGGAGATAGGAGTTTGTCATAGGAAACCACCATGCATCCACAGGACTGGAGAGGAGTGAGTGACACTTGGGAAAAGTTGAGTAAGGTATCCATAACGTTCAGAGTGATGAATAATTTGCACTGTTGCCATAGAAATAAACAATACAAATCACAATTTCTTTTTTATAATTGAATTGTGAAAAGTCTTCAAAATGTCTCCTAAAAGCATCATTCGTTCATTAGTTTTTCAATATAAAACCAAAAATAAAAAAATGAAAAAAACAATTGTTTTCCTCATTATTTGTCTCCAAAACCAAGATGAAAAAATGGATAACAATTTGTTTTTTCTTTTTCAATTTTGTGTCTTGGTTTTGTCATTTAAACTGCGATGCCGAACTGAACCAGGACTAAAACAGGACTGAACAGATCTAAACCAGCTCTAAACCAGAACTGAACCAGGACTAAACCAGGTCTCAGTCCTGGTCTGGTCCCGGTTTCCTGATCACCCGACAGTCTACGCGGGCGTGCGTCTGGGCCAGTCCCAACACTCATGATTCAGTCCTGGTTTAGTCCTGGTTCAGTTCTGGTTTAGTCCTGGTTTAGGACTGAGACCCGGACAGGACCAGGACCAGGAGTCAGACTGGGACTGAGACCAGGACTGAGACTAGGACTGAGACTGGTTTAGAGCTGGTTTAGAGCTGGTTTAGTCCTGGTTCAGTCCAGCATCGCAGTTTAATTCACAGAAACAGGAAACGTCCGTTATCCATTTTTTCATTTGGTTTTAGACACAAATAATGAAGAAAACAGTTGTTTTTTTGTTTTCTTATTTTTGGTTTTATATTGAAAAACTTATGAGCGAATGACACACGGATTCATGTCATTGAAGCCCATGATTATAAAATAAAGCAAGGATAAACATTATTCACTGTAAAAATATTATAAAATTCTGTTCAACTCAAATCCTTTTTAAAATTATTATTGTTTTTTGTTTTCTTTTGTTTTTCTTTTTTTTTTTTTTTTTTTTTTTTTGCAAATCAGGTTCAAATTATTAACAGCTAATGCTTTGATAAGTTGTTTTTCAAATTGCAGTTTTAGTTATTTCCAGTGTTTGACTGTGAGCATAGTGTTTTCAGGACAATTTTATTCAAGTGAATGATCATCTGTTAAAAAATGTAGTTATTTCAGGATTCCTGCAAAAATAATAGCCCATTTACTTTAGAACTCTCAGTAAAGGATGTCCAAGGCAGGCAATAACCCAAAATAAGTTAAGAAATAAAACACAAATGTTTATTTATCTAACACATATTTACAAAGCCGTTTTGCAATAATATGCACAGTAAAATATATTAAGAATGACATTATTACATTGTATTTGTCTGTTAAGGTGTAGACACACTTCATAAATGCATAATTCTGCATTAACTTTGCAAAGAACTGAGAGGACAAAAAGCCTGAGATGTGTCAGCCATCTATGAATTGTAGAGATGTTTGTTTAGGGTTTTGAGGCTGACCTTTGTTTGATTGACACTTCCGTGACTTTGCTTTTACGTTTATTAAATATTCAAGAGACACAAGCACTCTGGTGATTTGAGGTAACTCCCAGAGATACTCCAAATATGCCTGAGTACACAGTGTCAGGCAGAAACGGAAGCGCCAACACTGAAAATAAAGTAAGCTTTGAGTACACGCTGTGGTGGTTTGTGCTTTTTGTTTATGATTGATTTAATTATCATCCTAATTCAGTCTTTGCCAAATAAAACTATATATATAATATATATATATATATATATATATATATATATATATATATATATATATATATATATATATATATATATATATATAAAAATTTATTAATCTGTCTCTTCTTGCTTTTGTTTTTGTTTTGTTTTTTTATTATACTGTGACATGATTTTGTGAAATTGTTAATTATGAGATAGTTTTTTGGAGATAATAATAGAGCTCAACAGTGCCATCCACTTCAAAGTCTGCTCTGGTTTCTTAAGTAAAATTTCTCTTTTTTTTTCTTTTTTTAAAAAATTCTGATATTTAGAGTTTAAAGGTGTAGTAACTATTGTTTTTTTTTTTTTTATTATTTCTTTACTTTTTTGGATAGTCTTTGGGAAAAATCAATGGGTTATTTACTTACTTTACTGACTACTCCCAACTGGAAGATATCACAGCAACATGTAATCCCTTAGTTGTCCGGATGGGGTCCATAGCGCTACATTTCAAAGTCTCTTCAAATTTAATGTTTTGCGAGACACTGTGTTTTCTTCTCAGACAGCAAACACAGGAGAGGAGGTGGTGAGAGGAACCATGGATCCTGTCTCAAAGTCAAAGTCGATGAAAGTGTGAGTGATGGTGCTGACGCTGCTGCAGGATGAGCCAGTGCCCAAACGCCGCTCCTGGACACTCTGTATGTAACTCTGTGGAAGAGAGAGAATATATGAACCTATAGGCTACAAGAAATATTTCAAGTATAGACCAGTATGTTATGCAGATATTTCAAATTAATAACTATGGCATCCACTTCCTTGTCCACTTCTGGTATACTTTTGTTGTGGCTACTGGTGTTTTAGAATTGTTTCCACCTTAAACTGAAATATTACACTATTTTCTGATCTATGTAATAATGTTGTTTCCTCATTTAAAACATATCTGTAATTCTGTTTTGTTTCATTCACACATATTTAACTCACAAATTCTGCATGTTTAGGCTGAGTTCTTCTCTCAAACTAAAAAAACTCTGTTCCACCTTGTGATGTCGTGTGGTAATACAGGAAGTGCATCGCTGTCTTTTTAAACCTTTAATATTTCTAGATGATGCTGGTAATACGTATTAAGTGGATGTGATTGCAAGTGCGTGCCATGTTATGAAATTTCAATAGTAATAGTATAATGAAAACAAAATTACATTTGCGTACGTGTTACTGATCAATAAATGCCTCGTAATTCCTGACTAGTGTTCTTGTACATATTGGTTTTACCTCACCCATCAACAATAAAAAGGCAATGACTAACCCTGCTTTTGGCCTACCACTCACCACTCAAGACTGAATACTGCCCTGACAAGTTGTCCTAGTAATATCAATGGATGGGTGTAATTTATTGCCAGAGAATATGATTGAGCTTCTCGTAAGTTATTATTTGATAGACTGCCTGGAATTGTAAGTTATACTTTCTGAGCTACACTGTAATGTTGTTTCCTCATTGCAAACATACCTGGAGATGTGTTTTGTTTCATTCACACCTTTAACTATCAAAGTCTGCATATTTAGGTGTTATTCTCTCAAACAGAAAATTTAATTGCCAATCTCTACTGAACTAAAGGTAAAAGGTAGCTGTTAACTTGAAAACTACCACTTCATGACATCACAAGGTTGAACAGAGCATTTTGAGCTTTGGAGATGTAGACAGACTAATAATAAAGGATCACTCAAACATGTGTGAATGAAAAAATAAACACAACTCCAGGTATGTTTTTTAACATGTCATAAAGCTCACACGAGTCAATTTTGCCTAATATAGGACCTTTTTATCCCCTTTGGACTTTTTGTTACATATTTCCAAACATAAAAACAGAATGTATTTATTAATAAACCTGACTGACCGGAGCTAGCACATCGCCTGCGTAGCGTTTGAGCAGTGGAGGTCGGCGTTTGCGATAAGGTCGTCTTCCTGTCTGCTCAAAGTGTCTGTGCCTATGGACCTGTTTCTTCTGTTTCTTGTGAAGAACTGGACAGACAAAATATAAGGCAAGATCAAAACAATGTGTCAACAGTGCAACAGGTAAATTAATGTAACAGCATTACAATTTTAAGAGGCGTACATCAAATTTTATGGCCATATTGCACTGTAAATAGAAATAAAGCAATTCAGCCCCAAATTCTGAGCATTCAAAGTTCTTCGGTTGCCAGCAGCACTGAAAGGTTAAAAATATTAGCTGCTATAAAGTCTGACTTGCCTAAGAATTCAAATAAGTCTGATGAAAGTGTACGCTCTTTAAAAACACAGAGTAGCTCTTCCTTAGGTACTAAGTGGGCAAACATTTGTTCAAATATAACCTTAACATTTCTGGTATGCCCTAGCCTGTCTCCATGGAGATGTTATTGCTTTACCTACAGTGTTCTTCAGAATGGCATTAAACTAAGCTCCAGGCCAAGTTTTTCAGTGTTTAGAGGAATAAAAACTTTCATAGTTCACAGATATACGCATAATGTCATACACTGGGAAATGAAAGCAATGGAAACTCAAATAAACAACCATCAGAAAAGTTATGCAGTGCACCTTTAAAAATGTAGAATAGAAAAATAACTCCTGGTAGGTTATAGTTGTGCAAAAACTACATACAGCATTATTGCATTTTAAGATTAAGTGTATAATTTCTCTTTTAATTGTTGTAACTCACCTTCTTGTTGTAATAATTCCCTTGCTGTCCACTTCCACTGCACCACTCCCCCAACTAGACTGAGTAGAGGGCACATCCCAGCCACAGCCCAGTCAAACCAGCAGAGGGGGTGAACCGAAAAACCATGATGAAAAACCCCATACACCTGATCTGGCAATGCTAAAGTTCCAATAACATAATCTGCACAGAGCATAACAGTCAGCGCCCCATAGACACTGGTGTACAGTACCATGAACAGTTTATGCCAGAGTAGCGTGAAAACAGCAGTGACAATCCCTGTGGCTAATATTGCTCCAACAGAAATCAGTTCTGAAGAAATCGTCCAAAACTGTCCAACCAAAACAAGAATAAAAAGGCAAACCAGGCTGCCCAGCTGTAGTCCACTTAGTATATATCCAATGGCAGGGACGAGCATGGTAACGAGACCACACAGGACCCCCACGCCCAACCCAATGCCTGCCTTCGTCTCCAGGCTCAGGTGGGAGTCCAGACCTGGTTCCTTATGGTACACAAAGAGCACAGCAGCTGATCCAAACAGGAAGCCAGAGAAGAATAGAACCATCTTCAGACAGCGGTATCCTGGGGAGAGAAGGGAGAATGTGTTAAATAGCTTAATAGTTGGGAGTGTTATAGGTCAGATGACATAGGCCAAGATAACAAGGACTGAGCTGGCAGTGATAGCCTTCAGCACAGCACAGAATTTTTCTAACAATTATTGTAATATATGAAAACAAATTATAGTTGTATCTATTCTCTTTGGTCGGTTATATGAATGTGCAAGCCTAAATAAACATGACCTTAAATTAACCTTCACTAGACCTGGAGCTTTAAATGGAAAATAACTACAATTCAGAACAACATCACATTTTTCTATAGGTGTATGGTAAAATTTCTATAACTAATATGTTATGTTGAAATGTTAAGTATGAAAAAATATAGATATATATGCGCCATAACATAATAAGGTGGAATGTTTTTGGACATATCAACACTGGTAGTATTGTTCCTGTATAAAGCAAAAGTTTAAAAAGTTGTAAAACCAATGAGAACATTTGAACATTTGAACCGTCTTCATTGCTCAAAAAGCAAACAAATAGTGCAGGTAAATTCTCTGTAAATATAACAGTGTCATTATGATCTTAAGACTTGTTAATATTCACATGTGGGTATCCATTTGTGTCCTTTAAGTTCAAATGAGTAACTTTAGGTTGAAGTTTACTGTGAACATTGGCACCAGTGCACGTGTGTTTACCTCCTCACATGTTTTCAACTGTGCAAATATCGTGCCCTTGAACCAGTGATTTCAATCTCAACCCTGTGCTCAGAGACCTCTGATAATACTACTCATTATGTCAGTACAGATCCTTGTCCATTCAGATTAGTGTTTTTTGTATATTCTTCCAGATGAAGTCCAAATTTTGAGTAATTTGAGTATGCTGAAGCAAGAGAACTATTCCTCTTAGACTCAAAAAATTCCATCTAAATGTTTTCAAAGCCCATTATAAAACTTTGCAATTGAGGTATCACAATATTGTACAGTGTTGTTAATGCTGCCTCAGTCAAACTCAAACACATCAGATTCAATGCCATCTGCCAACCTCTCGCCCTGCTCCAGTTCCTGGCCCTGCCAGGGTGTGCTCTGATCAGCCTGAAACCTGGCGCCCTCTGCTTGGTCAGCTAATAAAGCCTCTGATCAAACTATAGTACTCTGGAACTTAAATAGAAATCTGAGGCTCCTGGGTAGTTCTAGTAGTTTTTTCTTTTGAAGTGATATATATTCATATTTTGCCCCTTTTTCGGTCCAGCTAACCCTCTTTTTATCTATAGGCTTATATTTTATTTGGTCAGTCGTATATTTTAGACTTGGTGTAGTTTCATATTAGACTAGTGATTTACTAGCCTAGATTTTAGAAATCTGATTGTATTCATCCATGGATTTTAGAAAAAACAACCAACCACAACAACATACACTGAGTGATTAGAAGTCCCCAAAAAGGCCCCCATTATTAGACAAATTGTGTGATCTAACATTGTATTTTTGGAGAAAATCTCACTCCCAGGTCTATTTTACTTTAAAAGCAGTGCAGTGTGTATCATAACAACATATAGACTGACTTTTCCAGATGGATTCAGAAACATCCATTTAATCTAAAAGCCCAGTCTGTATTACTTCATACCAAAATTGTAGTTAACTTTTTTTTTCATTCAGTGACTAGCTATGGAGTGAATGAATAACTACTGTGTAGCACATTGAGATGCTTCAACAAGCTACATATGTAAAGCACATTTTTATTGTAAAAAAACACTTTCTTAACCTGCAGAGTAAACGCAGGTTGAAAAACACAAAATAAATGTATTATTAAGTACAGTGATAGGTTCATAAAAGTTGTCTACATACCAAAAAAGGAGTAGATGAGTCCAAAGGAAAGACACACAGAGCAGATGATGGAGGGGATGACTTCATACATGATGTTAATCTGCAGAGAGCATGAGTCCTCTGCCAGGCCCAGTGCAGGCTCCACAGTCACAAAATGAGCAGTGATGGCAGCCATTTTGGAGACTTATGAGTTATTACTGAGGCCACATTTATGTGTTTTCCCTTTGTTCACTCACACAGTATGAGGTTCCTGCAGGTCTTTTCCAGGAAAGGAAGCTGGTGTGTTTCCTCTGCACCTGCACAGAGCAAAGAGAGTGTAGTTATCTAAAGACCTGCCTCAGCCTCTGTTTTCAAAAGGCCAGGAAATCATATAGTTGATACATATTTTTGATTAGGCACATTGTCAGATAAGGCCTGTAACCCTTCTGTTAGCAAAGTACTACTTGTGTGGAGAAGTTGCTGAGGAGAAAACACACTGTAAAAAATAAATTTTATTAAATTGATAACAATGACTCAAATTCACACTGTAGATCACAAACTGGTCTCATTAACAATGTATTTAAGCTAAATGAATATGAGTAATGCTGAAAACTGCACTTAAAGAAATCTTTACATTTAAACGCAAATCACAAAGTACCACTAAAGAAACCATGCATGAATAGAATGTCAAGAAAACAAACATTGCCCCACAACTTAATAGGACAAATGAATTATTCACCCTGAAAAATATATATTTTTATTATTTAACATTTTTAAAATGATCTAGAACAAATATTTAAAGTATATACCCTTGTTTAACTTAATATTTAAATGGAAAAAGCGTCATTCTTTATTTATTTAAGGTAAAGAATATATTTTTAATAGCCCTAATAACAATGATCACTAGTCAAACTCAAAACCTCTCAAATCAAGATTATTATTGCAAATATCAATAATTTTAAGTCTGATTTTTACAGCCAGTGGTCCCCTCTGAGTGTTTTGTATAGTTTCCTGATTCTTTTGTTCAAACAGGAAACAGACGAGGAAATGACCCAGCGGCTTGAGCACTTGTTGTTGTGGACATCTGGACACACAATATTCCATTCACTGAGCTAGAATTTGAAAAACATGAGAAAACTACCAACAATTATCGATTTATCTAAAAGGAAATCTAAACATTTGCGTGTGTTTCAGGCTCACGTGCGGCTCTTACCTTGCCTTATGCTCCTCGTGTGTTGTCCCAGCGCATGCAAATGTGAAGAGCTCATCCGTGCTAACAGATCAGTAATCTAAGTGGCATTAGCAGATTAGCTTTAGCAGAAGATGATCCTGTTGCCTTAACTACACTGCACTGTCCTCATGTGGTTTTCTACTTACACTTTCTACAGGATCTCATCACAGAATGGACTACAATTTTGTACAATTATGTAATGCATACAGCTTCAACTCAGCTATTTTATTTTATAGTTTAGACCTATATTACTATTACAATATATACGTATATTTTTGTAGTGGTGATACAGAATAATCAGACAAATAAAAATGTATTTCCTTGTGTAATGTTTACTTAATTTTTTTTTATTTTTATTCAGGACTGTTGACTATAGAGCTGTATATCTGTTTGACCTTTACAACTTTACTTAACTAGTTTTACCCAGTTTAACAGACCCATGTTAATCTGAGTATAATGAGGTAAAACTATGCTCAACAAGTGCAAATTCTTGTTTATTGTGTTCCAGAAAACACATGTTAGAGTAATTGAGGTACCTCTAAAGTCTATACATGTGAGTTAAATTACGATCTTATATTAGTCATAAATACCAAACAGACACTAGACACAAAACCCCCAAAACAAACAAACAAACAAACAAAAAACAAAAAAACAGTGCATATCCATACCTGAGAGAGGCATTTCTGGAGCTGGTTGTTGTAAAGTTTGTCCCTCGTGTTTCTGCACAGCTCAGACTGGTGCTGTCCTTCTGTGTGTGACCATAGACTGTGTACATATGTGTGTGTGTGTGTGCATGTGCGTGTGCGTGTGTGTGTGCGTGTGTGTGCGTGTGTGTGTGTGTGTGTGTGCGTGTGTGACTCTGTGAGCAGCTACAGAGACTTCCCCGGTCACTGCTAAAGTCCAGACCTGAACCAGAGCCCACCACCAAACAGCAGAGGGAGAAGCAACTAAATCCCAGTTTTTGAGGTTACTCAGAGATTACAGTTAAGGGTCTTGCATTTTTATAAATAGCTAAATAACTTCTCAAGATAAGATAAGAAGACTCTATTTGTCCATGGGAACATTTCATTAGGCCTATCACAAAGTATGACTACAAGAATAATCCACTTAAAACTATTTAAATTACTTAAAAATAAACTTGTTTTTAGGTTTGTCATAATATTCTCATAATATATTCATGCATTAAAGAAGACATATTGTGTTTTTGTCTAAATACAGCTTTGAGTGGGTAAACTTTGAGAGAGTTAAACAATTATTACACGATTAAAAGCTCTAAAAAGTTAATTTTGCCTAATAGGTCTGCTTTAAATGCTAACTTGTGGTGAACCTTATGTTTTCTTATTTTTAGAGTTGTTTCCTTTAAGGTTTATTGATGATACTGATGAGACAAAAACAATCTTGCATTCACCTGTATGTCTGAGGTGTCTTGCCCCAAAGCACAACAACAGCAATAGAAGGCCTATGTACTGGTCAGAGCTTGTCAATTAAGTGAAGGGAATAAAGCTGGGGTACCTGATTTCCAACAGTGAGCGGAGGAAGTAGGTATTTAAATCTACCTTACTTGTTTCTAATTCTCACAAACCCTTTGACATATCATTAGTATTCACATGCATGGATTTTTTGTCATTCCCCAATTTGAGTCATTTGTCAAATTTTTGTCAATCACGCTAGTCATTATCTTATATTTTTTATGATTTTACTCACCAGAAACAGTTAATTTGTCAGATGAAACTTTAGTTTGCCATTCATTTAAGTTACATAGAGTTTGCAAAGAAAATTTCATGACCTTTATTTTTAGAAAAACACAGCACAATGTTCTGCTTTAACCATATGCTATGGGAAGAATTTGTTTTATCATTTTTGAATAGAAGGTTGGGTTTAGCTTTAGTATTATTGTAAATGAGATTTTGGGTATTTTTGGTTTGATAACAATTTATGGGCCCTAAGTGTCCTCTCAGCCTGAAGGAGATTCAATGAAAATAGCAAATATAGTCACTGAGAGTACGCTACTTTAGATTTTAGACTTTACTTTAGCTGTAGATTGGTCCCATATAACTTGAGGGCACAGGACTCATATAAGGAATATGGATCTCAATGGTCAAATGAAGCATGGGTGCAGTGCAAGTAGTAATGGGGCTTTCATCATTCACTTCCCTCCTTTCATTGTTGCTTCACTCAACCAGAAAAGAGCAATCGGACCAAATGGACATATAAGTGGTTCAAGACATGATCAAAAACCTTGCGCTAATTTTAACTGTATTGCGTCAAGGCTTTTAATAGGCCGCTAGGTTCAATATTCAGATGTGTTTCACTCTTTTTAAAAATTGTTATTTTGGGTTGAAGCCAGATCTAAGGTTTTGTGGTCATTTTCTATGTTGTTTTGCAATGATTTCATAAGCAATTCAATCAGTCCAGCATATTTACATACAGGGGCTAAATCTACTGACTTAACACCATGTCTGTTATTATTATTATGAGGTTTTCTGAGCTGTCCAGATAATTTTTGTCATTTTTGGGATTAATGGAATGTTGGAATGGAATGCTGAGTTCTATTGTATCTTTGTTCCAACTGAAATAAAACACAGCTCCAGGTATGTTTTTGAAATGAAAACGAACATTAGACCATTGGTCAGTTTAGTGCCATAGAAGTCCCCTTACAATTATAGAACACTCATAGAACAGAACGGGATGGACATGAAATAGGTTTTTGTTCATGTTTTTGCACATGTTTTTGTTCATGCTTTACCCGTGATTCAGAATACACATTTCTTCAATACTTTATGAAGATGTGGGTCTCATCACCTGTGAGCCGCCCTGTTTTCAGATGGATGTAATTGACAGGTGGATTAGCCAGTAAAAATAAAATAAAATAAACAATACATTAAACTAATGCGCTATACTGTCTGAAAAGGACCCAAACCCTACAAAATCTTCTTAAGAAAAGACATTACGGACAACATTTTAAAAAAATTATTTTATTTTTTTTTCAGTTTGGGCTCTTATTATACAAGCATGGAAACATGGAAACAACAAAATGGTTCACAATAAGACAGCTGTTTTCTCAAAATGCATCGTACAGAAGGTATAACGGGCAATATTCTGACATCAGATTGAATTCTATAATTCTAAATTATAACATTGTGAAACATGGGTGCATCCATGTCATTACCATTTACCTGCGCTCTCTGTATAAACTCATCAGTGTGAAGAAGGCTCTAAACAAAAGGTGGACATACACGTCCTTTTGAGAGGAGCTAAATGAGCCTCCTGCACCTCCCAGCTCTGCTCTTTGATTCCGTCTGTGCCATGTGACCAGACGAGAGCTCTCCACATACAATCATAGAGTTTACAAATGTATTATTCATCAAAGGAGAAGAAGGGCCCTTTGTTTCTCTATTAGAAATGACATAACATGTATTGAAGGAACTGATGCTTTACTGTCCAATGGTTTATTCATGTGTCTTTACAGAGAGGTATAGACACAGTTAGATTGAAATGCAGCAGGTCTACTCTTTGCTGCTGCTTACAATAGGTATAATAACACTGGCAATGTGAGTCATTCTCATCATGTTAAATGTAGAATTTTATTAACATCTTAGGCACATGTAACTTGAACCTTAAACAACCTTGAGAACAGTGGCCTTTTGGTTGAAGGAACTGAGTCAAAAGGTAAAGCTCTTGATTTACCGGTCAATCTTTGTCCCTACCTTCACATATGGTCATGAGTTTTAGGTAATGACCAAAAGAACAAGATAGTGGATACAAGCCGGCAAAATGAGTTTCCACCGCAAAGTGGCTGGGTGTTCTCCAAGAAGTAGGGTGAGGAGCTCAGAGTAGAGCCGCTGCTCCTCCACTTTGAGAGAAGCCAGATGAGGTGGCTCAGGCATCTTTTCTGGATGCAGATTGGGAGCCTCATCTCCCTCAGTCCACCCCAGGCAGAGGTTTCTTACCACCACCAAGTATAGATACTAAATGGATACTGCATTGTAAAGTTCTTTGGGTGTCTTGAAAGATTTGTAAATCACCTATATAAGTCAAACGCATCTCTGAGCCCAGTGGCAGTAAAGCTTACAACAACTAGCATGCTAACACATACCTCCTAATTATCAGATGCACACAGCACCTAGTGAACATATTTTGACCTGCTTACATAGTATATTTGTACTGGGGAAAAACAAATTTAGCTCAGTATCATGGGAAAAAAACAGGGCCTCTCATTTATTTCTATAAGTTTATTTAAAAAATCTTTGCAATTTGTACCAAGACCACCTACAGTGTAGCCCTTGTTGACATTTTAGGTGAGGATATAGCTCTTTCTATATCATATTTGTACCATCTTCAGTCATAATACACTTCGGACAGACTTGAATGCACAATACTATCACAGTGTGTTGTTGAGAGGTCATGTCTCTGGGGCTTCTTGAATTACTTCTACAACAGTGAAAAGAGGGATGAACACCTGATGATCTTGTACATGTTCTGACCCTGCTTTAAAGTGAGACACAGCTCTGGGCCTTTGCAGTATATGGTTGATAAAATGTTAAACTCCATATACTGATATTAGAGAAAAGATACTGAAAGAAAATAATAGTGCTGTTATTTTATGTTGAAAAATGCTGAATTTCTTTTACTTCAGATACCTGAAGATACATTCTAACACTATTCATTTAAGGTTCATTTTTGTCCTATACATGATTATTTTCCCCATGCAGTCCCCTTAAAATATCTTGTTTGTATCTTGTTTGCTAATTATCTTGTTTGCACTAAGTCCAGCTGTCCAAGAATCAAATCGTGTACTTGCTTATGAAATAAGAGTTAAGAACGACATTGCATGACACTGACAGATGCATTTTTAAAGGTCTTATATTACACAAAATGTGTTCTTGTGAGTTTTAAGATATGTTATAATGCTGTTAGTTGTGTTTTGTTTCATTCACACATGTTAGAATAATCTTGCATTATTAGTTTGCATCTCTGATGCTCAAATAGCTCTGTTCCACCTTGTGATGTCACAAAGCTATAGTTTTCAAAGGAACAACTACTTTTTAACCCTTAGTTCTGCAGAGATTGGACATTTCAGAGATAAAATGATCTAAATTATTCTAGTGAATGTGTATAGAGTTTAAAAACACAGTGGAGCATATACTCTATTACAACATGACATCATAAGGTGTTTAACTAGCAGGTGGTTGGTAACATTTTGGCTTAGGTTAATGACAGATTGAGTGCAGAATTCATTGACTTGGCTTCCAGGTCTACCAGTGCTGTGAGACTTGTTGACATCAATTAGCTCCACTGCACTGTTTCCATATTGGACTCCTGTCAGGTTGGGTACACATCAGCTGCAGCTAAAAATACAAAACTTGACATGTACAAAAACTGAATCTTCCACAATGTTATAGGAAACTGGAAAACTGGAAAAAAAAAAGTTTATTTATTTATTTATTTTTTTTTATAATACGAGTCCTGATGATGTTGTAACTTCTCTGTGTAAACTTGGACTGCACCTATAGAGGTTTAAAAACTATTATGAAAAGTGCAATGTTTTCCTATGTTTTAAAGACTTAATTGCATTGTATATTTATCAAACATGTGTGCATTTAATCCTGGAATCTTTTGAAGTCTTAGCATTGCTGTGAATGGGTGATTTGTCTAATTAGATACCAAAAATCTAAATCAACACATTACATACTTTTTCGTATAGGTTTCATTTTATTACAAATTCATTCACATTTTTAGGTTTACAAACACTTACATCTGCCATTATTCAACACTGATACTGAATAAAAGTGCGAGTCCATTGTAATACGTTGTATTTACATCACTGTTGTGTATGAATTGTTTAGAGCAGCATATATTACTAAAAAGGTGCACATAAAACTTTTCTGGCACAGGTCAGCCACTTGTTTACACAGAGATATTATTATTTTGCCTGGAATTTTCCACACTATGGCATTAAACATATCTATCAAGCTTTTATTTATAAAAGTTTGTTTAATGGCTTGCCTCCATACTGTAGATTTATAACATGCCAAGCAAAATAATAACATCTCCATCTGGGAACAAGCAGGTGTACCTGGCACAAGGAAAGTTTCCCAGTGTACCCAGTGTCATTCCTGTTCCCTCACTCATGCTCATTACAGATGCTGTTATAGAGCCATTTAACAGCTTGACACCACCACACAAATGAAACACACTGCCCATGTAATTCTTATAGTGTCACATCATTAGACCACAATAATTCACAGATACACTCCATATACACTCTCTGGCTATGCTTAACTTTTATTATCTAAGCATCTGTTGCCATCATAGACCGTATATGGTTGCCATATTGATATGCTTATCATAATATGTTTTTTTCTTTCTTCTTTTTTTTTTTTTTTTAAATAAACTGCTGTTGTGTCCTTGGACAAGACAACTGCTTATCATAAATGGCATAATAATTATAATCTGTGACCATAGCTCATAAATCACTCATTGTGAGTAATACATAATACCTTTCACTGTAAATAAGGATCCAGCAAGTTACACATGTAATAATAAACTTCTCCTGGACCACTCGCTGCCAGATAACCACCCTCAGTCTTTTTCCCAAAAAATTTGATACTTTGAAAAAAAACAACAACTTTGCAATTCAATATTTATACCGCGTTTATAGTACTGCAATATTGTAGATAAATGCTTCTTCACATTGAGGACACTGCTTCTGTCTATAGGCCTGGTAAAGGCCTGGGCCCTTGTGTCCTCACTCTATCACATATTTACATTTAGATGAGCTGCACATGAAAAAGTGACCATAAATTTTTACAAACTATGAAGCTGACATTGTACTTTTATTACATCTGTGTATCTTCACCCTCTTCATGTTTGGACCTCTCGCCTCTTCTTCCTCCTCTTCAGGTTCTGTCAGCGTCAGGTGGCTTTCATTGGACATATCTCTGTGTACAGTGAAATACATGGGCATATGGTTCTCCGCGGTCTTGTCCTCTTTGTCTTCTCTGGAGCAGGCACAGAGCTTCTTGAAGGCCACTCTGAACTTATGGGACATGAGGTTGTAGATGATTGGGTTGATGGCACTGTTGGAGTAGATGCACATGCGACAGAAGAGCAGGAACCAGGAGTCGTGGTACGGAGGCTCAATGAAGGAGTTGACCACCACCAGAGTGCGGTAGGGCATCCAGAGTACAGCAAAAAGGACCACAACAACAGCCAGCATCTTTGTGATCTGGAAAACGAAATAGTGCTTAAAATAAGGGTTGAAAAATATAAGGTACTTCTAGATACGATGCTCATTAACACATCTCAGTTTAAACTGTATGTTGTAAGTAATAGCAATTAAGAAAAAATAAGGTATAATTTTTTAAAAGGTTGAATGGGGTGAAGGTAAATAAGTGTTTTTATTTCTTCTCATTCAGTTTGAAACGAACAGTGTATTTTCTTTATCAATGAGTCAATCAGTCAAAACGAAGCATGCACATTACCACACCTATTACGCATTAATTAAAACCATTATGCATAGTTTTTTTTTTTTATATAATTTTCCTTTTCCAAGTACACAAATTACACAAATAAATAAGAGCCAACAGATCAAATGTCTTGCCCAAGGACACAACTAAAGATAGGTGAAGGTTCGTTTTACTGCTTCTTGCTCCCATTCGTCCTCTGGTAAAATGTCTTTAACTTTTGACAAATTGCAGCTGTTACTCAAGTTAGACTTCAATCTGAGCTTTATTTGACCATAAAGAACAATCTGATCATAAAGAACTGCCAGATTGCCTGAAATTCCAGGCAGAGGCGTTGTACTGCCGTAGTTCCAAGGAGTCCCACAGCCCTGCCTGGAACTACAACGTCAACAGGTGAGATGATGTATACTGTTAAACAAGTCTCTCACACAAGCAATTTCAGTCACAATCTAGCTGGTCTTTGCTCCTGTGTTGTCCAAACCCATTTTGTAAGTCTTTTGTTGTTGCTGTTGTTTTACTTTTTTTTTTGGCTGTGTTTACCATGGTGCACTGTGACACCGTGGTAACTGATGAATATTCCACCATAGAGATACATAGAGATCACACCCCCAATGTGATGTCACTGCAAAGTATTAATAGGTGCCCTGGGACACTGTGACAGAGACATGCTTCCCCAAGTCTGTAGTGAGAATTGAAGGTGAATGTACTGACTAAGATACATTAATAGGGAGTCAGAATTATTATTATTATTATTTTATTTTCAAAGATTTCCTCAGTTATCTCTCCTTGTGGATTTTTGACACATTCTAGCGCTCACATTTTAAAACATATTATGTGTATTCCAACATCTCATGGAACATATTTATATCCTATGACAAATTAGTTTATACCATTTTCCAGTATTTGCAAAAAGAAAATGTGAAATCTTCAAGAATTTCCATCCATCTTGTTCCTCTTGTCTGGGGTCAGGTCTCAGGGGCATCGGTCGAAGCAGGACTCACAGACTGTCTCTCCCCAGACACTTCCTCCAGCACGTCTGAGAGGATTGCAAGGCCAGTCCTCGGCCTCTTTCCGGTGGGACATTCTTCAAGAACTTTATGCTATTATGCTTTAAATAACACATGGACTGAGAGATTAATTGAATTTGAATTTTTTAAATAAAATTTGAACCTCTAACCAAAATCTATCAGTTGAAACCCCACGAAACAACATATGCACTGCAGTTTCCCCAGCACTGAAACATGGGCAGAGGACAATTTTCCCTATACAATAAGATGCAATAAAGAATACCTTAAGCTTATTTTTGTGATGTCCTTGGGCAAGACATTCTATACCAGTCATTCCCATGGCAGCAGTGGCTATGCATGTAAAAATTGGATTAAGCCTGAAAAATCTTGGACCAGTATTTGAAAAAAATTACATACAATCTTTTTTACATTTTGCATTATTTATTTTATATTATTAACCAAAGCATATATATATACAGTAGCAATCAAAAGTTTGAACACACTTTTTCACTTATTTTTCTTCCATGATTATTTACATTATAGATTCTCATGGAAATCATCAAAACTATGAATGGACACACGTGGAAGACAGCAAACAAAAAGTAAAATCAAAATCACACATTAAACATTAAATATATCCACCCGTTGCTCTCCACCCTGCTTCGCCCTTTTCACATTTCTTGCCCCTGACACGGTCCAGCAGTGGAGTGTAAACCATCATCGAGATGGTCATTGAGAGAAGGTCAAGAGTTTGCAGTGCTTTTGACAAAGTATTCAAATACTACATAATTGAATACATTTTTCATAATATATTTATGTCTATGTAAAATGTAGAAAGTAAAGAAATAAAACATTGAATGAGAGGGTGTGTTCAAACTTTTGACTGGTAGTGTAAATTTTATAGGAAAGATGTCATAAAACGTTTCAAGTCAACATTTCAATTATGGGCATGTTACAAATCTCCATTATATTTAAAGATGCACGATGTAACTTTTCTTGTGGAGGGTGACATCTCCACGGACCACACCCACCAGAAAAATTGCATAGTGCACCTTTTTTTTTTTTTTTAACTATGAACATGTAGGTAAGGTTTCAGGGGTCATCAGGACAGTATTTTTGCCATCAAGAAACTATTGTGAAAGGTCTGAGGAACTAGAATTTAAAGGTGTACTGTGTAACTTTTCTGGTAGAGGGTCCGTCAAATGCTATTCTATATGTTATTGATTTTTCTGGAGTGCTTCACAGTATAGTTTTAAACCTTTCTATCATCATGGAGACCAAACGAGACCAAGAATGCCTGTTTTTGTAGGTATTTTTGAGCAAAAAAAACAAAACAAAAATGAATTGAATGACTGCTGTTTAATGCCATACTGTGGGACATTCTAGACAGAGTTATATAGTGCATGTTTAAACTGTGAACGTTTCTCACCTGTTTCCTGGCCGTGAGTGTCCCCTTGCTGTTCTTGCTGATACCGTTGGTGTGGTGCACAGACCCCCCTCTGTCGCTGAGGTGGGGGGGTAGCGGACTCATGAAGAGAATCCTGGCTATGAGTCCATACAAAATCATGGCAACGAACAGCGGGATGACGTAAAACAAGGCAAAATCCAAGAAGTACACCGGCAAATACAGACTCCGAGATACTCTGTACCCACAAGTCACCACTACACCATTAGAGTAGATGGTTTCATTTATATCCACAAGGAAAAACCACATCACGCAATAGAGGGAAGTGAAAACCCAAACTCCAGCAATAATTTTTTTAGCTCTGGAAACCGTACATATGAACTGAGCTTTGATCGAATGACAAATTGCAATGTAACGCTCCACCGTGAAGGCCAAAATAGAACAAGAAGATGCGTTAATGCCCAGGTATTGAAGATAAGTTATGCACAAGCAGCCAGTGTAGCCGTAGATCCAAAAAGCAACCACATCTGAGATGTTGGGTAAGCCAGCGGCGAATAGGACAATCAGGTCAGCTAAAGCAAGACTGACCAGGTAGCAGTTGGTTGGGGTGACCATGTGTTTTGAACGAAGGACCACCAGAACCACCATGATGTTACCGGCGATACCGACTCCGCAAATCAGCAGTGTCAAAAAGATGGTGATGATTTGCTCCTCCAGTGGTTTTCGGGGGATTTCGGTTAAGTTGACAACATGTTGGATGTCTTTGAAAGTGGCCGTGATGTTTTCCATGTTGTTGTACAAGAAGGTCAATGCAAAATCTGTAAAAACATAAAAGTTAAAGAGTTATATTTTATTATACAATTTTATGCTTTCTCGTATTACTCTAGTTTCTGATCTATGTTATAAAGCTGTTTCATCAATTAAAACATAGCTGGAGTTGTGTTTTGTTTCATTCACACCAACTTAATTTAGGCTGAATTCTTTTCTCAAACAGAAAACACCTTGTGATGTCATGTAGTAATACAGGAAGTGCTCCACTGTGTTTTTAACTCCATCCACCTTCACTAAAGTCATTTGGAGGATTTCAGCCCTGGAATTTGCAATCTCTACCAAACAAAAGGGAAACTTGAAAACTATCGCTTCATGACATCACAAGGTAGAACAGAGCATTCTGAGCTTTGGGAATGAAGACATGCTTACAAATATGGGTTACTCGAACATGTGAATGAAGCAGGTATGTTTGAAAATGTAACAGCAACAACAACGTCACTTAACTTACAAGAGTCTATTTTGTGTAATATAGGAGTCAATAAAACCAAATAAACATTTTAAGAGCAAAATATGGCTCTAAAAGTGGAAGATACATGACAAACACTTTTTCAGAACCAAATAGTATAGCCTACTGTATATTTCAAACAAACACATTTTCATTTTAGGTTGTTTACAATAAAAAAAATATAAATAAATGAACTAATAAAAATACATATTTGAACAAAGACTTTAACTTATTACAATTAACTGATGTATTTTTTTAATATTATGTCAGTTAATATTGAAACAACATAAGTCTCACAGTAGCTCATATTGTATTAGTCAATTTATAACTCACCATCTCTCGCTGAACACCGCTTTCACTTGACATGGCCATCAACCAAGTGCAAATGTGTGCTTCTTTTTCACTGTCCAGTGCATCTCTCCTCTCCTCTCTCTCTCCTCTCCTCTTCTCTCCCTCTCTTCTCCTCTCTATTGCTCTTTTACTCTAGTTTCTTCTTTCTCTTCATATCCTCTCCATCTTTCAGTCCTACCGCTCTCTCCCCTCTCTCTCTCCGCACCCCCCTCTTTTGCTGTCTCTTTTCTTATCTCACAAGTTCTCCATTTACCCTCCCTGTCTCTCTCTTGTTCTCCCTGTTTCCTCTTTCTATCACCCCCTTCTCCTCACCACCACTCTCTCCTTCCTTTCCTTACTCCCCTTTTCTTTCTTTCCCTTCTCTCTCTCTCTCTCTCCTTACACCCCCCTCTTGCTCACTCCAGTCTTTCTGTTTTTGCCCCCATGTATTTTGCTCTCTTCTTTCTTATTTCATTATATCCTCCCTGACTCCCCCCTTCTTTCTCTCCTCTTTCACCTCTCCATCCTCTCTCTGTCTGTCTCTATCTCCCTCTCTCCCTCGCTTCCCTACTTCTTTTCAGTCCTCTGCTTCTGTGTCCCCTTTCTTCATCCCCCTTTCTCTCTCTTTCCTCACTCTTTCTTCACACTGACCCTCTCTCTGCCAATCTCCAATCTTTTTATATTGTATCCTCTCTCCTCACCCCTTCTCTCGTCCTCCTCTCTTTGTCTCCACTTCTCTCTTGCTTTCTCCAATCTCTCTCTCTTCAGCAACCCCCTCCACCTCTCTCTCTCACCTCCTCCTCTCATGCTCTCTTCACCTCCCATGTCTATCTCTCTCTCCAACCTTCTCTATCTTTACCCCGTTTTTCTCTTCCCATCCTTTTCTCCCTCTCTCACCCCTTCCTTTTGTCTCTTTCTATGTCTCTCTCCATTCACTCTTTCCTCACACCCCATTCTACAATCTCTCTCTCTTTAGCTCCCCTTCTTTCTCTCTCTCTTTGTCACTACCCCCGTCTCTTGCAATCTCTTTCACCCTCTCTAACCCCATTTCCCTTCTCTCTCTTTCTCTCTTCTTCCTTCCATCTCCTCTCACTCCCTCCTCACTCCCTCATCTCTTGCTTTCTCCAATCTCCCTCTCTTATTTCATTTATTTTTACTCTTTCTTTACCTCCTCTCCCCTTCTCTCTCTCTCCATCTACAGTATTTATCCCTCTTTACTATCTTCTTACACTCTCTCTCTTGCTCTGTCCAGTGTCCTCATTTTTCTTTTTACCCTACCCACCTCTCCCCATCTTATTCTATCGCTCTTTCTCTCTCTCCTCTTCTTCTCTGTCTCTGTCTCTCTGCTCCCCTTCCTCTTCGTCTCTCTCTCTGTCCCTTCTCCCTCTCTCTCCCCTTCCTCTCTCTCCTCCCTCTCTTACCCCCTGTCTCCCTCTTTCTCCCATCACGCACTATCACGTCCAGAGTACCTTAAAAGACAAAATCAATAGTTGTTCCGAATGGTCGTTCAGTGCGAGTTGTGTCAGCATATATAGAGCTGCTCGTGAGTGTGAACCCGCAATTACTGAAGCGCCACAGAACACAGACTTCTCCATTCACACAGATGGATTTCAGTGATTGGCCATTGAGGAGAAACAGTGCTGATTCTGAACAAGAGGTACTATAGTGGGAAGTGTGGGAGTAGCTCTTGTCATGTAATGTATAGTTTATCTGGGAAAGCAGACGTGGGATCCTATCTTCCAATGAAACCACTATAAACCCATTTCTTTTGGTGATATATGAAGATAAAAATAAAACTGTGATCTGATTTCTGTTCTTATTTTAGTAGTTAGTTTTAACACATTGTTATTCAAAAATTTTCTCTTGAATGTAGTTGGATGCTTAAGCATGGACTCCTCCTATTGGTCAGGCTCAGCTATTCCGAATGTGGATTCAACCAATGAAGTTTGAGCTCTCAGAGGAAGCAGATGACTTTAGTTAACCTCTTCAAGGAAATATTAACACATGTAGTTTTTAAATAAATACTCTAATTGACAGGCTTTACTCTGACCTACTCTCTCTGAATAATAAGTCTCAGCAATTTTTATAGAGACGAATATCAGTCTGATGCACATGCCCTCCGTTTGTCTCAAGCCTGGCCAAATGTGATAGTCCAATCTTTTTTCAGTGACGCATGTGAAACAAAGGTCACCTATCACCAGCAACCAGACTCAAGTGTTTATTCTGGATCCCAGGCAAGGTCCATTTTGGCAATAGAATTGAAGAAAGCATGAACATTTTATATAAAATTGTTTTGAATGACTAAAATAAAAGTTAAAATAACAACACTTTAAGAGATTGCACTGCTTTATAGTGTAGGGATACAAATGAATACAGAATAAAAAGGCATTTTTGACTTTTTGAATAGGATATTTCTCAGTTAAGCATTTTAAAATATATAAACAATAGAACAGTTTGTACTAAAATAAATATGTTTTATTGTCACAACTTTCAGTCATCATGCTAAAGTTACCATCCATTTTTTTTTTTAACCAGTAGACAGCAGATGTGAAACTTTTTCACCAATAAATAAATAAATAATCAGACATCAGTAATGTAGATACTAGTATCTGGTGGTGCTATGTGAGAATACAACAGAGCCATGATGGCCAATTTAATTACAGATGGTAGCTTTAAATAGAATAATACATAACACAGCTCCAATCCACCCCAATCCCACTTGTAAGTGAACTGATATACAGCACAGACTTTATGAATAATGCATTTGACTGTGACAGGACCACCATCACTGAGCGACTTGTCAGACTCCAGGACAATCATGAGGCGGACGACAAAAGCATCAAAAATAGATGACAGAGGTGTTCTATTATTATTCAGTCTTAAAATAAACCCAAGCTGTGTGGGAATAAACACAAGACTGACTAAAGAGAAGAGTTTTTTACAGACAAGTTAAAAATAGACAGTCAAATGAGGAATAAAGATTTTCTAATTTAATCTTTATGGAACATTTCGTGATTGTAAATAAAGTAGGGTGAGTATTTGTAATATTTATTCTCATTTGAGCTATATGAGTAACTTTGGCCTTGTCTGCTTTGAAATGCCTGCTGAATGAAACAAATCACAACTCCAGGTATCTTTGTGATGAGGAGACAACACTGATGAACATAGATCAGAAAATATGTGTAATATGGGCTGTGGTGGATAAAATGTTTAAGTTTGTTGCTTAAGTAAAAGTGCAGATACAAGGGCAAAAGATTACTCAAGTAAAAGTATCACACCAAAAAAGTAAAAGTTTTTTAGAAGAATTTTAGAACTATTAAACCATGAGATTGACTTATTCTTGATAAAGAATTTTGCTTTTATAAGTGATTCAATTGATTTCTTAATTTTTCTGGCAATTTTTGTGTTTTTGTGCATTTGGTTTGGTTTTCAGCAGGTCTCAAATCACAAAGAAAAATACTTTTACTTTTCAGATCTAAAATGAAGTGGAGTAGAAAGTACAAATATATGCTCTCAAATGTAGTGAAGTAAAATAAAAAAGTACCCATTGTAAAATATACTCATGTAAAGAAAACTACAGATACCTAAAAATTTTACTTAAGTGCTGTACTTTTACTTTTGTACTTTGTTACCTTCCACCCCTGAATATGGGCTCTTTAAAGTATATATTTCCCCACCTCTAAATATGCAGTTTAAACAGTACTCTTAATTAAACTTTTTACCTACTGGACCTACCTATATGTAATCTGGACTAAAATGGTTGCGTTGTTGTAATGCTGTGGTGTATCTACAGTGACATCTAGTGGCGAAAACGAAAAGTGACGCACAGAATACAGAGGAATTAAGGCACAGAAAAATACAAGAATATAGTTTGAAAAATTACAGTGACAAATGAGGCTTGTGTCAAAACCGCAGAGTTTAGTTGCGACTTGGAGAGTACGGAGGAAGTGCTTGCAGAACATGATCAATCACACAGGATGCGCAAGGTGTTGTAGCCCACGTTAACAAAACAAAAAAAACAAAACAAAAAAAAAAAAGCGTTGCACAATGTATCAACTGTATCAGACTGCACGGAAAAATCACACGCTAACCACACGTAGGCTCGCGTCCATCTCCGCTTTTTCAACTTTCTGCGCTCTGTAAGCCTTTCGCCTCTCCTCCTGCTCTTCGAAGAAAGACGCACAGATTCTACGTTGCATGCGTCCGGCGTAAATTTCCATAAAAACTAGAAAATAGCTGAAAAGCCACAGAACCGCGAGCAACAGCGTGACACCTGCGTTTGGACGAGACGTGGTGACATCACAGAGGGACGGTCCCGGCGTAAAGGTCCATTTGTAATCGCGGTGGAAGCTCGTGAGTTCGTGGGTGACGCACGAGCTAGGGATGATGCAGAAGGCAGGGGGAAACCACTTCACCTAAAATAACAAAAATAAGTCATGTGTACTGTGACTACGTGATGAAAAAAGCTCAGTGCAACACTAATAACAGTTCAGCTTTAATTTTGGCTCTGAATTGCCCAAAATAGCTACCTATAGTGTGCAATTCATTATTTCCTCAGTCACGACTGCCTTCTAACAGAAAGATTTAGGCAATAGGTGGGTGAAGTGTCAATAGGTGGGTGAAGTGTCAATAGGTGGGTGAAGTGTCAATAGGTGGGTGAAGTGTCTTGCCCAAGGACATGACAACAAGAACTAGCAAACTTCTAGTTAATGGGCGAACATCTTCAGTGCCTTTTTCAGTCACAGGAAATCAGTGTTCTATAATCCTATTCATGGGTTTCAGCTTCTTGTAATATGTGGATCTTTTCACCATTAAGAAGATGTAATATTTTGTTTTGTTGCTATGGTATCCTAATTTTTCATTTTTCTGAAACCATGGATCATTTAGAAATGAGAGCTTTCTTGTTTTGAAAGAATTAGCTGCAAGAAAACAAAGCCTATAGAAATATATGGAGCATGATTGCATCTCGGCATTAATTAGACTATAATTAGATTAATTACGGAAATAGTAATTAGCATGTCATAAAGGGGGCATTAGTCCCACATTTTCAAATGTGGGACCAGATCTGTTATTAATGCATAAATATGTAAATTGATATACTACTTTGTTGAAATGTAACAATATAGATTTTTATATTAATTACTATTTATTGCAATGGCTCAAGCATTTTTCTCCAGCCACAATGAGTATGACATAGTAACTGTTTTATTGATTAAAAACACTGTCATTACTCATTTTCATAATATTGGCTTCTTATTGCCTTTTACAAAAAACAAAAACAAAACACTAACAGAGTCTTCCTATACAGTAAAAGTTGTTGATATTAGTAATTAATTATGTGTTTGAATATTTAAAATATTTGGAAATTGGTTATAGTGAGACAAAAGGCCATATCACCTTGAGAATTCCTGATTTCGTCTGGTAGCTAAGCAAAGTTTGGCCTGGCCAGTAGCCTAGACTGCCACTGTTCCTCAAGTGCAAACTGTTGTTGTGTACTTGGGCAAGACACTTCATGATGCTTACTAGTGATGTAGTGAATGCTGTGTGAGCAAATGTTGATGGTGGCCACAGGGAATGATGATGTAAAGTAGCAGTCTCACTTTTTGTCAATATGAAGTGTACAAAAATGTATGGAACTGTATAGGCACTTAAAGTGTGTGGAAAAGCACTAAATAAGACTAATGCATTATTAGTTAAACACATAATTACCTTAAAATCCACATTGATACTTGCAGATGTTGTTGGAAAGTCCTGCAGCCAGGGCACCATCACCTCCACTATATGAAACACTATATAGTCCAAACCCACTATCGTAGCTATGGCAACAAAATATAATGTCACCACTATTACAGTTATCAAACATGAGGTGCATTCCTGACCGGAGAGTCTGCACCTTTTCAGTGTGCTGAGAGCTTTATTTTCAGATTTCTTTGGTTTTGTGTAAGGGTTGTCAAATTGAACTGATGTTAGGTAGGATTTGAGGTAGCGTGCCGATTCGTAGATGAGTAAAGCTACAAAAATGGCAGCAAGAATCCGATTTGAAAGCAGTTTGCAGTCTTTTAGTGTGTCCCTAATGTAGGCAAAGTTTATATGTATTTGCCCAATCATCTTTGCAAACCTACTTTTAACTTCAGAAACATCAATATGGGTGTAGTGATTAAAATTTCTCAAATTTGTAACAATATTCAAATCTTCTTTTTTAACTTTGATGGTTTCTTCCACCAAATCGTGCTTAGCTTTGTTCAGTGGTTCAGATGAGTTAAGAAGAGTGCGTGTGAAGCCCTCTGCAGTGCATTTAAGAATAAACACTACAGCCCCAATATTTGCGCTAATGTTAGGCACTACATTGACTACTAAGAGGAGAAAAGAGGCTGAAATCAGTAGCTTGCGTCCTTCTTTGGTGCATACAGTCGGTAGGGTCATGGTTAAAATGCAGCGTAGAGGATGGAATAGGACGTAAACTACAAACATGACAGCGCTGTAGATGCACGAGGTCTGGACAGATGCATCGTGGGAGTATTTTAGGGTACTGGAGAGCCAATTGTAAAGCAGAGATCCAGTGGTGATGGATAATGTTAAGCAGAGGGAGAGCAGAGTGAGGAGGTCCGAGCCAGAGGGAGCGGGGGAGCTGTATACTGTCCATAGGTAATGAACAAGTCTGACCAATGACTGTCTGCAGGAGTCAAGGACGTCCCTGAAACACAAAAATACACACTTATCAAGCAGGGGATGTACTATATAATGTTCAGACTGATCAGTAATGCAGTACTTTGCAACTGATGTCATCAACATTCCCCTGGAGATGTTAATCTAACTGGAGGCTTTGCTCTGTCTGAAGAGCTGTTGCTCAAATTACAATTTGATCCGTGCTTTATTTGCACAATTTTTTCAGTTTCTCTCACCTTTTTATTGAAAATCAAACACCTAACTAGGACCATGGATGCTCGTATTGATTACAGGGTCCCAAAAATGTGATGTTTAAATAAATTTTGTATTTTTTCTTCAATTTTAGTGAATTAGTAGTGGTCCAAGTGATTATTCAAGTAAAAGTAAAACTAAATTTGGGGAAAGGAGTACTCAGGTAAGAGTGACTGTAATAGTTACTGTCAGGGTATATCATCTGATTTATAATTTGAACTTAAAGTAATTGGAAGGGCACCACAATAAATCATGCACACATTTTGGTGTTTTCAAAAGATAGACAAGAAAATTACAAATAAAGAATCAGAGCAATCATTTCATATTGTCAACATAAAGCTTTTGTCACTTAAACCAAAACCTTTACTCGAGCGGGAGTACTGTTAAACCATAAAATTTCTCAAGTAGGAGTAAAAGTATGGGGGCTGTAAACTGCTGAGAGAAAGGCAACTTTTTACTGTAATGTCATCTCTGCTCTGGGCAGGAAGAGGATATTACTATATTTAGACCTTGTTGCAGAAGTTTTAAATAAAATGTGCACTATGTGATTTTTCTGGTGGATTGTCTGCCACCTCCTTGTCTCCATGGAGATGCTATTGCTGTACTGAGAATGTTCCACATTCCCAGTACAGCAAACTTATCTCCAAGTAGACAACAAACAGGTCAATGAATTATATCTCAGATTTGTGGAGTCACAGTGAGAATGCAAGTTATTTTTGAGAAATAAAAACACAAACACATGCACATGCACACAGATAGACACAATTAATTCCATGTACAATCCAGGCAAAGTAATATTAATGGAGATAAGCAGAGTTACATAGTGCACCTTTAGTAAGATAGATAGAGATAGAGAGAGAAATAGATAAATGTTGCAGTAGGTCATTTGAACCTTTACCAGAAAGTAGACATGAGTTAGTCATCATTAGTTAGTTTTTCTGACTTGATGCAGTCAGCTGCTTGCATAACATCAAACACAGTTTATATTTGAGACTATCACACAGACTGACAGAGTGCAGGGTTTCAGATCACATTAAAACATTCTATAAGCCAATAAAATTTAATACAGATGGGGGCAGCGCAAATTAATATTGTTAAAATGCAGTTTGTGAGTTCTTGGATCACTAATCAAGTTCAACGTTTGTGAATTTACCTTTCTATATATTTTAATTCAAATTTCAAAAGAAAATCTGTCTCTCCCGCCCAACTGGGCATATGACATGACCACATTTTAAAATCTGAAAACCACCAATAGGCTATAAACAAGATATATGAGGGTGCTTTTCTTCCCAGTTTAGCACCTCCATTGCAGTGCTTACATATTATAATAATAACTCATATATTATTTTTAGGTTCAAATGGAAAAAAAAACACTGGTTTGTAATAATTTTCCATTTCCAAACCTCTCACATGATGCTGTGTCCTAATCAGTGACAAAGCTGTGAAAGTGGGTCAGAGGACTGAGAGACAGAGACCAGAGACAGACTCATGTGATGTTGTTTTCACACCTGACTTCCTTTGTAATACAGCATAGCACTGTATCATATGTTATTGTGATTTATGGCATCATGCTTCACTTAGTTAGATTTGATGTTTGATTCATTTTGTGTGTAATTCTATTTCTAAATCAAGTTACAACATTTTGAAAATAATTTATTTCATGTATTTTATTCTGAAATAAAAGTTCGAATGATTATTATATTTGTGTATGCACCTGCAATCAATTGACACTTGCAAGTTTTAAGCATTGACTGTATGGACGTAGATATCCAAATAGGAAGTGAGCATCCGGCTCCTTCTGACCCTGGCTCCCATTAACTTAGACTGGAATATTGTCATCCCTCTCTCTGTAACTACTGCAGTGAGCCTCGTCATTTTGGTCTCAAAATGTTTGTATTAACCTGCTCTACATGATCCTGGTGTTTTTATTTTGCTATTTTGTTCCTATTCCTAAAATGGAGCTTGGTTCCAAATTAACTACTGTAACCGCTAACATCACAAGCTTCATTTGACACTTTCAAGCATTCACACTTTGTTAGTCCAATTCTTTGAACAGTGTATGGGTTTAAGCCATGTCATAATGCTATTACCTGGAGTTGTGTTTTGTTTCAGTCACACATATTTGAATAACCTCCTTATTATTAGTCCGTCTACATCTCCAAAGCTCAAAAGCTGCTTTGTTCCACCTTGTGGTGTCATGAAGTGGTAGTTTTCAAGTTAACAGCTGATGTGATTTTAGTGAAGGGGTATGGAGTTTAAAAACACCATAGACCACTTCCTGTATTACCACACGACATCTCAAGGTGGAACAGGGTTTACTATTTGAGAGATGAACACAGCCAAAATATGCAGGGTTTGTGTGTTAAACGTGTATTAATGAAACAAAACACAACTCCAGGTCTGTTTGTGATGAGGAAATAACATTAAAACGTATATTAGAAAATAATGTAATATGGGACCTTTAAAGATGCACTATGTACCTTTTCTGGCGAAGGGTACGTCACATGCTTGTGTCCATAGAGATGTTATTGCTTTGCCAAAAAAGTTCCACAGTACAGAAATAAACTTTTTAAATGGATGTAAGCAAGTGATACTACCAGGCCAAGTTACATGTCAGATGTATAGACGTTACCCAGCTCACAGTAAGAATACCTGTTTTTTGAGGTATTTTTGTGGGAACACTTATAATTAAATAAATGGTTGATAGAAAAGTTTAATGCCATAGTCTGGAACATTCCAGGCAAAGCAATAACATCTCAATGGAAAAAAGTGCACCTTTAAGGCATTGCGTTGTATGTTAAATATTTTCTAAAGTAATAGCAGTTTATGGCAAAAGTTAAATAAGCAAAAGATTTTAAATATATATTTTATATATATATATATCTTATATATCTTACCTGACAGGTGTGAGAGCTGTGAGATGAACAGACTTCATCTTCTGTTTGACTCTGAGGATCAGGAAGTGTCAAAGAGGAAGTGTCCAGTCAGAGTCATGGAGTTACAAACATGTTACATGACAGAGAGTCATCTGAAACAACATGACATATTTTAAGAATGTAGTGAACAAAATGTATTTGTTTTGGAAAAAATATGTATCTCTTGATGATAAATAATTAATTCATTTGCAAAGCTTGATGACTTTTTGGAATACAAAGGTACAATATAAATTTCCATCACATATTGCTAAATCACAATACTGACGAATGTGATTGCTTTCATAATTCAAGTGTATCAACCCAAGAATAGCAATTTCAGTCTCTGTTTAACCCATTTATTGTTAAAACTGTCTTTTTGAATGATTTATGTTGTGTTCATAACAATGTAGAATACCTATCCATGGGTTTCAGAATATATCATAGTTTGAATAGCTAATTTAATATTTGGGCTAAAGAACAGATCAAACACTATGTTGGAATTTGCAGTTTAACATCAGATTGCAGATGTTTTGAACCAGTTTATGCCTAATATCTCTTATTACTGAGTCTATTTACACACAAAAGTAAAAATATATGTTAACTATAGCCTCAGAAAGTGGTGCCATTATTCTGCAACAAGGACTTCACTCCTTATGGCCAAACCATTAGATTTTTATGGCAGGTTTATGGAGGATCAGTGGAGGACAAATGATGATAATAGTCAACATTTGTGGATCATAAGTTTGAATATTTCTTCTTTCTCCCATAGAGTTACATAGACCTATGCCTTCTGTCAGAAATTAAGACATCATTAACTAACTTCAAATGCAATTGTTTCTTATTGAATGTAAGTATTACAGAAAAAATCCCCAATATATTGCATATAACAGGAAGTTGAAACCCACGAAGAGGCTTATTTGGTGATGTTTCTCTTAATGGAGTTTGGAAAGGAAAAAATAAGTCAAAAAGTCAATGTATGAATAATTTACTGACCCAAATAAAAACATAAAATAAGTTTAGTATTCAACTCTAGTGAACTTGTCGCATTGAATAACACAGGTTGCACAGGTTAACCATTATAGCGGTGCTTGTGACTGCAGACACTTTAAACCCAAACAAACATCGAGAGGAATTTATAGGCTCTTCCTTATTTACACTGGGGCCCATGTGACACTCACTTACCACAGTATTCACAATAATGACCATAACTATTTAATAAAATGTAAATATATCAAAAAATAAGTGTGTTTTTATATACTGAAAAACCTAGAAAAGCAGAACAGTGAATGCATTTGCATTACATCTGCAACCACGGTGAATGTATGGTTTATGATCTATATTATGTTGTTTCCTCAGCACAAACACAAACATACCTGGAGTTGTGTTTTGTTTCATTCACATGTTAAACACACAAACCCTGCATATTTAGGCTGAGTTCTTCTCTCAAACTGAAAAACTTTGCTCCATCTTGTGATGTCATGATAATACAGTAAGTATTATAGTTATAAACCGACTAAACAATAAACAGTGTGGGCAAGTACCTAAATCCACGTTTTGAGCAACTGTATGTTGGTACAGTTGCTCTCCTAAAATCAAAGGAATACATTATCACTTTAAACTGCATGGTATTAAAGGTGAAAAAATACTTGGGATTTTCCTCTAGTTAGACCTACATGCATAATGCAAAACAAACAATGCAACAAAAATAAAGCTGTTTGGAATTATATGTCATGTTTTTTCACTGTAATATAATGCAGTGCAATGTAAAAGTACTCTAATCATTCAGAATATAGTACTCTGATTGGACCATATATCAGAATACATTACAAAACACATTTTAATGCAGGTATTCATCAGAAATACATTTTCAAAAAATAAACGCATAAAAATGGTTGAAGCATGCATTTATTTCAAGTTTCAGAAATCACAATAAAATACACATTCATTGATCTGTGTTCATTCAGAAAATAAAATAATTTTTTGAGGTGGAATTGTATTTTAAAAAAGGTGTAGAATGTAATCAACTATTATTCACAAATATACATTACTGTAGCAGATTTATTTCAGTTACATTCATTGTAACTACTTTATACTGTAATAGTAGCTACTAAAGGTACTTTAGCTAAGACTGGTAACATACTTACAGTATGTATAGAAATCACTTACAAATCATACTTTTTAGTATTTTAACTTTACAATATAATTTCACAGTTCAATTTCATTTGCATAAACAAACACAGTAAAATGCCACTTTTGCTCATAGGTCCTGATCTCAGTATTTTTTACAATACAACAAAATAACAATGTAAAGACCAAACCAGCATTAAAACAGGATTTAAGTAGCCTGGGAGTGGGTCTTCTCTTACCTAGTTCCGGTGGACATGACTGACAAGTAAAGTAACCAGAGAAAAGCATGGTCTGTCTGTGTCAAAATCTCACTTTGAATGAAATGAGCACTAAAAGCTGTTAATCAAGAAGCAAGGGAAGTTATTTTGTTTTTCCTGAAATTAGATAAGATTTAACTAGGAATACTAAACTAGGATTAAATCAAGTCTAGATCAGGTCTCAGCCAGGTCCAAACTAGGTCCAAATCAGGTCCAAACTAGGCCTAACCAGATCTTAGGCAGGTGTAAAACAGGTCTAAACCAGGTCTAAACCAGGACTTGACATGATGGACCTTACTATTTCCAAAGTACGCCCTTGAGGTCTTCCGCAGTTGTCCATGTGCACATTTTACATAACTTTTCCTGTGTCATCCCCCCATCCATAAATGTCCCAGGTTTTCTTAAGTTGGGTCCATATGTGCTTTAGTGTTGGATCCCCTCACAGTCACTCCAGCCCCCCGTTCAGAGCGCAGTGTTTGGCTCAGAGTGCAGTGTTTGGATCAGAGCGTAGTGTTTTGGATGGGAGAGAGCCTGATGCTGGTGGCTCCTGCTGTGCTGTTAATGGGATGGGCCCATTCTGGATATGAGCCCAAATCAAACATGGCATGGCCCCACGTGTTCATGGCCATAGACACACACAGGATGCCCAGGATGTTCATCACAAAGCCTGTCTTCACCTGGAGGGGGACAGCAGAGGGGAGAGAATGGGAATATACAGTGACATTTTCTATAAAGCTTTAATTAAGCACGAAAAGTAATTTTCAACAAGATCCAAGACGCTCAAACAGTCCAGTTGATTTTGAAACATGCTGAGGTTCTGGAAGCAAAATACATCTCCACTTTTACATAGGCCTTTAATATTAAAACATGTTTTTCACATTTTCAGAGACCAGAGCAAAGTTTTTAATAGATTGAGAAAATGGATACAATCCTTTTAAGAGTTTAAAGGCATGTTCTCCCACTGTCATGCCCAAGGACAGACAGCAGGATGGATAAACTGACCAATGTGGAGGACAAAAATATAGAGAAAGAGTAAGAGTAAGTTTGAATATACCATATCTTTTATCCGGAGATGTCCCGATGCAAAAGCGATGGAGTTTGGAGGAGTGGACACTGGCAACATGAAGGCATAGGAGCAACCCACTGTTGCAGGTATCATGAAATAGAGTGGATTCACTGAGACATGATTAGCCTGGAAAAACAATAATGTTAAGTGCAATGAGTAAATAAGTTAGTAAGTAAACTAGTTTAGTGTAGTAACAACCAGATCTAACATAACAAACTACATCAGATATGGATTTCAGATAAGACTGAAAAACATTTTCTTTAACCAAAAATCTAATATGAAAAAACTGAAAAAATGTTATGTGACTTATTTTTTCTCAAATAAGTACAGAACCAATCTGCATAAATAAAAATATATATGAATCAATATTTGGAAGAGGATATCCAATCCATTTTTAAGTATCCGCGCTAGACTAGATATACATAGTTATCCCTATAATCTCACCAGTTCAGCGATGACAGGTAAGAAGATGATGATGGTGGCCGTGTTGGAGGCGAACTCTGTGAAGCAGGCGAGGAAGGCGGTGATGAGCATCACTGCTGCAGCTGGAGGAACCTGAGCCAGAGGCTGGAGGTAAGATCCGATCCAAGAGGCCAGACCAGACTCCTGATAAACAGCACAATACAGGGGGCAGAGAGGACAGAAACAAGAGATAGACTATAGTGTTCAGACGTAACTAAATACATGTACTGAAAATACATATTCAGAATACTAACTTTGTCTAACTGTATTCTAGTACAATTACCCTTTCATTAGGTGATTTTCAGAATACCCTTATATTTATGAAATATAAGGAAGACATCACAGACTTGATCATGCCAGAGCAGCTGAGCAGCATTAATACAGAAGCAAAAATACTCTTATAATTATAACATGAAAGTATTTTAAGTATTCAGAATACCGTACTCTGACTGGTCCACAACAAAATACATTACAAAGTACATTATTCTGTACCTAAATACTAAATATTTTCAAAATGGTCCTAACACTTACTACAGGGGAGGAAATTTGGGGAACTCTAATTAGCCTTAATAAAGCATGAGCGAAGACTTCATTCATAATGAAAAATAGTTTATCAAGAATGATTGGGGTTTTGCAACTACTTCATTAAAATTCCTGCTTTCAACTACCCCACCCCCTTCCTCCCACACACACATTCAGGCCATACCCATATGTTTCAAAAATGTTGCATAGCCATAAACAAAACATAATGAATGAATATCTCCTGCCTGCTACTGTAAAATGACAATATCAGTTCTGCAGTTCTGTTGTTTTTTGTTAATCATTAGAGATCAGTATTTTGGTTTAAAATGAACACAATGTAAAATAATGATCTCCTTGTGTGACTTTTCAATTCAAACTTCTTGAATGATTTATGATTATGCTCAGCTTTTGTAGTTTACCTCACAGGCTTTAGCCATAGCGAAGCCTCCTCCCAGCAACAGAATAATGTTCCAGGGAACAGAATCCTGAGCTTTTTTCCAGGACAAAAGAGGGACGTACGGAGTGTTGGAAACTGAGCAGAAGTGAGACAAAAGAAAGATTTACCACACTGGATAAAGACTGCGTTGAGTGTCCAGCACAGTTTGTAAATAATGGCCACTCTCAACCCTGTGCCCCCCTGTGTTTGTTTGGTCAGCTGCTCAAACAAAGCATGGCTCCTCACTCAAGCTCCTCAAGAGTCCTATAATATGACCTATAATAGATCCTTGTTCATTATACCTGGTTTAATCCTGGGTGAGTTCTTGTTTATTCCTGTTAAGACTTGGTTTAGTTTGGTTTAGTTTGCTTCTGGTACAATGAAGGTTAAGTTGCTGTTAGTTTTAGTCCTGGTTTGACCTGGTTTAGACCTGGTTTAGAGCTGATTTAGTCCTGGTTTAATCTAAACCAGGACTAAATCAGCTCTAAACCAGGTCTACTCCTACTCCTGGTTTACTCCTAGTTTAGACCTGGTTTAAACATAGCTTCATCCTGGCTGAATTAATTCTAGTTTAGTCCTGGTTGTTTTAAGTACAAGCTTAATTTTGGTTTAGACCTGGCCTAGTTCTGGTCTACTACTGGTTTAATCAAGATTTAATTGCTCCTAGTTTACCCTGGTTTAGTTCCGATTTTGACCTGTTTTTTGACATGGTGTCATCCTGTCTGAATTAGTTATAGATTAGTCCTGCTTTAACATTGTTTAGATCTGGTTCAGTTATGGTCTAGTCCAGTTTCCAAATTTAGTCAAGGTTAAGGTTAAGGAAAAGTTACTACTAATCCAGGTTCAGGCTTAGTTTAGACATCTCTTAGTTCTGTTTAGGCCCAGTTCAAATTGTGATTTATTCCTAGTTTTAATCTCGGTTTAGATGGTCTAGTGTTGTCTAAAGTCTGGTCCTGGTTCAATTAGTTTGTATTTAATCCTATATTAATCCTGGTTTATACTTGGTTTAGTTCTACTTTATTGCTGGTTTAGGCAATGTGTTCCTGGATAAACCTGGACCTCCATACTCAATCACACAGTAAAGCTCCAGAGATTACAGTTATCACACAAACAGAGTATTGTAGTCTAATCTACATCATTAACATTCTCTGGATTATTTCTAGTATTTAACACTGAACTAATATGACCCAAAAGTTATTATAATTATGCAATATTAGTAATTATGTTATTGAATACATTTATATTTACTGAAAAATACAAGAACTAACTTTGGGGTAAATACAAACTGCAAAAACTATAATCAGAACAAAAAAATGCAGATACAAACCAGGACTATGCCAGGTCTAAACCATTAAGATTTAACAAAAAATAAATAAAAATCACTGATCTAGTCCAACATTAAAGGTGTATTGTGTAACTTTTCTTCTTTCTATTCATCAAATGCTTTTCTCCATGGAGATGTTATTGCTTTGTCTGGAATGTTTCACAGTATGGCATTAAACCTCTCAAATTTGTGGAGAGGCAACCCTGCTCATAGTAATTTTTTTTTAAGATAGAGATGTTTAATGTCATACTGTTGAATATTCCAGACAGAGCAATGACTTTTCAATAAGAAACAAGTAGGTGACAGTCCTCCAACCAAAAATGTATATAATGCACCTTTAAGGAAATTACATAGATTTGTTTTGTTACCAAGAGGGTCAAACCACCAGTGTAGAGAGGGTTTCTGAGATGGGAAGAAGAACAGGATGGACACAATAATGACACCAGTGACTGCATCTGAAACATAACTAAAATGCAGAATTATCACAATATTAGTAATAATGTAAAGGATTTACAATATATGGCACCTTTCTAGTGTGTTACTCACTCACTCGGTTATTAAGTTACTATTGTGGTCAAAACTGCCCTGCGGTAGACTGACTGAAGTGAGGCCTAGCCACTGCAGCCTCACTGCAGCACACGCTATTCCCAGTGGTCTCCGATACAAGTACTAACCAGGCCCAACCCTATTTAGTTTCCCAGATTAAATGAAATCAGGCATTTTCAAGGTGCTATGGCCAAGTAAGCAAAAGTTAACCAGAAAGACAAGATTTCCTACATATTGTGTCCTGTTTGTGACCGTCAATCAGTCAAACAATCAATCAATCAATCAATCACAATTCATATAAATAGGCTACATTCTTACTTCCCTTAACTTCTAAACTTCTGTCTTTTGCAGCTATTAGGACCCTAACACTATAGATACCCAAAAACAATGCACATTCATTCAGTCACTCACACCCCAGTCCCCACTATCAGTGACAATTAGCCTATTATATAGCCACAGCTGTTGTGGGACTGACTAGAGAGAATATGGCTGCAAATTTGTCACAATTTCCAGCCATAGAAATGCTGTATATATTGTTGTGTCTTGTCCAGGGATACAAAAACATGCACATGCACTGGTTGATCATTCAAGTTACAACATAAGTAGTGATTTTGTCACAACTTATGGAAGACTTACCCCTTTTTAAAAAACACCGCCCAGCCAGTGACAAACTTGGGATCTCTTGTGAACAGGAGAACCGCAAATAGTATGAAAAAGAAAGAGATCGCTCCTTCTGCAAAACTGGAAAAGAGGAGAAAAAGTGAGTGAAAATATAAAGGAGAAGTATTCACAGAGGCTACAGCAAGATCTGAAGACATACAGGAGTCCTCACTTTATGGGCCCGAGCTTTTTGTAATCTTCTATGATCATGGCTTTGGCTCTGGCCTCTGCCTTCGCCCGGTGGTCCTCCTTTTTAAAACACAACCTGTAGGAGAAGATAGGAAAAAATCTATGAGCTTTGAAAATACAGTGAATTCATGCAATACTCAACGATCGGTATCAGTGTATAAAAACTATGCCATTTTTAAAATAGTCAAGTCTCTACAATTTAGATCCATTAATTAATTAAATTTAAGGATTTAATTTTGTACTGATGCTGTTTTGTTTTTAATGGCATGAGCAATTATGTATAAAAATATTAACAATAAACTATATAAAAAGGCATTCTGACACTAGTACCAACATACTCTACCATATTATTCAGACCTTCCATCCTACATTTAACTATGGTTTCTTTAGAAAGTTATGACATTAAATGCAACTATTTAAGCTGTATACATTACCGTGTATTAAGTCCTCCATAGAGAAATGCGATCCAGAGCCACCCCACGAACAGGAAGAGCAGCATGAGTGGGAAGGCAAACGCAAACCATGAACCAAAGTTTATCAGGTCACATTCAGGATAGTAACTGCAAAACAAGCAAATGTAAAAATACTGTCTCTATTTCTACTAATACTATGAGTACTACTACTACTACAACTACTATTCCCAGTTAATTACTTGCTACTACTACTACTACTACTACTACTACTACTACTACTACTACTACTAGCAATGCCATAGTTAAATTATATATATAATAATATATAAAATTTAGTATTAATATAAAATATAAAAAAATTCTTCATGTGAGTTCAAAACCCAGAGCACACAGTAACATTTGTGCTCAGACAAAGAGCGCTCTGTCTGCCCACCCCGGATTATATCTCCTGGCTTGGATTGTATATCACCGCATCTACCACATCCAGTGGCATTTGTACACTTTACTGGACTATATTTGATTTGTCACAAATAAATCTGGACAACATGTCCAGCAGATTGTTTCATTGTTGTTGAAAAATAAAACTCTGGATTTACACACGAGCTCAACGAAATGCAGAGATTTGGATAATGGATGCAAACCGCTGGGGAATATTACCAAGTTTTATAGGTTTTACGCTTTTTGCTTTTCATTCATCAGATGACTAGATTCAATCAAGGCCTCATTTTCATGTGGCACACCTCTTGTTTAGAATGCGACGTCCCGTGGTTATAACACAGGACATAGATAAGATCTTTATAGACTTGTGGTCCTGAATAAAAACAGACAGAAAGTAGGCCTATAAACATAAGAGTGGACATAGTGTGGCATGGCCACTGCTTGCTGTGTGCCCTGTGGGCCCCGCAAGTCAATTTTCTCTTTTTTTACAAAAAATTACACATGTACCCCCTACAACACAGTTTGGGAACCACTGGATTAAGTGTTCTGACTAGTTTTCAATTTCAATTCATATTTTGCAGCAGATGTCATCAGCATTCCCAGGAGGTGTGATGCTAACTGTAGGCTCAGTTCTGTGTCAGGCTCTTTTACTCAAGTTCGACTTTAATCTGTAAAATCATTCTTTTTCCTTTGTACCTCTTGAGTTGTCCAATGAGGATGAGGTTTGGTGCTGTGCCGGTCAGAGTGGCAGTTCCTCCGATACTGGCGGCGTATGGGATACAGATGAGGAAGCCTTTCCAAACCTGGAGCTGGTACTGTGCCTCAGACTGAATCTCCTCTGTGCTCCGTGGGTCTGGGGTCTCGGGGGCATCCTCACTGTAAAACAAAAAGCACAATGTAAATTTCAAAAATGTTCTTAAAAATGTAAAAATGGATTCTTAAGATTTGTTGCCTTACCTATCTCTTGATAGTATTTGTTTTTCCGATAGCATGGAGGGAAGTGATTGCAGCTTAGTGGAGTGAGCTGAAAAAGACATCACACGTGTTCAAAGTGGGTTAAAATTTAAGGGTTAAAGACCTTTGGTACATTGGATGCCCCACTTAAGCAAAAGCTGTGTCAATAATCAATTAGTGAATGAATATTGTCTAACTTTGCTGGATTACATATTAAAAACACAGGTGAACCATTGTGTCCTGCGCCCATGTGCATGAACCATACGGTACCGCTTGAAGCCCTACATAATATTATAGTGCAGATAATATCATAACAGTAAAGTTGGATCATTTTAGTTTAATGTAAATTTCAGTTTGAACAGAGGCAGGTATAACTGAGATTGCTTTAAAGGTGCACTGTGTAACTTTTCTGGTATTTCATCTGCTTGTCTCCATGGAGATTTTCTGTCTCCACAGAGACTTTGCCTGCCTGGAATTTTCCACAGAATGACAATAAAGTTATTTATCTGCATGGATCAAATCACAGGTCAGATCAAATCAAATCACAGATTAGATCTGTGGAAAAGCAAGTAAGAATATTTTTCAGGGCATTTTTGAGGAAGAAATTAAGTAAATTAATCTGTAATTAATTAAATGCATGATAGATGGGTTTAATGCCATATTGTGGAATATTCCTGTTAAAAACATCTCTCATGAGGACTAGCTCCCATCAGAAAAGCTACATAGTATACCGTCATTATTTTTTCTTAATTTTAGCATTTTAGCTTTTGAAGGAAAAAGTTAGAAGGCTGTCGATTAACAAACTACAAAAAAGGAAAGTGGTTCACTGGTGCAAATAGAAGCTACATAGATCAATATTGTGCCCAAAATATTATGATTCATCTCTCATTTATTCAACAGCCAGTGACAGGCCTATAACATATAAGAAAATATCATTAATGCTGCCTGTGTCTGTTTCCTCTTTGTTAGTACATGTGCACCTATAGTATATCCATCATTTATCTTGATTTTAGCACGTTTTAACTGGTCAAGGGAAAAAACTAAACAAAATACCATCATTCTCTGTGTCCTCTTTGTTGGTGCATTTGCTTTTGAGTGTCTCCAGGTCTCCAAACAGACTCTCCAGGATGGCGTTGGCAATGGGCAGCATCATGGCCGTTGTGGCAGTGTTACTGAGCCACATAGAGAGGAAGGACGAGGTCAGCATCATCCCCAGAATCAACCTAAAATTTTGATGAGAAATAGTTCGTAAACCAGCAATGATAATAATACATTTTATTTACTAGGTGCCTTTCTGTACATTCAAGGTCGCATTACAACAGTAAACACATAGAAAAGTGCTTATATACAAAAAGTTAAAGGGCATATATTATACTATTTTCTGATCTGTTATTATGTTGTTTAAAGTTCTTTCCTTCACATTGAATTAATAATTAATAGTAAAGAGTTACTCAAACATGTGAATGAAACAAAACATAATTCCAGGAATGTTTTTGGTGAGGTAACAACATTCCACCTTGCACAGTTAAAAATATACAGTAAAAATACACAGTGCAGCTATGATCTGATGGTATGCTGGAGTGAATAAGCCAGTCTCAACAGATAACCCTACTATTGTAGCCATAACTGCCCCGGGACAGACTGACGGAAGCAAAGCTGCCATTCTGCGCCATCAGCCCTTTCAACTACCAGCAATCATTCACAACCACATCATTTTCATACTAGGAAATGTGGGTGAAGTGCCTTTCCTAAAGATACCAGGTGCCCCACTCTGGCACCTGGTATTCCAGGCATTCTCACATAAAAGTACTAAGCAGGCAAGGCATTGCTTAGCTTCTGAGATCTAACAAGATCAGGCTTTGACAAGCTGGTGTAACCCAGGTTAAAATACAGCTAACTGCAGTTAATAGAAAATATTCCTACAATTGCCGGTCAGCAAAAAAATGGCGAGCTGAAGCCCAGAGAACCTATTCACAACTCATACATACTCAACAAGCTTCTACAGTCTGGTAGGGGCTGTTGCAGGAGGTCCACTAGGTTACCCACACTTTACTACCAACACAAACTCTGTTTGTGCACATATGAACAATTAGTACATGGACATTCCAGTTATTGATTACGGACATGGATTATGGACATTAAGCCCACATTGTTCACCGGCGCAATGAACTATGATAAAGCCAATAGCAAAGTGACTATTATCCTTTTTTGTTTAAAATGTTGAATTCTGTCCACTATTGCTGCTATTGTTGTGATATCGTGGTACTGTGAGCTGAATGTTTAATAATGTACATATTTATACAAGGGCACTTTAATTAACTTGAATTAATCTGACTTGACTTGAACAGAGTTGACTGACTTACTATGAGGTTAAAAACCCATTAACTTAATTCTAAAGTTGATCATTGTAATCTGCAGATGTAAATGCTGTAAATACTGAATATATATATATCATTTGTCTTATTCACTTTTTTTGCACTGTCAATACACGGCACCAGCCATGAAACACAAATACCGAGTCTCCTGCGTTTTTACTGATCTCCCACCTCCCAGAGATAACGCAAGTTAGACATTATGATGTCCCAGACCTCTGCTTAAGGAGATTTTCTCTAACTGGACCTCCTCAAATTTTAGTTGAATACCTCTGCTATAGGCTGTCTGTGGCCTCCACTGTGGTGTCTTTTTTCACATTTGAGTCTGTATTGCTCAACAATTCGGAGATGGGGACATCCCCAAATACTAACGGGTATTTCACACACTGGCCACAGCCGAACGCTATGGATGATCTCACACTCCCTTAATCCACTATTTTATACAGTCTACGGTTATATGATGGATTGATCAACGTGTCTGAAATTAAAAGCAATGTATGTACCCTACGCTCTTGGTTTTAAAACAGGTAATATAATCACAAATTAACTTTGGTTGCTAGTGTAGAACACATACAGGTGTTTGTCATTCTCCATGTATGGACAGATATATATTGTAGCAGAGGCACTGAGTCATGATTGGCTGCATATGCTGAGGTTTAGGTAGTGACCATTCAGAACAGAGAGAGTCCTTTCAGGTTAAATAGCAAAGGAAAAAAAAAACAAAACTTTAATGTTAAAACTAACTGAATGGCAGCACTGGCAACCTAAATGGGAGACTCATGTGAGGCTCATTCTTTTTTCTGATTTGATCATTGTTTTGAAAACCAAAACGAAAAATTATAACATAAACAACTTTGCCATCATGTCCAATAATTTTCATAAGAGCTATGCTTGATTTTAACATGGTTACCTCATATTTGGGAACACAGTCCAAATCAAAATCTTACATACAGTTCCATTAAAAGAACAAATCTCACCATGCGGGCTGAACGCCGACGATGCTCAGAACCTTCAGAGCAATTCTTCGGTGCAAACCCCACTCCTCAATGGACGACGCCATCACTAGCCCGCTCAGAAACAGGAAGTTAGTCTCCAGGAAGTACTGAGGACACACTTCTTTAGATGGAAGGATGCCCAGAGTGGGAAACAAGCACACGGGAAGCATTGCCGTGATCGCTAACGGGAGGGCCTCCGTGCACCAGAAAGTAGCCATTAAAACCACCACATATAAGCATTTTCCCTCCTGAAAAATGAAAAATAAAGATTAAATAATACACAATTGAAGGGAGCTCTTCCATGAAAAAAAGTTTGTGGTTACCTTTCCTACTGTGAGAAAATTGTTTTGCCCCATGACACTAGGGCTGCAGTTGACTAAAGAAATTCTTGGTTGAATAAAAACATGTCCGGCTGATTAATAGTCGAGTAAAAAAGGTAGAATGGCAAAACCATTACAAAGCTCTATGCATCTGACCCAAACTCATAAAACTACAACTGTACAGGAGTTCAAGCAAAAACAAGTATTTATGAAGACAAAAGTCCCAGGTAACAACGTATTTATAAAGACAGATTCAACTTCTTAATCATGAGTTCAGTCTTTCCTTTTACATATAAATAGCCTATCAAATACCAATTCCTCAGGTAACTCTAAATTCTCCTATCTGGTGTTGTACCATTTAAATCCTTAAAATCTAAATTAAATTATTTGTTAACTAATACACATTTTGATCGATTAAGACAACATTAACCAATTAATCAACAAAATTACTGAAGGCCTACAGCACTAAGTGACACAACAGCATTTGCAGTAGCTGAAGTTGGGATGGAACCGACTGAAATATGCACTGCCTATCCCATGCATGTAGTTATGTGGATGTCTAAACTAGGGCCAGACTGATATGGATTTTGCTGCGACAGATATAATATCGATAAAATAGGAGTTGGAGCTGCCGATAACCGATATATACTATATATATATATATATATATATATATATATATATATATATATATATATATATATATATATATATATATATATATATATCACCGATATATTTAGTGCTGTAAAAATTCACTGTAAATCTTGAATTGTTTAAAAAACTTAGGTTTGGCTCTGGTGGATATTAAATTGGGTTTATTTAGGCAAAATTTATTGTTATTCTGCCTCTTTAGGTCATATTTACAGACAGTAGGTCGGCCTAATGGCATTTCTGCCTCACATTCTAGCTAGCTAGTAGTGATGGGTATTCCAGTTCTTTATAGAGAATCGCCTCTTTTGGCTCAGCTCACTAAAAGCAGCCGGTGTTCCGGTTCTTCGTGGGATCATGTCAAGATGTGATTTGTTTACACTGGTGTTTACATAGTTGCGCCATCCCCTGACCACATCAGACATATGCACGCCAAGATGTTTTATCAATTGTATCTGACGTATTGTTTCAATTGCAGATTCAACAAGAACAATCCTGACCCCAATCAAACTTGTCTAACATGACTGCGATTAATACATGGCTTCAAAATAAAGTAAATTAATGGTTGTAACTGTATATATGACTATAAGTTGTTTGGTGTCCTTTAATGACTATGATAGGCAGGCTATAAAAATATGAGGAAGAGGGTGTGTGGGCCTCGAACTCACGTCATTAGTGAAGAAAACAACAAGTTCTGTTTCTGCACCTCTACGATACCCCAACATATCAAACAATTTCTTCAGCACCTATATCTGTCATGTGCGTTACGGTCACATTGGAGGTATGTTAACTTGTGAAAGTTATGCTTAACATCAGACAAGTTAGTGCTGTTTTTAAAAGCGCAAGTCCATCCTTTACCATGTGCGTCGTGTGCGCACTACAGCACTAAACTAAAATCTCCAGAAGGTTGCATGATGATGTTTTAAAAGGCTACAACGCAAACTTTGCTTCCATGTCTTGATGTGACACCTGGCAGGGCGTGTTATCTTGTGACACCCACTTTGGAAAGTTTACAACTGTTATTTAAAGCCTGATTGCGCTGTGTCCTCTTGAGGGCCTCGCGTGCCTGGCAAAAAATGCTAATGATCAATTAGAACAACTATAATGATCTGATATCATGTATACTAATGTTATACAAATGCAAAGTCACAAAAGTGTTAAACACAGCGACACGTCATGGTCACTCAGTGCACTGCCACTTATGCTCAGACATCATTGCCATGTTATCCTGTGACATTACAATACAGTCATCCACTCATGTGCAATTACACGGCACTTTTTTGAGCGCCACAAGCAGCGTAATGTGCACATGCATGACATTGTGGAAAGTCAACTATCAAGTGGCAATAAGTTCATATGGCAAAGTGAACATAAAAGCACTTGGCTTCTGACGCTACATGTGACAAGAGTCACCCTGTGTCGCTATACTCCAAATTATTCCAAACATGGCTCAAACTCCTATTGAGTTGGTGTCAACTACGGCTACTGTCAAAACCACGATTAGGAAAACTATTATATAAGGACACAGCACAATCATGCTTTAAATAACAGTGGTAAATTGTGCACTGATGTCACAAGATAACACGCCCTGCCAGGTGTCACATCAAGACATGGAAGCGAAGTTTGCGTTGCAGCCTTTTAAAACACCATCATGCACGCTTTGCAGACTTTAGTTCAGCGCTGTAGTGTACGCACAAGGCACATGGTAAAGGATGTACTCACGCTTTTAAAAACAGTGCTAATTTGTCCGATGTTAAGCGTGACTTTCACAAGTTAACATGCCTCCAATGTGACTGTAACGCACATGACAGATATAGGTGCTGAACAGATCAATATGTTAAAGTAGGAGTAAAGACCCAACACCTATTTTCTTCACGGGTTGCGTGAGTTGGAGGTCCATGCACCCTCTTACTTATATTTTTATAGCCTATTTATTGTAGTCATTAAAGGACACCAAACAACTTATAGTCACATACATAATTGCTAGCATTGATGTACTTTATTCTGGAGTCATGTTAGACAAGTTTGATTGGAGTCGGCATTGTTCTTGTCGAATCTGCAAATGAAACGGTACGTCAGATACAAACGGACGTGCTCCAAGGGCACAGATAAAAGGCCTGAAGGGACTCTGTGCAATCATCTACTTATTTTATTTATTTTATGTTTTTTATTGGTATGGATGTGTGTATATTTGTTAATTTTTACTGCTACAGATCTGCTCTGTTGAAGTTTCCTTATATTTCATACAATGACAATAAATAAAATCTAAATCTAAATCTAAATGATAAAACATTTTGGTGTGCATGTGCCTGATGTGGCCTGAGGGTGGCGCAAATATGTAAACACCAGTGTAAACCACATCTTGACATGATCCTACAAAGAACCGGAACAGCAGCTCTTTCGGTTTCCATGCAACTCTTCAGGTTATTTTGTTGCAAGCAGGTCTAAACCAGGACTGAAAAAGGACTAAACCAGGAATAAAACAGATCTAAACCATGTGTAAATCAGGACTAAACCAGAATTGAAACAGGACTGAGTGTCAGGACTCGGTCTCTGTCTCTCGCCCTCTCTTGGTCCAAAGATTAGTTCTGGTTTATTCATGTTATGCTGAACTGCAGTCAAACATGCAAGTTTTTTCTATCCTTTGCACACGCATATTTCTGAAAGTTTAGTTTTTGCCCGCTGTCAACCTACCACGAGTCTGCATGCGGTGCAGGTTCCCGTCCCCGCTTCAAAGAGCCGGCTCTAAGAGCCGTTTCGTTCGGTCAGCTCATTCACATATCAATGCTGATCCAGTAGCATATATATGGCCAATATAGTCACTTTACAATAGGCCAACAGAAGAGAAAACAGCCTGTTTATGTGTGGGAGCTACAGCAGCTAATCGCTAACCAATGAGAAAGAATCAAAACTAGCTTCTAAATCAACACATTTCCAACACTCACCACTCACACAGGCTCCTCTCAGATCAAAAGTCTGCACTAATAAATGTCCTTTTAATCATGACTCAAACCGATTGTCAGTAAAAAGAATATAATCTCAGTGTTGCACATGGATCTGTGGCTGCGGGTGTAAACAAGCATACGTGAGTGAAGTGACTGTGGGGGTGCGTTCAGGGACAGTACAGACACACAGATAAATTAGTCTGCAGATAAATACTGATGCGGAGCCACATATTAGGACATTTGCTTTATAACGAGGTATAACATGCCCACGTGAAATATCGGCAAGATTTTTGGCCGATCGCCGATATATTTCCAGGTGCCCATATTGGCAGATAATATCGGCCAACCGATATATCGGTCAGGCCCTAGTCTAATCTACAGGGTAAGCCTTTTTTTTTTTTTTTTTTTAACATAACAAGATATTTTGTTGTTTGAGAACATTTATGTTTCTCATATTATGTTGAATGCTTTTCTGTGGAGTAGGCCTATGCAGCTTGGATGATGAAATATAGTTTTGTGAATTAAATTAATGTTTGGGAATTAAACACGCACTATGTAACTTTTTGGTGGAGAGCCCAAATACTGCTTGTCTCCATGGACATGCCACTGCTTTACCTGGAATGCTCCACAGTATTATTCAATCGATGTTTGGATTTTGGTGTTTACTTTTGTGGCTCAGTGGTGGATATAGAGTGTACCCTCCAACCCAAATATCAGTCTGATTCAATCCCAGCACCGACCAAGTACATGTTGTTGTGTCCTTCAGCAAGGCATGTTGCTCACTGCTTATGTATGTGATGTGTTTGTGTAGGTCTGTGTCCATCATTCTCTTTGCAGCTGTGGCTACCATCGCCAGATGTGGAGTGAATGGGTAATGGAAGGCCTTTTTAAACTGAACGTGTTGTAGGCTTCTTGAAAGAGAAATGAACGAGTGTCTTTAACCTAAACCCAAGTCTGACAACATTCTACAAATGTTGTTACTATGGCAAAAAATATCATTATATTGATACCATAAATCCTGTTCTGAAGGCCTACTAGTTTATCAGTGTTGTACCGTCATATGCTGCCATATTTGTCAATGTTGTATTTACGGGCTGGATAATTTAGCCTTAATATTCTGGTGGCGGGTCTGCCACTTTGGACCAAAGCGCCTGGATAATGTAGCGAGGCGCACCTGACGCAACGTGTCCGTGCTCTGAATGCCATTTTCTTGTCTGTGGCCGTTTTCAGTTGACGTTAATTGCGTAAGGACTTAAGTTGTCCTCGTTGCGAAGATTGGACTAAGACGCAAAACAAAAGTCCTGTGCCCTTGATTGTTAATCAGAGTTACAGTCCTCAGTTTTCACTGTGGGGTGATTTGTGGGGGAAAAGTCTAGGGCCATTTCTTGGTCCCAGTCTGCCCCTGGAGACAAGCAGTTGAGGGCAAGTGAAAGGTCATATCTATGGAGAGGCAACCCCGATCACAGTAACAATGCATGTCTATCAGTTATTTCTTTCTGAGCAATAAGAAACACCTCTAGGCTAAATGAATAAATGAATGCCACATAAGTTTAATCTCCATGGAAACATGCAGGACCACCTCAAGAAACGTTACAGTACAGTAACAGTAGTACAGCTTTCGTGAAATGGTTATGATGTGTCTCCTGCACCTGAGCATTTTATTAATTTGACTTAGATATACTTTTAAATAGCCGTACTTTCAGTTTAAATTTATTAAAGATTACGCTTGCCAAAAATTGATTGGTCAAGAATAGGCCTCGTTGCAACACATGAACCCAAAATGCACCTTTAACTTACTTGGCTTTGCGTCAACGTGAATTTAACGAGCCAGAATCACTTAACTCATTACAATTTATCAAGTCCCCGCTTACCTTGTCCGGGAGCGCAAAAATGAGCGGCAGAAACAATAGCGGAGTGATAATCACGATCAGTTGCTTGTGAACGCACCACAGTTTCTTGGCCAGGGCCGATACCTCCATGATTTCCTGCGGGACCAGCGCGCACTGCTGTGGAGGAGAGGAGCTCCAGTGTGTCGGGGGCGTCCCGGAGGGAGCACTTTGAAGCCTGGAAGTGTGGCCTGAGAGAAGATTAACCACATGCTCGCTGCTGGTTAACTCCTCACTCCAAGGCGCTGTCAAATATTTAAGCGGAACTGAAGGACGAGACTGGCCTTCTGTGTGCATTACAGCCTGGAATGACTTGTAGTTTTTCATCCAATTTGAACACAAGAAAATTCCACATTTTTGTCGGAAGAATTTTGCAAAATTGTGCCTGTTAAGAAGACGTAGGCCTAATTGGAATGCATGTGCTAGATAGCCCGTATGTTTTTAGTGCCAAATATCTCAAAGACCAGTCGTGTGTAGTTAATGGGTGTAGGTAAAATGACAATTGCTAGCATCCAAATTTTATATTTTGTTACTATTTAAGCAAAATAAAATGAGATATTGGACATGACATTGATTTGGTCAATTTGCCATTAAAATAGGCTCCATATAAAGGCAAACTAATTAAATAGCTTATCCTAATATACTTCATACTGGTTAGAATGGTTCATTTTATACAAGTACAATGCTTTGAATGACATTGTGCCAAGGTGAAGTTAGATTTAAAAGTGAGATTTTTGTTTAAACTTTTAAGAAGGATTTCATTAACTTGGGGTCACAGGGTCATGACCTTACATTCCTGCTTATCTTTGGAGCCACTCTTGGTCAGTCAATGGGAATTTGCCACTATATGCTTAGGCCTACCTTGTTATAACCTTCTCTAAAGTAGTGATCTATGACCAGTTTTACATAGGGCTGTAAAACCTATGCAGACCCTCATCTGATGTCATTTCAAGTAAGACAAATAAACAAAGAAACAAACAAAAAAAAGAATATTGCGAGACAGATGATATACCCACAGAGAGCAGAACCCCTGGGCAAGACACTTCACCCATCCTGTCCGTGTGATTATGACCACTATGGGTCTTCCACAAATTCTAACAGTTGAAATATTTTTTGCTATATGTACCTTGTATGACAGTCAGTACATTCCAGAGCCACACATTTAATTTAAATTGAATCAAAATGAGTAAATGAAAAAAAAAGTCAGTTATTGCAGTTATTGTAGTTATTGAAGTATCATAATTTCCTCCACAAACAACAAACTATCCTTTCTTATTGCATAAAAAACGCTAACCTTGGAGTTTAGATCTGTACAAATGTGATGTGATTCACACATTCGATTCTTATATCAATTTATATTTAAGTCTTTTTGTAGGAAATCAAATACTAATCAATACTAAATCTTATGTCGAAACTAGATACTTATTTGAGCAGGTATCGACACTAAAAAGTCACATTCACGGGACAGAAATTAACTTTTCCTGAATAGTTTTAGAATGATCTTGAGCTGTATCAGAGGAAGTATAACAGCTCATAGACTAGTATATGCCCAAGGATCACTATGAACCCTACCTGGAACACAGGGATTACACAGATATAAGACCACATAGCAATATAAAAGAAAGTTCTATGATTTTTTTGGTTGAAAATCACATTCTCACATTCTATTGTCTAAATAGAACGTGTTTTCATTGTTTTCATTCTGAAAACAATGAAATCATTGTGTTATCAAAAATGGTCAAATCAGTATGGAGTCTATTCCTTAATAATGAAATTGAGTTTGAAATTGTTGTATTATGACAAGACTAGTTTTGAATGTAACTTTGAATGGAATCCTATTATTAAAACATAAATCTTAGATCTAATCGGAATCAGCTTGTCAGAAAAACACAATTAGATATTTTTCCTAAATTGTTCAGCCCCAATACATTTATAATTTTCTTTAATTGTAACCGACAAAGCTTAAAGGTCCTGTATATTACACAAAACTGACTCTTATGAGCTTTAAGCCATGTTACAATGTTGTTACCTCATCAAAAACATACCTGGAGTTGTTTTGTTTCATTTACACATTTGAGTAATCCTTTATTATTAATCTGTCGACATCTCCAAAGATCAAACTGCTCTGTTCCACCTTGTGATGTCATGTAGTGGTAGTTAAGTTAAAAGCTACTTTTAACCTTTTGTAGAGATTGGCAATTCCAGTCTGAAATTATCCAAATAATTCTAGTAATGGTGTATGGAGTTGAAAAACACTGTGAAGCACTGTATCTCTACATGACCAGGTGGAACAGAGTGTCTTCAGTTTGAGAGAAGAACTCTAAATATTCAGGGTTTGAGTGTTACACATGTGAAACAAAACATGACTCCAGTTATTTGTGATGAGGAAAAAGAGAAACAAGAGATTTTCCCCATTATTGGAAATCAGGCTCATGCCAATTTAATAGATTATTTCCACTAATAGTCTGACATTTTGACTGTGCATTGACTGCATATTTAATGTTGATAATATAATCACTGCCTTTCTATCTGCTTGAGGCCAGCAGGTGGTAATGTGTTCACAGATTCCTGTCAGTACTATCAGTATTATGGTCAACTCCGCAGTATTTTCGTTTCTCTCCCTTTTTTTTTTTTTTTTTTTTTTACAGGAGGGTATTTATCATTTTATTTATTATAATGTTAGGCAAGTAGTATTGTTAAGGGTAGGCTCAGTCTACAGGGAAAAAAAAAAAAGTGTAACCATATTTACCATGATATTTACTCATTATTTATTTTTGTAAAACATTGGCAGTTAATACATTTCTACATCAAGAATTTGTAAGTTAAACTCTTATTTAGACCACATAGTTTACTGTCTAAACACTTCTAATCTGAAGTGGTTTCTATTCTTGGGAAACCGACACTAATGTGGTCACTCTAAAATATCTAGAAAATAGGTCACTCAGGTGGCTGTTGTGGTGTTTAAACAGAGCTGTACAAACTCCGCTCTGAACAGTGGCTAGGGGAGTTTCCACTGATCAAAAACACACATCAGCTACATACAGCATAGTTAAATTGATAATTATTACATATTTTTGCTTGACATGTACCAGACTAGTTAATTTATTCAAACATTTTCTACACTTCAGCAGGTACTTTAATACTTTTACTTAAGTAACACAATTGAATACTTCACTGACCACTGCACTTCAGTGGCTCTAAGACAGACTAATACAAGTGAGACCATGTCATATCCTAGTTCCAATCTTTGAAAAGCTATATTAATTGCACAAAAATATATTCTTACTTATTCATATAAACACTAATGAAATAAATATCATATAGTAAATTACACTATAAAGTTTAAGAATTAACCTTAATAGCATGTAATTATTCTGCTGAGGTAGTATGCCACCTGCTTGACTCCATGGAGTCAAGCAGGTTTGCTTTGCCTAAAATGTTCCGCAGTAACTTTTGTAATGACTAAAATTATACTTTAAAATCAATGTCCTTATTGTGAGCGGACTTGCCTCTCCACAGACTGAGATGTAGTTTTCAAGATTTTTTATTTTCTTCATCATCTTCTCTTCTGCCTCGAGCAAATATGAAGAATCTGTACACACCAAAGACACATAAACAGTGAGAGAAAGTCACACATTCTGCACAAGTGACAAGGTGACAATGTAGTAACGAAAAAGCATCTGCCCCCTCCTCTCTTCTGTAAGAGCAGATTTTTTCAGTAAAAGTAGTTTCATTTATGTTTATCATATACAACTGTAATTTTCGACCATTTTACATTTGAGCTGATTTTACATGTAACTTGAAAAAATGTAGTGTACTATTCTGTAATGCTGATAAAGTTCCTAGCCCAAGGATACAACAGCACAACCGGCAATCCACTAATAGAGGGATTATTGCTTACAGCAGTGATTCTCAACTAGTGTGCCGTGAGAGATCGTCAGGTGTGCCGTGAGAAATTATCCAATATCACTTTTTTTTAAATTAAAATTTATTAATTATTACCTGCAAACATTATGTCATTGTCGAGTGTCCGTGCTGTACTTACTATACTACAGTGTAGTATATAATGACTGGCAGAGTGATCTAATATTCGTCCGGGTGGCAACAGGCAGCTAATTGCCTCGTTCCTTTAAATCAGGGGTGCTCAATACGTCGATGGCGATTTACCAGTCGATCGCCAAGGTCGTGTGGGTAGATCGCCGTGTCTCGTCTCGGACTCGCGTTTGGACTCGGTCTTGTCTGTCACTCAAGGTCTGACACTCAACAAGTGCGATCATATTTCATTATGGCCGCTGCTGTTGGTAATAAACTTGTACAGGTGTGCCAGAGCGTGTGGGGCGTCTCAGTGCAGCCTGTGCGCTCAGTGCAGCCCGCAGAGACTCTACGGCACATCACAAATACACACGCTCCCTACGCACGGCTTGTCTGCAACAGCGTGTGCCCTCGTGTACCAGCGTGCATCAAACTTCCTAAACATCCTACCTGTCCATCTGCCTCACGTCAGCACGCCACCGCTCACCTTTTCACGCTCTCGCTCCTTCCTGCGTACAGCGAACACAAGCCCCTCCCACAGTGCGCGTTGATTAGAAGAGCAACACGAAACGTGAAGCAAAAACGAGTCTAAATTTGTGTTACAGTGTTGGCACAAAGCAGGTCTACAGCAGCATAGAGCAGACCTACAGAACAGACCTACTGCCACATTTGGCTGAAGTTTGCCTAATTAAAGTGCACAAATGCATCTGTGTTTGTCACGATGTGCGTTTGGTTTGGTAAACGTGCAGAGGCTGGTAAATATTACTGCAAAACCAGAAAAGAATGCAACTCCAGTTTGGAACTTTAAAAAACAGGTTTAAAAATCTTCCTTCACTTTTTTCACAGTTTTGTGTAAAGTGCCAGAGGAAGTTCTCTTAAAGAAGGGGTTCTCAAACTGTGGGGGAGGGTCCAAAAAAGGGGCACAGAGTGTTTCAGTGCAGTTTGCTCGGTTTTGTATTAGGTAGATCTTTATGACTTGGTCATTTTGTAAGTAGATCGTATGCTGAAAAAGTGTGAGCACCCCTGCTTTAAAAGAATTAGTAACGCATGTGCGTGGTGACAGTCATGGAGAAGATTTTAAAAAGGACGAATGCAAACTCCGAACTGGGCCTTGGACAAGATTCTGACCCAGAAGAAGAGCTTTTCAAGCTTAACTGCTATAAAAACTAAAAACAGAGAGAGACTGAGAGCTGTTGATGAAGAGCTTCGTGTGTGTCTTTCTTCTTTTTCTGCCAGGATATCAGCTTTGTGTTCATCTAAACAGGCGCAGGTCTCACACTGAGTAAGTAGAAATTAATGTAGAAATTATATTGTAATTAAATATACTGTATAGTGTCATTTTGTAACATTTTGGTTAGTGGTGTGCCGCAAGATTTTTCCAATGTAAAAAACGTGCCGTGGCTCAAAAAAGGTTGAAAAACACTGGCTTACAGGCTGGGCTACTGTTGTTGACACAACACTAAAACTACACATGCATGCACAATGCTTTATTATTATAAATCTATTTACCCGGATAATAATCATGGACATGATGATTTTGGTGAGTCCCATGGCGGTGTACCCAACCAGGCTCCAGGTGAGGGGCAGGTGAGGGGCATGTGTTACGTTTAAAAGTGCCCCCTCTGTTTCCTCTCTCTGCACTGTGGTCATTGAGGCAGTTGTCACATCAGGCTCGCATTCTGTTGAAAACACAATATAAAAAAATACTATTAAAGAAATAAGCCAACAGAGCCATCTAGAGTTAGTTTTGTTGGTATGTTGAAACTTTAAACTACTGTATTTTTGTTTTAATTGCTAATTTACAATTATAATTCACAATTATAAGGCACAGTGCTCAAGAACTTAAACAAAACATGCTTTTATTTTACTTTATTTTCCATGTAAAAGTTGCATACTGTGGCTTTAAGGATTGCCAGAGCAAGCCAGTTGCTCTGTGATGGGGTGGAAAATGTGGTATCTTGCTCATGGACACAATAACAATACGATATATTTGCAAAATTTGAAATGGTTTTCATACGAAACCTCTTTTCTGTTTTCAGTGAAGCTATTTGGGCACTGAAAGATGATGGAACATTTGAAATATTCATTCATTCTACACCAGGTGAATGTCAGCCACGGCTGTTTTCATCTCTTTTTATTATCATTATTAAGTCTTGGATACTTGTGGATACTTGTGGATACTTGGGAAACTTGTGGATACTTGGGAAACTTGTGGATACTTGGGAAACTTGCCTCAGGATGAAAAGAGGAAAAAAGACACAACTAAAAATAATAGATATATAGATAATAAACAACGAATGAAAACCTTGGCTCACCAGGCACTGTTAGCATCACTTGGAGGTAGAGGGTCTTTTCCCCAAGGATGCCTCCAGCCTCACATTTGTACACCCCAGAGTCTTCGGGCCTCACGTTTGCGAGCAACAGGCTGTAGTTCTGCTTTTCTACACTCACGGCTCGAGGAAAATCGTATTTAAAGCTTTCATTGTCTGTCAGGCTGATTCTGATGATTCCTTTTGTCTACACACACAAAACACATTCATAGACAGTGTTCCACCAGAAACCTGACCTACCCTGAAGAAGCTGCTTGGATGAGGGGAGAAATGTCTCTATATGTTCACTTTAAAAGTTTTGTCCAGTTGTACCATTCATTTTCTTTTGCTATGGATCTTACTTGAATGACTGAGGGATTACATAGACAGGCCTATATATTGAACAATATTTTCTCAATAGTGCACAGTGTCACTTTAAAGGGTCCGTTTAAAGGTGTACTATGTAACTTTTCTAGAGGAGGATCTGTTATCTGCTTGTCTCCATGGACTTGTAATTGCTTTGACTGTGAAACTGTTAAATGTTGTTGCATTTCAGTATTAAACACATCTATCTCCATGGAGTAATACAGCTGATACCATGAAGAATGCGCATGTGGGTACGTTTCATCATAAAACATATGTAACTGAATAAAATAAATTTAAAAATGCACAGACCTTGTACCATGTGACAGATTTGTATCTGTTGGTTCTGAAGTCGGCATTACAGGGAAGGGCTGCATCTGAGCCACATTTGGCTTCAATGCGGAGCATCTGCTCTTGGGCTGAACACGGCACCAGGAGCTGAGGGCAGATACCACATGTTATATTAATTTCCTCTGATCAGTATATATGTTTAGATAATAGAATGAAACTCCTCTGCCATTAACAAAAATTTAGTTGTACTTGTAGTTCAGCCATATACTTAGAATTTTCATTTTAAATTTTTTTCAAATTGTGTTGCTCCACTGGTCACTGTAGCTAGTCTTTTTTAAAGTTATACTTCCCAATATTTCAAAAGGAAAAAAAAATAAAAAATTAGGCCTATAATGGTATGGTCAGCTAACAGAATGAATTATTAAGTTCTATAATTTCAACTAAAATGTAGATTAAAAAATATAATAATTAATAAAGTAAAAAAAATAAAGTTTCAACTCACTTCAAATACCAAGGCCAGCAGCAGCATGTTTTCAGATCATGTGCCTGATTTTCTGCAAAACCTTTGATTTCACATAATTTCCTGAGAAGGCGGATGTGAGAATTACCACAGGTACAAAATAGGAAACTGGAGATGTGTGACACCGTGTGGCAGAAAGGAGAACTGCAGTGAGCTCATCAAACTGTTAGACCCATATTTGTAATAGCAGTGTGCTATTGTGTAAATTATGCCTCAAAAAAGGGTTGCCTGCTTTTTGTGCAGGTACAGTGTCAGAATAAGATGTTTAGGGGGCACTGTGGGGCCGAGGTGAGCACACTTCCCTCACAGAAAGAAGGTCCTGTTCTGTCTGTGTGGAGTTTGTATGTTCTCTCTGTGCCTGTTTAGGTTTCCTCCTGGCGCCCTGTTCTCCCTTACCACTAAAAACACGTTCAGTAGGGTCCCCTGTGGGAATCCCATGAAAAAGAGATTCTTAATCTCAATGGAACCTCCTCAGTTTTCCTAAATATAACATGAAAAGTGGCTATCTCTATGGACAAGCAGATGACAATTGCAGACCAAGGTGTCAGATCTCTGGAGAGGTTATCCTTCTCACAGTAAGAAAAGAAAGTTAAAAAAGTTAAAAAATATATATATAATTGAATAAATGTAAGGTAGATAAGTTTAATGCCATACTGAACAATTCCAGGCAGAGTAATAACATCTTCATAGAGACAGGTGGCAGATCCTTTACCAGAAAAATTACATGGTTTAAAATGACATACTTTAAATTCACAGATTCAGTTTCACCATCTTTTAATGGTATATTTATTAGGAATACAAAATTACAGTACACACACCAATTTTAATATTTTACATAGGCATAACAAAAAGACCAAAAAAAAAAAAAAAACTTGCACGCCCACCCTCCCTGTACACGGTGCACTGCAATATGTCACAGATATAATACAACAAGGAAACATACTTATCAAAGTCACTCCAGTCTAATCTTGCCAAAATTAAAACTGCTTTGTTGGAAATGACTTTGTTCCCCCTGGTAGATTCAAGATTTGATTCTGGAGTGCAGTAAGATAACAGTTCATTAATCCAAAGTGTCCATAGGGGGAGCAGACTTTCCAGTTTTTAAGAATACAATGTTTGGCTGCTGTGGTGGATAATAACACTTAACATCTTCTGACACATGTTTTATTTTATTCTAGTTGTGCAACATCTCATTTAAACAAAGTCCACAATTTCACCTTTTTAAATCTGAAACATTTCCAAACCAAAGATGTTCATTTTGTCTTCTTATGTACTTCTTCCTGAGTGGGCTTGCCTCTCCACAGATCTGACCACTAACTTGGCCTAGATGTGTCATCCGCTTTTCTCTAGATGAATTTGATATGTTTAACACCATGCTGTGAAATATTCTAAGAAGAACAGTAACATTTCCATGGAGACAAGCAGGTAGTTACAGTTTGAAAACTGTATTTTTCATCATGATTTTAAATTATTTTTTGCTCAGGTGAGACCATGATCTTCTCTTCCGCCTCGTGCAGATATGAAAAACCTGCACACAGCAAAGACACAGAAAAAATGAAAACAAAAATGTAGCGACTAAACAGCATCTGCCCCCACCTCTGTTTTGTAAGTGCTGATTTTTCCAGTAAAAGGAGTTTCATTTTAGCTCATAGTGTATTAACCAAAAAGCAGGCTTGCATACAGAGGTAGTGAGTCATACAGAACTATCATTTTAGACCCCATTACAAATATTTGGTCAACATATCTATCTCTAGCTTGGAACTTGGAGTTGTTTTTTGTACAGTGCATGTTTTTTCTAATTAAAAGTTCTATATTATGCAGAATCGAGTCTTGTGAGCTTTAAGGCATGTTAGAATATTGTTACCTCATCAAAAACATGCCTGGAGCTGTGTTTTGTTTCATTCGCACATGCTTGAGTAATCCTTTATTATTAATCTGTCTAAATCTCCACACTCTAGTCCACCTTGTGATATCACGTAGTCGTAGTTTTCAAGTTAACAGCTACTTTTTATCCAAAATATGCAAATAACTCTGGGTATGTTTTTGATGAATGACATAGACAGAAAATAGCAGAGTATGGGCCCTTTAAATGTGAATCAAAATCAATAAAAAAAAGTTGTGCCAAAAGAAGCAAAACTCCTCTAACTTATACATAAATGATTATCTGACATATACAAATATAAGAAAACGCATTTATTTTGTTGAATTAATGTTTAAAGTGTCATCAACATTTGGATAGAATTCTCCCTAGTGTGATGTCATCAGTGTTTTAGAACTCTCTTCTTCCTGTAATTTTGAACAGATTTTCATCTTTTCTTTACAAATTGCTACTTGATTGGGGTAAAATAATAAATAAAAATAATTTACATTTACAATAGTTATCATCTCACCAAATGAACTCAAATTTAGAGAATCATAAAAATATGTCATATGCACTTTAAATAAAGGTACTGTAGTTAGCTTCTCAGATATTTATGACAGTGAGAACCCTGTCAGAACTGAAGAAGCCATGATGAGCAGCAAAAAAAAAAAAAAACTTTGTCCAGTTGACAGAATAAAATGTTCTTTTCTGATGGAACCTACCAGGACAACTGAGGGATTACACAAACACACAAGCTTTGATTTGATCAGATATATTTACCCAGACAATCATCAAGGACAGGATGATTTTGGTGAGGCCCACAGCACTGTACCCGACCACGGTCCAGACAAGGGGCAGGTGGGGGGCGTGTGTCCTCTCGGTTTCCCCTCTCTTCACTGTGGTCAATAACGCAGGCGTCACATCACATTCTGTCGAAATAATATACAAATACATCTAGTGTTAATTTTGTTGGTAAGTTGAGACTGTGGTTGAGACAAGCATAAACAAATTAGGTAAACTCCTCAAGCCTAGCTCAAAATCTGGAGATGAGTCCCGACTGTTCCTGCAGCACTGAAGGATGGGTCAAATGCAGAGGATATATTTCTCTATGGGTACAATAAAGCGTAATTATCCTTAAACTACTACAAGTGCCCTGAAGAGGAAGGCTGCCAAACTGTACCAGAACCATCACCAATCACTCACATATACAAAATTCTGTTCAGTATATTGTAGTATCCACCACTGATGTCTTTTTATTTATCAGCTCAACAGAAGTTTGTAATTAATTAAGAAATTAGCTGTGAAGTTTCTGGTTGGACCCAGAAGCGACATCAGCAACTCTACTGAAAGGAAAATGTACACATACAAAAAAATAAAATAAATAAAACTATATAGAAATAAAATAATAATATTTTTTTAAAAGTACACACAATAAATAATATCTATTTTGTACACACTAAAAAGAGTATAAACAGAGAGAACTCACCAGGCACTGTTAGCTCCACTTTGAGGTAGAGGTTCTGTCCCCCCGGTCTGGCGCTGACCGCACACTCATATATCCCTGAGTCTTCAGGCATCAGCTTTGGGAGCAGCAGGCTGTAGCTCTGCTCATCTATGCTCACGTTTCGAGAGAAATTGTAATAACGGCGTTTCTTGTCTTCCAGGGCGATTCTGATGATGCCCTCTTTCTTATTCTGAATAGGCACAGACACATTAAAGGGAGTCTATTATGCTATTTTCTGATCTGTATTATAATGTTGTTTCATTCACACATGTTTAGATAGAGACCTTGTGATGTCATGTGATACTACAGGATGTGCTCCAGTGTGTTTTTAAACTCCAATGCCTTCACTAAAATCATCTGAATAATTTCAGCCCTGGAATTCCCTACCTGTACAGAACAAAAGGTAAAAAGTCACTGCTATGTTGAAAACTACAGTTTCATGACATCACAAGGTGGAACTGAGCATTTTGAGCTTTGGAGATGTAGATAGACTAATAATAAAGGATTACACAAACATGTCTGAATGAAACAAAACACAACTCTGGGTATGTTACTAAGGATGTAACAACATTGCACATGGCTTAAAACTCACAAGAATCAGTTTTGTGTAATATAGGCCTGTATAGCCTACTGAACTTGAACAATATTTCCTCAGTATTATACAGTGCACCTTTAAAGCTACCATTTGTAATTAGACCGACTGACTCAGTCAATGTTATATTCTCACATAATATCACTAGATACTATCTATGTTACGACTGTCTAAGTGTGCCAGTCTTGTTCTGACAGAAGACCAGAGGGCACAGGTGAGCCTGAACAAAGCCCATTGAGGAGAGGGGGGAGAGGTTTCACATCTGCTATCTACTGGTAAAAAAAACAAAACAAAAAAACCCCCCAAAAAAACCACATATACACACACACACACACAGAACTTACAGATGGCAGCTTTAAAGGTGCACAAAGTAACTTTTCTGGTCATGGACAGGTTATTGCTTTGACAGCATAAACATATCTATGTCCATGGAGAAAAACAGGTCAGATCGTTGAAGTGGTGACCCAGCTCACAATAAGCTTGTATGTCTAAGGTCATTTTTAGCAAAAGAAACACTTGCAATTTAATAAAATAAATACAGATGCACAGATGCACAGACCTTGTACCATGTGAGCGAGAAGTATTTGTTGGTTCTGAAGTCGGCGTTGCAGGGCAAATCTGCATCTGAGCCACATTTGGCTTCAATGCGGAGCATCTGCTCTTGGGCTGAACACGGCACCAGTAGCTGAGGGCAAATACCACATGTTATATTCACTTCCACTGCTCAGTGCTGTAGGGCTGCACAATATATATTACATTTATCTAATATCTAATTAATTAATTAATTTGAGTTTTGAAGTCAAATCTCAAAAGCTGCAGTTCATTAACAAAATCAACAAAATATCTTTTTTTTTTAACTCAAAAATTGTGTACCTGTAGTATAGACCTCTACAAACATGTTCTCAAATGCACAGACTTGTGTAGTTTATCAGTTAATATTTAATCTTTCATCAAATGTGAATGCTCCTGGAGTTGTTTACAATGTGCACTCTGAACAGAATCCTACTTTTTAAACATAAATTGCAAATCTAATCTAATCACAATACTGGCCACTGTGACGGGTCTTATTCAAAGAAAAACATAAAACCTGAACATTTGATTAAATAATACTGGTAACAAGGTTAAGATATTTTTTTTGTCCCCATAGCGAAATTTGTTCTCTGGTGCAAACTTGGCGCCTCAGTGCAGTGCTCTGAGATTCATCATGTTCTTGAGCTGGTCCTGGTCAGAACTGCCTCAGCAGGAGGATTTGACCTGTGGTGCATATTTTGGGCTGATGTCTGGAAACCTTTCCAGACATGGTGAGAAACATGCAAATCCAATTAAACAAATAAACAAATGAAACAGTGCAAATAACAACATTATTGATTTAGTTCTATATTCATGACAAAAACACATTGTTCTTCTCAGTTATTTCAATATAAATGTAGATTGCCTTAAAAGTTATAATATTATAATAATAATATGAGTTTTACTCACTTCAAGTACCCAGGCCAGCAACAACATGTTTTCAGACCTCATACCTAATTGTTTGTAAATCCTTTCACTTCTCTTAAGTTTCAGACGATTTCCTGAGAAAGAGGATGTAAAACAAAAACTGTATTTTTAAGCAGTGGAGAAATGTGACATCATGTGGCAGAAAGGAGAACTGCAAGTTTTTGGGACATACTTCACACAAGAGCACACTGCTATTAGAAAAATGACTGAACAGGTAGATGAGTGAGCTCTATGCTTCTTCATGCAGGTATAGTCTGAGAGCTGAATACATCTGATGGTGATTTGGCAGTGAGTAAGCTTGATTAAAGGTGCACAATGCAATGTAGAGTTATTTTTCACCTGAATATGATACTAAACTTAACTATCTCCATGGACTAGCAGGTGATAATGCTGGGTCAAGGAGGAAAACACCAGATCTGTGGAGAGATGACACCACTCACAGTAAGAATGCAAGTTTTCAAAGTATTTTTTAGCAATTAAATCATCTGTATCTGAAGAAAGCAGATTTTCCCCCAAGATTTCCATGGAGACAAGCAAGTGGCATACTCTCCTTCAGAAAAGTTACATATTGCACCTTTAACAACAATGGTCTGAGTCTGATTTGTGTCTCTTCTTCTATTCTTTTGCAGTCCGACACATATTAAGCACAGACTTACAGCTTGGTTCATCCTGTTGTGTTCATGACAGGGAACTCCCCATTGTCCATTCAGAGGGTATATTTTCTGCTCTGGCTCGTGTTGACAAAGGAGCCTGATTTACGGATATTAATAGCAGACTGACTTGATGGAAAAGGAAAGACTAGTTTTTGGATTCCCACTTTAAACAATGCACGATTTGGCCACAACTGGATGAGTGGCTTCCAACAAAAATAAAACACCATACATTACTTTAAATATTTATCTTGATTTGAGAAGTTTATGTGCTCATATTTAAGTGTATCTGTGTAGATTTTATACAGTGTTTCATATGTTTGTGTCCACAGATATCTAGTAAACAAGTTGTCAATTGTAGATTAAATTGTGTTCAAGGCACACTGTGTTCTTCGTCCACTATTACTTACTAGTAGAGTGTCAGCCACCTGCTTGTCTCTATGGAGATGTTATTACTTTCCTGGAATGTTCCACAGTATGGCAGTCCAATTCCTACCCAGCTGTGCATACTGTTGTTGTGTTCTTGGGCAAGACACTCTCAACCCTGTCTTGCTGTATGAATGAATGATGACGTTAAAGGGTTTTACTTTTTCTTCCACATAACTGAGCAAAATTTGTCTTGCCCCAGTACAGATGTATTGAATGAGGTCAAAATATTTCTGCTTTGAACTGTCTAAACTGTGCATCTATTATAAAGAGCTTCAGTTTAATCAAGAAGTGTGTGGTTAAAATCGTAGTTGATGTAACATACCGAGAAAGCAAAACTCTGGCTTCTGAAAGTTGTAAAATGCACTTATAAACACACAGTTCAGATGCTCTGCCTGCATAAGGTAAGTTAGGAACAACTTTGTACCACTGCAAACTGTTTCAAATTAACTATCATTCATTTAGTTATGTTAAAAGTGCACTGCGTAACCTTTCTAGTAAAGGGCCCGCCAGTCTCCCTGGAGATATTATTGCTTTACCTTTATTATTCCAAAATATGGTATTAAACTTTTCAATTTTTCTCCATAGAAACAGGTAGCAGATGCCAACAGGTGAGATCTGTAGAGAGGCAACCCCATTCACAGTAAGAATGCATATTTTTAAAGGTATTTTGATTTGATTTTGAAAACACCCATATTTGAATAAAGGCATATTGTGGAACACTGCAGGCCAAGCAATAGCATCTCCATGGTAGCGGACCCCCAGCCTGATAAGTTACACAGTGCACCTTTAACCCATATTATGTACGCATTAATTTTTACAATGTAGTGTGTGTAAATATTTTCTTTACAGTAGAGCTCTGGTTTTGCTGTAACTCTGAGCTAACACGAGTTACGAAATGCAGCTTTAACCCATGTTGCTTATACATTGTTTTTTACAGTGTAGTATGTGTGTGTGTGTGTGTGTGTGTGTGTGTGTGTGTGTGTAAATGTGAGTTTTACAGTAGAGCTCTGGGGGTTGCTGCAGCTGTGAGCCTTTAGATTTATGTTCAGGAAGAATATCTGTGTCAGGGAGAGACCACAAACAAGACACACGCTGGTCTGTGTATTCCTGTACACATTTAGTACCACTTTGTTTTGCTGTTGGTGCATTTTCAATGAAGTAAAATGGTATTGCCCACCACATCCGGACATGCCCAGTGTTTATGTGTTTCCCCATATAGGACACTAGATCAAAAATCTAGATCACAGATTCTTGCTTCTATAATGTCATGTTATCAATTTTATATGATTATAAACTATTGCTGTAGTCTGTTTATATCAAATCACAACATTCTTTTGGTATGTATAGTGCTGAATTACAACTGAGGTTGAATTGTAGGTATATTAGATGACTTTGCACATTTTGGTGTGGTTGGACAAATATAATAACATCCTGAGGCTTGTTAGCGGCTATGTTCACAGGCACATCAAAATCTCTTCAATTATTATCAGATTTTTTAACATTTAAGGTTTGTTTTCAATTCATTTTAATGTTCTTATAATTCCAAAAATCAGATAATAATCTTATTTAGAGTGTGCACATAGCCACATTACTGTTAAAAATGATCACATTCAGTAGTATTATTGGAATATTGGCTCCTATATTAAAAAATAAATTAAAACTGTTATATGTTTGTCTACAAAATCACCTATTTGCCCAGGTTCTCAACAGAATATGAGTCTAATTTAGAGTGGGGGTCATCTTGTCCATAATAGAATACTACAAGCACTGTACTATATGAATACAATAAAACATTTGATGTGATATGTAATTTGTAACTATCTCCACCTCTTCACAAATCTGACCTTGCTTGGTGATCTACTTGTTTCCATAGATACACATGTCTAATGTCACACTGTGGAGTGCACCAATAGGTGTCTCCATGAAAACAAGCTCGTGGCAGACCAAAAAATTAGCATAGTGAACCTATATAAATATTTGAAATATTTCCACCTAAGTACCCCCTGCAAAGCTCTCCCCTTGGTCCACATACCCCTGGTTGAGAAGCAGTACTGTACATGTGCTGATGGAGGGGGCTATTGCACGCCACACTAAATCCCAGAGGTTGTTAGTGTGGCCAGCTGCCTCCACTGCACTACATGTTTCTGTCAGCGAGCTTGTTCACAGCGCACTCTTTAGCCCTGATTGAGGAAATCCTCTGACTGTGTGCTGGGTTTGCTGAAATAAAATGTCCCAATGGTTCCGCCCCGACCCCCCCTCCTCCCACTCACCCCCTCCTCTTCCCACCCCCCCTCGTCCTCCCCCTCACCCCAGGTCCTTCACAGACACTTTCCCATGAAGGATATAAAAGTTGACTATGGACTGACAGATATACAGTGCCCTACATTCACATTGGCATAACTATAGGAGCTATAAAGATGGATGAAAAAAATACTGGTCATGTAAATCATATTAAAATAAAATAATATCTAAAATGATAATAATAAATAAATACATACATTTTAAACACACTTTTACACACAATTCAGAAATGTAATTTTGATACTTGTGTAATTGGGATATTTTTGTCAGTTTTGTTGATGGATCCTAGTTTATTCAATAGTTTTATTATAATTAAAGGTGCATGTAAGTTTTCTGGTGGAGGGCTGGACACCTGTTTGTGTCATGGAGATGTTATTGCTTTGCCAGGAATGTTCCTCATTATGGCATTTTTTGCTACAAACATAGCTGGAAAAACATGCATTCTTCTGTGAGCGGGGTCACTCTCTACAGATTTGACCTGTAACTTGGCCCGCTGTCATCAAGTGCTTGTGTTCATGGAAGTAGATGTTTAATGCCATATGTAGAACATGTTATGCAAACCAATAACATCTCTGGAGATAAGCAGGTGACTGAGCGTCCTCCAGAAAAGTTACATAATGCACCTTTAATTTGATTCAGTTCAAGTTTTATTTTTAGAGTTCAGCTGTGTTCCTTGGAGAATCAAAATGATTTCTGTGACGTCCATTCACTGCCCTTACACAGGGTTTGCAGTTAAAAACAAACTTTTAAAAGACCAGAGCTAAAACATGATGGTATTTGTCATCTCTTACATATTGTCTGTTATATGTTTAAAGAATGAAACTGAATGCTGCCCTCCCTCAGCCAAACCAATCATTAATTGTTTCTTTACTGACCCCTTGAGGTTGAAATTAGCTACAACCCTATCTCACATAGTCGAAATCTTCTTAGTACAGTATGGAGAGCATTGGAACATGATATTCAAAAAGCTGAATACATGACCATGTGAATCAAATCATTACTGGTGCTTGTGATGTAGACCAATATTCTTGTCTATACTTTATTAAAGGTGCTCTACTTGTGTGTGCCCTTTACCACCGGTTTGTTTCGAAGAGGATGTTCCACGGTATGGCATTAAACAAATCCATCTCTATAGAAACATATAGGTGATGCAGTAAGGCCATGTTCCAAGTCAGAGCTGTGGAGAGGCGACTCTGTTCACAGTAAGAAAGCATGTTTTCAAGAAACCATTTAGAAATAAATAAATAAAAAATAGATGCACGATAGATGAGTAATATGTCAATACAGTGACTAACATCTTGAAATACACAAGCAGTTGCCGGACCACCCACCAGAAACTGATGTGACAGGGGGTTTAGATCTGCCCTCTAACCAAAGAGCCACCACTTCAAATCTTAACATTGTCATTGTATCAATGGACAATACATTCCTATCAAAATGTGCAATGGCTGGTTGTGAAAGGAAGGGAATCAGTCTTAAAGCCTGCCAAACCGCTGACAAAAAGGGACGAGGGAAAGAGGGAAGTTACGTAGTTTCACGTTGGTAGGATAAAACAAATGACACGTTTCTTTTATCTACTATTTGCGCCATGCATTCGACTTGTCCCGCATTCTTTCCTTTTGACGGAGCTTCATTGCGTTGACGATTGTTTCAGAGGAAGTAGAACCCCTGTAGGTGGGTGTCTCTGCTCTCACCT